TTTAAGATGCCTGCACTTCATAGAAACCTGATTTTCAAAAACCAATTTCAATCGCAACTGTCTGAAACTGCTTAAATGTTTCGAGTGTAGTCTATAATCTGAAATAAAAAGTAAAATGAGTCAAATTAAACAGAAATACTTGTGTAAAAATGTAAAATTGTGCGGTCCTTGAACCTCAAACATAACATTGGCACATTTCTGATGAATTTTCGTAATAATGTCCGATTGTTGCAACATTATCACCACAATCCAACATGTTTTCTTTTAGTTCTTCTTTTTATGATCACCAACTCCAAACCAGACGCCACCAGAAAAAGTCCGCGAACATTTTGAAAACCAGCACCAACTTCAACTTCATATCCGTCCTAAACCTCTGAAGTAGCGTCCACGGCGGCGTGAAAACCGACGAGAAATGACGAAAACGCCGCTCCCGAGTTCAAAGCGGCGTTATTCGGTTTGGACGGGTGTTTGTTGTCACTCGGCAACAAGGAGAAGTGTGGTCGGCTAGGTCCTTCGTTTTGCTATTTTTCACAGCGGACTCGCATTCTTAGCATTCCTCCAGGAGACCACGGCGCTCCATCTTAAAGTCGAGTCCACCACGCACAGAGCCATTCACAAAATCACAACGCCAAAGTCATTAAAGAAAGTAGGAAGTTAAAGGTTGACCGCGTAACTTTTCTGGAAGAAGGTCTGGGATTTGTTTTTCTCCGTGAGGTTACTGGTTTACCTGAAATGTTGCACAATGTTAGTGTTGTCAAGATAATTAAAATTTAAACTCCGTACGTAGACTTGATACTCAATACTGATTCTGATACTATGATGATAATAAAAAAACTGGGGGTGGGCAATTTTTTTCAATGAGGACACTTGAGAAACAGAAAATATTGTGCAGGGTCAGGCCAAAATCTTAATCTTAACTCAATTCTGAATATTATTACTTGTATTTCTTTATAAAAAATAGTAAATGGGATTGTTTTGATGAGCTGATAAGAGTTTGTGTTATGACTAAGCAATGAAAAAGTGAGGTTGATTTACAAAAAATGTCATTAAAAAACACCTCTAAAATAAAAGCAATGCAGCTTTGAGGCAAAATTAGAGGCAAAATTATAAAATCTGTTCATTTTGCCATTTAAAATTACATTAAATGGGACGGTCAGAGTCAACCAAAGAACCGTATGTGGTCTTGGAACTACAAAAACAAGATTCAAAAGTTGGGGTGACTGAACTTGTTCTGTGGTTAGTCCCAAACTTTGGTACACGTTTTCTCCTCACATTAAGACTTTTAACACGGCATGAGAATTGTGTGGTCATCTCGCTGTTTTTTATTGATTTAATTAGCTATTTTACTATTTATTTCATGTTTTATTTTATTGAATATGTTAATTTATATTGTGCCTACGCTGTGCAGCACTTTGGAGTTGGATTGGATTGGACAATGCCCGGGTCTGTTTAAACAGCAGAACGTGATTTTCAATTTAAATCAAAGTACTTTCTTTTGTATTCCCATGTCTGTGTAATCCTTAAGTAAGTCCAGGTAGGTTCCTCAGTGGTCCATGGGCGTATATTCATCTATGTGCTCTTATATTTGTTCTGCTACAGCTCCAGATCATTCTAAAGACATTCAAGAAAGGTTCATTTTTGTCCTGTGAACGTGACTTTTTTAGTATCGATACCTGCTCAAATGAGTATCTAGTTTTGGTAACAGTTATAGTTTTATCGATTAATATCTATCAGATTTTCGATACTTGTGACAACCCTACACAATATGCTGTTAAAGTCATCTATCTTCATGGAGACAAGAAGGCGATGCAAGCGATCAGATTTGTGGATAGGCGATCCCACTCACAATAAAAATGTTATTTAAAGGCGCTGGTTTAAAAATTCGAAAAACAGAACTAGTTCCTTTAAAACAGTTTACAAAAGTCTAAAGTTTTTCCTCACTTACCTCATGCACTCAGAGCATCCTAATTATTCACCATGATGAGTTTATATGCACCTTTCAGAGACCCGAGCGACGTTTTCACCGTCCACTGTCATACTAACAACAACTAGCATGTTAACAGTGCACCAGCTGTTTACCAGACAATTCAAACGCTTCATAATCAGACGCAGACAACACGCAGCAGACTCATTTTGACCTGAGGGACATTTAATCGAAGCAAAAATAAAGAAACGCTGGAAATGCACGAGGGTAAAACGACAGAAAAGGAGGAGGAGATGAAACGGAGCCAGACTGAAAATGCACGACTTGGCAGTATTCTAATCTGTTATTACTGAATACATACGACGTAATGGTGACCCAATAACAAACAATGAGGCACCTGCCAGTCCGTGTGTGCTCAGAGCGAGGCAGGGAGCGTTTGAGTTCTGATAACGAACTAGTCCGAGTTGAAAATAATAAGGTAAATCAATACATCTGTTCACTGGATCGTGTTGTTTTGGAAAAGTCGGTTATTTTTCAGACTAGACAGACAAGAATTTCTGTTGCAAATTTAGATTTTCTGAATATTTTTGAATACATGAAAGTAAAATAATGGTGACCGAAGGCTTGTACATAGAGAGAATTTGTGAATTTTGAGGATTAATAACAGAGGTGGGTAGTAAGTACTCTAGTTTATTTACTTGAGTAACTTTTTAAGAAGTGTTTTTCGAGCAGCATAGTTTTACTGCGACTTACGGTACTTGTGTTCCGCTTCCTTGAGTAAATGTTTTGTTTATTTTTCCCACTGTGAGGAAGTCTAAAGCGATAAAACCTTTACGTGAAAATGTGAAATGATTTGAACATTTGCGTTTCTTGCAGCTCATTTTCGAGTCTGTCCTTTAAAATGAAAATTATGATGAAAATATACCAGATTTTGTGCATTATTTATAGTTTTGGGCTTCAAATTGTAAATAAAGATGTTACAATCTCTTTAAGTTACTCTTCTTACTTGAGTATTACTTTTCCTGAATACTTTTTTTTCCTCTTATTTGAGTAGTGTAAGTTGTGACTACTCTACCGCCTCAGATTAATAAGTAACTGTTTATTACGTTTGTTTGTTTGTTTTTTTCCATGTTGATTTAATAATACCGCTATCTTTCATCACGTGTTTTAAGAGTGCTTCCTTAATCATTATGCATAGTTCACATAAATATTAGGCTAATGATTAATAAAATAGTTAATTATTGTTTTATTTTATGTGAAGAGGTTAATGATTAGTGATGTACTATTTATGTGTCTGTTGACAGTTTAGGTCATTATAAAGGACACTGTATTAACACAGTAGTAATATTTCTCCCTAAATTAAAAAACTATGCATAATAACATCAACTTTAACTAATTAAATTAAGTTAAAAAAAAAAATCCTCTTTTGTATTTACACAAAAATAATACTTCTCTCTATCTAATGAAAAAGTTATAAACAGTATCTGGTATTGTAATAACACGTTAATAACATCAACTTTAACTATGTAAATTAAGTCAAAATGTTCTCCTTTGTATTTACACGAAAATAATATGTGTCCTTAAATGAAAAAGTAAACTATGCATAAGTTATAAACAGTGTGTGGTTCTGTAATAACACTTTAATAACATCAACTTTAACTAATTAAATTAAGTAAATAGTTTCCTCCTTTGTATTTACACGAAAATAATATGTCTCCCTAAATAAAAAAGTAAACTATGCATGTCAAAATGTCTCCTTTTCTTCCTAAATAGAAAAGTAAACTATGGATAAGTTATAAACAGTGTCTGGTATTGTAATAACACGTTAATAACATCAACTTTAACTATTAAAATTACATCAAAAAGTCTCCTTTTTTCCCTAAATGGAAAAGTAAACTATGCATAGGTTATGAACAGTGTCTGGTATTGTAATAACACTTTAATAACATCAACTTTAACGATTAAAATTACGTCAAAAAGTCTCCTCTTTTCCCTGAATGGAAAGTAACCAATGCATAAGTTGTAAACAGTGTCTGGTATTGTAATAACACTGTAATAACATCACTTTCAACTATTAAAATGAAGTGAAAATGTTTCGTTTTCTCCCTAAATGGAAAAGTAAACTATGCATAAGTTATAAACAGTGTCTCGTTTTGTAATCACACTTTGATAACATCAGCTTTAACAATTAAAATTATGTCAAAATGTCTCCTTTTCTCTGTAAATGGGAAACTAAACTATGCTTAAGTAATAAACAGTGTCTGGTATTGTAATAACACTTTAATAACGTAAATTTTAACTATTAAAATTAATTCAAAATGTCTCCTTTTCTCCCTAAATGGAAAAGTAAACTATGGATAAGTTATAAACAGTGTCTGGTATTGTAATAACACTGTAATAACATCACTTTCAACTATTAAAATTAAGTCAAAATGTTTCCTTTTCTTCATAAATGGAAAAGTAAACTATGCTTAAGTTATAAACAGTGTCTGGTTTTGTAATAACGCTTTTATAACATCAACTTTAACTATTAAAATTAAGTAAATAGTTTCCTCCTTTGCATAAGTTATAAACAGTGCGTTAAAATAGCAGTTTTATTACAAAGATTTTTGCATAGTTATATTATTTTAAAAATCCTTCTCTATACATAAAAATATGCTTTGTCCACTTTTTAATAAAAAAAAAAAAAAGCGATCATATAATTATTAATTTAATATTTATTGTCTAAAAATGCTGTTAGCCTTGGAAGCTACCGCGAGCCTCTGTTATGAATCGCAGTAGCCATTTACTACTATCAGACGGTACGGGCTATTTCCAAGAACACCAAAATAGCTTCTTCACCATTGAAACGCGCTGCAAACGCAAATAACATAACTTGAGAGAGAAATGAATGCTTAGAATCTGTAAATTAGACATATGAAGTGAAAAGAGGCAAAGAAAATAGCCGAGAGACGAGCAGCTCCCGGGCGCTGAGCATTGGAGCCCGCCAGGAAATAGACGGCGCCTCGATAGCTCCGGTCTATGGGGAAATGCGAGGGGATTTAAAAAAAAAAAAAAAAAAAAAAAAAAAAGCTACCTGTGAGGCGCAGCTTCACCGGGCCGTTCCGCCGGATCCCCTGGTTCGACATGTCCAGATCTTCACGGCAGCCCGCAGAAACGTCTCTCCGAACGCGAAAAATCACCGGGTTTGTGCAGAAACTCCGTCAGATTTACACAATAATGGAGTCTGTGCATTGTGGCCCGGATGTGGAGTTGGAGCAGCGGCAGCGGCGGAGTGCCATAACGCGCCAGAAATCCCGAAAATCAAAAAGAAAAAGCAAAAGAAAAAAACCGCTGCAACGTGCATTTACCGCCCCCGAACGCCGTGCCGGAGTCCGAAGCGTGAGATGTGTGGGGAAGGAAAAGGAAAAAGCGGTGGAGATTGGAGATCGGGGTGTGGGTTCACATCTTCTTTCGTGCGCTCCGCGGGCCGTGCGTTTTTTGGGTTTGTGGAGCGGGTACCTCCTCTGCTCTGTGGCCCCGTCGGAGGAGAGCGGAGCCGTGGATTGGAGTCTGGAGGCGGCCGCTGGGAGATCACCGCTGACGAAAGCACGGTTTGGGGGAGTGAAAGATTTTTTTATTTTTTTTTTTTTTCTTCCTCTCTCTCTTTCTCTCTCTGTCTCTCTGTGTCTCTCTGTGTCTCTCTCGCAGCGAACATGTGGCACTGCAGTTTATACACAGACGGTGCAAGTGCAGAGAAGTGCGAGCAGGATTTCAACTTAAAAAAACAAAACGATGATGATGAAAATATAACAGATTTTGTGCATTAATTTATGTTTTGTGCTTCAAATTGTAAATAAAGATGTTAAAAGTCACATAGTGCACCTTTTATACAGATGGAGGCAGTTTAAATTAGTACATTTGGGAAGGTGACTTTTAAAGTGTATTCCCCTACAGATTACAGATTACATACACCAAAATGTAGTTTGTAACGTAATCCATTAAATTACTTAAAGTGAGTAACGTAATCTGAATACTTTGGATTACTTGATTTGCTGTAGAGAAGCAAAGACTCTTCACATAAGATGTTTTGTTTGCTAAAAGACAATAAAAAGCCCAGACTTTACTTAACTAAATTAAAAATATTATTGATAGAAGAGGAGGAGACATGGTTTAGTCCTGTTAAATCCTGTTTCAGTCCTGTTTTAGATCTGGTTTAGACCCGGTTTAGTCCTGGTTTAGTCCTGGTTTAGACCTGGTTTAGTCCTGGTTTAGACTGGTTTAGACCTGGTTTAGTCCTGGTTTAGACCTGGTTTCTGGTTTAGACCTGGTTTAGTCCTGGTTTAGTCCTGGTTTAGTTTAGACCTGGTTTAGTTTAGTCCTGGTTTGTTTAGTCTGGTTAGTCCTGGTTTAGACCTGGTTTAGTTTAGACCTGGTTTAGACCTGTTTAGACCTGGTTAGTCCTGTTTAGACCTGTTTAGACCTGGTTAGTCCTGGTTTAGTCCTGGTTTAGACCTGGTTTAGTCCTGGTTTAGTCCTGGTTTAGACCTGGTTTAGTCCTGTTTAGACCTGGTTTAGTTTAGACCTGGTTTAGTCCTGGTTTAGTTACCTGGTTTAGACCTGGTTTAGTCCTGGTTAGTCCTGGTTTAGACCTGGTTTACCTGGTTTATCCTGGTTTAGACCTGGTTTAGTCCTGGTTTAGTCCTGGTTAGACCTGTTTAGTTTAGTCCTGGTTTAGACCTGGTTTAGACCTGTTTAGTCCTGGTTTAGACCTGGTTTAGACCTGGTTTAGTCCTGGTTTAGCCCAAAATGTGAAAACAGGAAAATACCGAAGTGTAATCCAGTTATTTTAACAAAGTAACTGTAATCCAATTACCACTCACTGAAACAGTAACTGTAACTGAATACAGTTACTCATAATTTGTACTCTGATTACGTAACTCCGGTACATGTAATCTGTTACTCCCCAACACTGCTTTTATATTGTTAAAATGCTGTTTTTTATTGTAATTTAATGGGCCTAGTCACTAAATATCCATGTCCATAGTTTGCTACTACTACTACTTCAGTGATATTGTTATTGAAGTAACTGTACTTTACTGTGTTCCGTTTATTTAAGTAAAAGTTGTTCCCACTGTGAGTGAGTCTGAAGTGACAAAACCTGACAATATGAAATGATTTGAACATTTGTTTCAGATCTGATTTAGTTTGTCTCATTAGTTTGTCTCAAAATGATGATGAAAATAAAACAGATTTTGTGGTTTATTTAATGTTTTGTCCTTCAAATTATACATAAAGAAGTTAAAATCTCTTTAAGTTACTCTTCTTACTTGAATATTACATTTTCCAAACAGCAGAAATAAGCAGGTGACGGAATATTTACCAGAAAATTTACATAGTTCACCTTTTAATTTTTTACTTTGTACAGATGGGTGCAGGTCAAATTACTACATTTATGTTGTTAAAATGCAGGTTTCTATTGTAATTTAGTGTTTCTAGTCACTAAATATCCACGTTTAACATTTGTGTATTTGTCTTTTGGATGTGTCATGGTAAAATACAATGTTATCAGTGGGAAAATCAGCCTCTTGCCCCCATGTGGGCGCATGACATTATCACTGGAGAATCTGTGAAGCTCCAGTATCACAGGGACGAGCAGATGACATCACCGGCCCCTTACAGATTAGATCTGTGGAGAGACGAGTCTGCTCACAGAAAGAGCACGAGTTTGTGAACGAGCGGCACATTTACCTGTAAGTGAATAAATAAGCACATGTTAAATATTTAATGTTTAATGCTTGACTGTGGGACATTACAGGAAAATCACAGCCCAGACAGTTTTCAAGTCTCTTTCTTGTCTCCATGGAGATGTTATTGCTTTGCTTAGAAGTTTCGCAGTATTGCATTAAACACATCTTGCATTTATTCAGCTTTTGTTCAAGTTTTTCTTGCTCATACACACAAAAATATTGATACATCGATAAATCGTATAGTTTAATGTGATGTTACAGTATCGATATCGTGGGCTGCTCTATCGATATATCACCAAGAGTTTTATATATTTTACTAAATTATTTTGTTACAGAGCTACAGTTTTGTTGCTTGTTCAGTGGAAGGAAACTTATTTATGCGACACATTTGACATTTTTACTGTTTTCATGAATAAAATGTTTGTGTTTCATATGAAATTTGCACAAAAAGTGGTTTCACAAACACTTTTAGCATCACAGTCATGATTTAGCCTTTATTTTTTAGTGAACCGTGTCAAATCGATTTGAAATATATCGTATAAATATATATATGTGGCCATACCAGTTTGTCAAATCCTGATCCCGTCAGATCTCAGAGGCTCAGCAGGGTCGGGTCTGGTCAGGACTTGGGTGGGAGACACTGGGAAAATCAGGAGCCACAGTGGGAATAACTGTCAAGACACTTCACCCTCATTGCCCAGTATGAAAGTGGTGTGTGTGTGTGTGTGTGTGTGTGTGTGTGTGTGTGTGTGTGTGTGTGTGTGTGTGTGTGTGTGTGTGTGTGTGTGTGATGGTGGTGGTCGGAGGGAGGCCGACTGGCAGGGCAGCTGTGGCTACAATAGTATTTTACCATCACCAGATACAGAGTGAATGAATAATGCTGAGTAATGCTCTGTAAAGTGTCTTTGTGACATATGCAGTGTCGGGGAGTAACAGATTACATGTACTGACTGGAGTTATGTAATCAGAGTACAAATTATGAGTAACTGTATTCAGTTACAGTTACTGTTTCAGTGAGTGGTAATTGGATTACAGTTACTTGGTTGAAATAAATGGATTACACGGCGGTATTTTCCTGTTTTCACATTTTGGGCCCCTTTTTTTTTTTTTCTAGGTAATTCCACTCATTGCCGGACAGGACTAAAACCAGGTCTAAATTAAGACTAAACCAAGACTAAACCAGGTCTAAAACCAGGTCTAAACCAGGTCTAAACCAGGTCTAAACCAGGTCTAAAACAGGATTTAACAGGACTAAACCAGTTGGAGTAGACCGTGTCTCCTCGTCTTCTATCAATAATATTTTTAATTTGGTTCAGTAAAATCTGGACTTTTTATTTTCTTTTATCAGACAAAACTTCTTATGTTACGATTTCCTCGTCTTTGTTTCTCTACAGCAAATCAAGTAATCCAAAGTACTCAGATTACATTACTCACTTTAAGTAATTTAATGGATTACGTTACAAACTACATTTTGCTGTATGTAATCTGTAATCTGTAGGAGAATACATTTTAAAAGTCACCTTCAGCACTGGACATATGTCAGTGAAAAGCGCTGTATAAATAAAGACTTATTTACTTATTTACTTACGTATCAAATCGAAAGTTCACTGTATCGTATCAGCCACTTCTTAATGATACTTAAACCTATCACACACATTAAAAACATCTGTTCTTGTTAGTCTGAAGGGGTCATGACTCTCCACAGATCTGCCTTGTATCACCATCTTGCCAACAGTTTAATGCCGTACTGTGGGACATGCAGGTAAACCATTATATCTCTATGTTAGTTTGTAGTTTGTCTCCCTTTGCCGTGAAAAGTTACATAGTAAATACGCTTTTTTTTTCTGATCTGTGTTGTAATGTAGTTCCCTCATCATAAAAATACCTGGAAGTGTGTCGTGTTTTGTTTCGTTCACATGTTTAACACACAAACACTGCACATTTAGGCCGAGCTTTTCTCTGAAACACTGTTCCACCTTGTGATGTCATGTGGTAATGCAAAACTCTGTGTCCTCTTTATCATTATTATTAGTTTGTGCGGTCATAAACGAAAATATTTTTGTGCATGTGTGTATGTGTATATACATTTATATTGAATACATGTACTGGATATTTTAGATGCATAAGTGTATGTATGTATGTATGTATATGTGTGTGTGTGTGTGTGTATGTTTATTAGGGGTGTAACAATATCCAAGTCTCACGATACGATATCGTCACGATATGAACCTCACAGTACGATATTTATTGTGATATTTTGTGGAGCCAAACAAAACTGTTAATATGTTACTTTTTCCTCTTAAAATGCCTCGACAAGACTTAATCCAAAGAACTAAGACTTAAAAGTGTTAAAACTGTCATTTCTTCTTGTCGTCTGCACTGAAACGGAGCAAAGGATCATGGTCTATGTAGTTCCCTCTGTCTTTTTTTTTTAGCTGTTGCTGCACCATAAAGATAAATTTGTAATTCGGTCCACGATATTATTATTGTGAGAACTTTGGGGATACGATATCACAATATTTTGGTTATTTTTACATCTCTAATACGACAGGTAAGCACTCCAAAGGTGTAAAAAAAAAAAAAAAAAGTGTTAACCACATGATTATGTAAAACAACTGGGGAAGGACACCATGTTTTATAAAACTTCATCCCGCTCCTTTTGAGCACCAGGTTCCAAATATGTACATGAATGTACATATCCTTGTTCTTTGTTATTGTTGTACTTTGCTCAAACAAATAAAATGAACACAGGAAGTGCTCTAGTGTGTTTTTGAACTCCATACACCTTCACTAGAATCATTTGGGTAATTTCAGAGTCAGACCTTTTCTCTCTCAAGTCAGTGCACAGATTTTAATACATGCTTTTATTACAAATCGTGTTGATTACTGCAATGCTTTCCTTTCTGGTCTTCCAAAGAAAACTACATACAGCTCCACTGCAGCTCCTCCAAAACTCTGCAGCACGACTGCTGACGAGGACCAGGAAGCGAGAGCACATCACCCCAGTACTGAAGTCTCTGCACTGGCTCCTGTGAGCTTCAGGAGAGATTTTAAAGTTCTTCTATTGGTTTATAAAGCTCTTAATGGTCTTAGTTCTATTTATTTATCTGATCTGTTTTTATCATATGAGCCTCTTGGACTCTCAGGTCCTCAGGTAGTCGTCCCAAGAGTCCAAACTAAAACTAACGATGAGGCGTCATTCAGTTTTTACAGCCCCCGTTTGTGGAACAGTCGACCTGAGGATCTGAGGTCTGCTGACAGTGATCATGTTTTTAAAAGTAAACTCAAAACATATTTTTAATTTAGCTTTTAATTGAAACTTTGACCTGTTTTAACTTATTGTTACTACAGTTGTTTTAAATTATTACTTTTTTAGTCTCCATCTGATCTTAGCTCTCAATTTTCATTTTTACTAGAACTTTTAAGAGCTTTATATTTAAATTGTATATATGGGGGGTAATTAATATATTGAAATTTTTACTTAGTGCTACATTTCAAATGTATGAAGTGCTATACAAATAGTTTGATTTCCAATCTCTACTGAATTTAAGGTAAAAGGAGCCGTTAACGTGAAAACTACCACTTCATGACATCACGAGATGCACAACAGAGCATTTTGAGCTTTAGAGATGTAAACAGACTAATAAAGGATATTCAAATATGTGAACAAACACAAAAAGAGATGTAACATGGATTAAAACTCACAAAAGTCAGTTTTGAGTAATAGGATCATTAACTTTGATTATCCAGTGGTCATTATGTTAAAGGGTTAGAACTTAATATATTTCCTCTTTCACTGCAAGCCAAGTTTAAGTACAGCTAGACACGAGATTACAAATCACGTGGATTGAATATTTGATCATGAAAACGCCCACAGTCAGTACACATGAGCTGAACTTTATTTACACTTATATTTTCCTCAGTCATGTTAAAATAGTTTATTGTACATCACAAACAGAACAAGAGCCACATGTAAAAAAAAAAGACAAACAGGAGAGCCGTACAGTTGCTTCAAGAATAGAGTTTAGAAAGTGAAAGTGCTTTGGTTTTCGTTGATCTGGAAGGCGTAACCGTCTGTGGTGACTTCTGGGGCCACGCTCGGAACCACCTCCTCCTGAAATGACACAGACCGGGGCGAGTCAGTGACCAGCGGAAAGATAATGGTTTGGATTTGTTAAAAAAAAATGTATTGTGTAAATTTTCTGGTCGAGGGTCTAGACCGTTTGTCTGGCTTTGCTCTAAATATTCCATCGTTTGGCTTTAAACTTATTTGTTTAAAGTAGATTTGAGCAATAAAAGCTTTTTTTTCAGTTCAATAAATATCCATAGAAGAGTTGTGTAGGTATTTTTATTTATCCGTAAAACAACAGGATTCCAGGGCACTCCAAAGAAGTAAAAAAAGTTAAATCACACGAGGAAAAATACAGTTAAAAGGCCTTTATTTAAATGGCCAAAGCCAACACGTTTCGACTTTAGTCTTCATCAGGGCTTAGTATGATTAGATTTTTTACTTTTTTTACTTCTTTGGAGCGCCTGGAGTCCTGTTGTGTTTTAGTTTTGATTGTTTTTCCAAGAGCACCCTCTACCTGCTCCCACTGCCTGGAACACCTGCAGCAAACAGCCACACTTTTGTTCTTTCTGTACTATTTATCCGTCTTTGGATTATCTGCTGTTTTTTCATTTGTTATTATTGTTATAATACTTTAATTTTTCAGTTTTAGCTTTTATTGTTGGTATTTATTTGTTTGGTATACATATTTTCAAAAGAAAAAACATTTTTGTAGAGGTGCAAATGCAAGGAGCAGCCAGACAAGAGTGAAAAAAATGCATAGTGTGGTCCAAAGCAAGAAAAATATCTGATGAAGGCTTTTTTTTTGCCGAAACGTTATTTTGAAAACAAATAAGCTTTTGGACATCGGCCATCTGAGTGCTACGCATTTTTTCCACGCTTGTCTGGTAAACATATTTTGTCATTTGCCATCGAAATGTATAAATAAAAAAATATATATAACCATAAGAAAAAAAGTATGTTTTTTTATTTTAGTCTATTTTTTGACAAAAATAAGTTAATGGGGCTTTAATAAAATATAAAATAAAAAATGGAGCAAATTAACAAAATATGGATATTGTATATAGTGTTGAGTTGCTGGATAATATTCAATAACTTAAAAAAAAAAACTACAAAAAGTACCTTGTAAACTTGATAATAATGGTATGGTAAGTGATATTTCCGCACTAATCAAAACCTCAACTGATACTCTAAATAAATGTTAAAGTGTAAATGTGATAGAATATTGAACATCTGTAATTGCTAGGAAAAAATAAAAAAATAGATTTTAATTTGTCAGTCTTTTCCAGTCCTAGTCAAAATGGACAATACTTGAAACTTTACAGAGGAAGTAACTGAGACAAGTCGGTGGAGGAATCCTACCGGAAAAGTTCCCTAGCGTTCCTTTATGACACCCACCTCTCCAGAGAAGTACTTTTCGATGATGTTCAGAGCGGCTTTGTAGACCATCTCGTTCTCGTGCGACTGCAGCGCCTCGATCCGGTCCAGCCCTCCGCACTCCTCAATCATTAAACTCAACTTATCAGACTCGTTAATCTTATCTCCAGCCTGGAAAGAAAAACCACACACATGAACATCCAAAAACTACAGAACGATGAGAGAAGAGCAGAGAAGATTTGAGGTTCTGACCATGAAGATGTTGGTGATGGCGTCCAGGATGACCAGCACGATTTTGCTGTCCTTGGAGGAGAGCAGGTTGAGCAGAGGCTCCAGCACGTTGGCCTGGACGAGGTAAACCACCTGCTGAATATTGCCCCCGCTGGTGAAGTTTGTCACGGCCCAGACCGCCTCCTTCTGGGTTTTGTAGTCGCCCTGGAGAGAAAAACCAAGATTAGAAAACACATCAAATCGTCTAGTATCTGTAGGTTATTAAATTATCTGACATGAAGTGTACGATTAACAACAGGCAAATAAATGAGAAAATATGCACAATTTTACACTGACAAGTTCTTAAAAGTGTAGATTCAAGGCAAAAAATATTGAATTTAATTGTTTATATTTTAGTAAAACAGCAAAAATAATGATTTAATTGGCGTTTCAATACATTTTAGTAGAATATACATTTGTTTTGGATCATTAAGATCTTTTTATTATGTAATAGTTAGTATAAATGTTGGATTTAGGTAAAGTTTTGGATTTAAATAAAGTTGTATGTGTGTGGATTTAAGTTTTGTTTTTTTTACTTCAATGAGACTTTTCCTGGGTAAAAAAAAAAAAGGGGAAAAGTATTGCCCATTTTCTTTTCTAATAAATGTTTTAGATTTGAAATACATTCTTTAAAAAAATAAAATAATTTCTACTTTTTTTCAACTGTATAAACATTGATGTGTGTCTCAGGTTTGCGTTTCAACAACATGCTAAGCTGGAAAAAAAAAAAAAAATTATAAATATAATAAAAAAAAAAAAGTAAAAAAATAATAAAAAAATTAAAAATCATTATTTTTGTAACTTATATTTATTATTACTATTAAATTATTTATTTATTTGTAGTAGTATTAGTTTTAATAATAATAATAATAATAATAATAATCCATAAAAACTAGACATTTTGGTGAATTAGAACTGAAAATCCCCTCAACACCATCGGCGGGGCAGACTGACCTTGTGCAGGACCTCCACCAGGTAGGGCACCACCCCAGAGTCGATGACCTCCTGGATCTGGGAGTCTTTTCCTGCGGTGATGTTGGAGAGGGTCCAGGCGGCCTCCTTCTGGATGTTGGCCTTGTTGTGGCGCAGCAGCTGGGGGAACATGGGCAGAGCTCCGGCGTCCAGCACGGCCTGAGTCTGCTCGTCTGTGCCCGTGACGATGTTCCCGATGGCGCGCAGGGAGGGAGTCTGGAGAGGAAGAAGGGAAGAGTGAGGATGAGAAGAAATATAAATGACTGAGACTATTGACTGGTCTCTTCTGTGGACACCAACTCTTTCCCCCATGAAGACGACATTTGACGACCGCCCTTGTTTTTTTAATGACGTCTTTTGACACATCCGCTGTGTCACTAAAGACGTGATTTAACGACCATTAGAAACGGCTCCTGTTTTTCACATGTAAAACAGACTGCGATAGACAGAAGCACTACAACCAGTGTTGGGGAGTAACAGATTACATGTACTGGAGTTATGTAATCAGTACAAATTATGAGTAACTGTATTCAGTTACAGTTACAGTGAGTGGTAATTGGATTACAGTTACTTTGTTGAAATAAATGGATTACACGGCAGGATTTTCCTGCTTTCCTGTTTTCGCATTTTGGACTATATCCCTTTTTTCTTTTTTTCAGTAATTCCACTCATTGCCAGAAACTAAACCAGGACTAAAACTAGACCTAAAACCAGGTCTAAAAGAGAATTTAACAGGACTAAATCATTCTGTGTGGACGTGTCTCCTCGTCTTCTATCAATAATATTTTTTATTTGGTTCAGTAAAGTCTGGGCTTTTTTTTTAAATTTTCTTTCAGCAGACAAAACATCTTATGTTACGATTTCCTCGTCTTTGCTTCTCTACAGCAAATCAAGTAATCCAAAGTATTCAGATTATGTTACTCAATTTAAGTAATTTAACAGATTACGTTACAAACTACATTTTGGGGTATGTAAACTGTAATCTGTAGGGGAATACATTTTAAAAGTCACCTTCCCAACGCTGACTACAACCTATACTAGACTGACCAATAGGATTCCAGGATATGTTCGCCGATTTTTCCATCGAAGTAGTGATGATTGTAGCTTCCGGAAAAAAACACAACACAAAACACGTGCAACGCAAAGATTGCGGAGCTGCGGCGCAGTTTTAGAAATGATGAGGAGTGGTCAGTTTTTCTTGGAGGCGTCCACTTTTCTCATTTTGGACGTTTTGCTGACGAGGGTGTCACGGTCAACAGTCAAAACGATCGTCCTTTAAGAGCGTTTGGAAAGAGACAAGTCTTCATTTGTGCTGCTCTGGTGGGAGGGGCCACGTACAGAGACACGGGAGACACTGCTGACGCTGCTGTGATAAACACCACAGAAAATTAATATTTTAATCGAAAATATAATTAAAATATTTTAGTAGAAAATCAGCCAAGGGCCAGATTAAAGGTCTTGGAGGGCCGGATCTGGCCCCCGGGCCATATGTTTGACACCTGTGGTCTAAGGTTTCCAGAGATACCAAATATGTCTTTCAGTAAAGTTCAGTGTGAAAATCATTTATAAATCACTTGTGGAAGTCTGTTTTCTTTTATGCAGTTCTGCAGCCCAGTCATATGTGTGAGGGTTGTTCCTAGTCCAAGGGGGAAAGAGTTAAAACAGAGTGCCAAAAATAAAAAGATGATTTAAGCCAACAATACAAAGTTGAGAGCGTAAATGAAAAAGGGGAAAAAACAACTTTAAAACTAGTATCTATCTTGTATCATATCCATTAGGACCAGAGTTTACATTTTTTTGGCACCATTACTATTAAATGAGATTAACAACAACAACTCCTCTGACATCTCTGGAGGTGACATGTCACGTAAACGATTCCACGGAAAAGGAACTGGAACATTCTCCACGGAGAGAAACATGTTTTCTGCCTGAAACGAGCAGCAGGAGGCCGTGGTCCGGGCCAAGAGTCGGAGTCAAAACATTTCAGATGTTTTTATTGCACTGAAAAAACATTTGACTTTAGTCTGTTGGAATTATGATTTCATTAAAATTTAATTTGCGACATTAGCCAAAAGTGAATTATCGTATTTTTCGGACTACAAGTCACTTTTGGCATGGTTTGGGTGGTCCTGCGACTTCTACTCCAGTGAGAGTTGCATTTTAAAATATATAAATATCCGCGAGAGGGCGCTCTAGGTCTGTGTGCCAGTATCTGCTACAACTCCTGCACATGGATCTATAAAAAGGTAAGGCAAGAATTTTAATAAACAAATTAAATAATAACATAATTAAAATTAAAAAGACATTAATTACATAAATTAGAGAGAAGAGTGCGGAATGAAAACCTTTCAGTCATATGCACAGTTAAATAGAACCGGTTTGAGCCTGGATTTAAACAGTCAAAGTAGAGTTTTGTCTCACATCTTCAGACTGTTCCAGGTTTTAGCTTCATAAATCTGAAATTCTGACTCTCCCCGTGTTTAGTCCCGACTGAGGAGCTCAGGGACCAGAGTGTGAGATGGTTCATGTGGCACTAACATGTCACAGATGTAGTTTGGTGCTCGACCTTGTACAAGCAGAGCTGCTTTTAAGTCTCTGAGCCACAGGAAGCCAGTGCAGAGACCTGAGCACAGGATTTATGTGCTCGTACTTTCTAGTTCGAGTCAGGACCTGAGCTGCAGTGTTCTGCTCACTGGCCTCTCCAAACGAGCTGAGAGACGCTGCAGAACATTACAGTAGTCTAACCTAAAACGCATGTAGAAGTCCCTCATATGATTATAATCCTATGCTCCTGTACCAATGTCACTTCACGCTCCATTTTATAAAATTAATTTCCACCCAAAAATACAACTTAGACTTCCTTCATAATTTTTCTTTAAAGGTTTTCACTCCGCACTCTTCTCTCTAATTTATGTAATGTCCCTCTCTGTTTTAATTTTATGATAATTATTCATGTTTTGATTTGTTTTTATTGTGATTTTAATGTATTTCTTATTCTGTAAACCACTTTGAATTACACTATACAAATACACTTGCCTTGCTTTTTTTTTGCTGGTGCGATTTATAGTCGGGAGAGCAGCTTTCTGTAAATCAATGAACTTTGTAAGGCTCAACGGCTTGGGAAAAAATATCCAGTTATAGTTTCCTGGCAAGAGTTGCAATTAGATTTGAGATTTAAGTTTTAATATTGGATTCTGTTCAAAGTTCAGTTTAAGATTTGTTCAGAAGAATAAAGAAAAAAAATTGAAAATCTGAACTGACAAACGAACACAAGACTCACATTTCACGACATGTTTGTGTAGATTTTATAAAGATTAAGACAGGAGATTTTGTCGAGGAAATTATGGTATTTTAAAAATTGTGATTTAGCAGATTCATTTAAATTACAATTCCATTTATAGTCTGGAAAATACGGTAGATTAATTTATGTTGGGAGTGTAGGCAACCATGTGTTCATCTTTTCCCCACATCTATAACTACAAAACCTTCAGTTAAAAGTAAACTAAATGTATAAATGTGTGTCAGTTCTGGACCCTGTGTACGTACGATGACGGTGAGCTCTCCGGAGCCGAGCAGCTTGACGAGGCGGGTGACGATGCCGGTCTGCACCACCACCTCGATGCGGTCGTTGGTGCCGTCGGTGAGGTAGGACAGGGCCCAGCAGGCGTCGGCCAGCACCTCCTTATCGTCGTGGTGGAGCAGACGCACCAGCGACGGCAGGATCTGCTGCACGGCGCTAATGGGCGGAGACGGGTTCTTGTTTCGGCACAGGTTCGACAGGGTCCAGGTCACGTTCCTCAGGTAGTCCCTCTGTGGAAGATGTGTGGAAAAAAACTTTAGGTTACAGCACCCCCTAGTGGACAAAGTGGGGAAAAGCACTGGACACGCAGAAATAAACCACATGGCAAGTGATAAATTTGAATTTGATTATGGGAAATGGAGGAAGGACATTTTAGTGAATGAGTTTAGGATGATAATTTAACTTTTACCCTCTTTTAAAATAAACTAAACTGTTTAATTCCACTGAGTGACTTCAAGCATTACTTTCCAATCTTCTCAGAAATTTATATACATTTCCTGGAATAACAAATGTATTTCATGTACATTTTGGAGCTGCACCGAACAATTCATTTAGTAATCGACTAGTCAGCAATATATATATTTTTTTTATTTAGTCAAAAATATATTTCCATTGTACACTGAGACTTTAAATAAAAGTTCAAATATGGAGAGTGTGGGCTTCTAAATGGAGAATATGTACAAGAAAATAATGGCAGTTTGTCATAAAACGTGTTTGAGTCTGTGTAGTCCAGATAACCATTATCATACAACTACGGTTAAATACTTGACTTTTTACAATTCATTGTTGCAGCGCCATTAGATTTTATTAAAGTATGCCTGGATTTTAAATGGTTTCGTACTCATTATTTCCTTGAAAGTGAGATGCTAGTCTCATAAGGACTTAAAATATTATTGTTAACTGTTGTAGTAAGTGCTTTTTAAAATTTTTTTTTGCAAATGCATCGTCTATTGGAGGATTTAGCCAAAAAAATTACTGTATTTTTTGGAGTACAAGTTGCACTTTTTTCCATGGTTTGGGTGTTTCCTGCGACTTGTATATTAAAATTTTCACACTGAAGCCACAAGAGGCTCTAGTCTTGTTTGTCAGTATCTGCTGCTCCTGTTCCTCCTGTACCACTGTCACTTCACTCCCTACTGTGCATGTCTCCTGCATAAAAAGCCGCCATCTTGCTGCAAATGGTGAAATATTCAGCCGAAAACGGTAATTGAGCAGCAGAAAGTTGGAATGAGCGAGAAACTTGCGGCAACCAGGAGGACGCACCATGAAACTTTCCTGAAGTCACTGGATGAATTAAAGTCTGGACTTCAATGACACTGAAATCATCGTGTCGGGATTCAGAAAGGCCGGAAAAATTCTAACTGGAACTGATGCAGAGTCTGATGACAGCGACACAGAAGAGGAAGCGGTGCTCCGTTTACATCATGGATCTATGGTTTATCTCCGAAGGTTGCGCAGAAGTGACACCGAGGATGAAGAATTGAATGGATTTAGTGATTTGGAGCGAGATGGAGAGTTTGTTAAACTTGTTCCGTTTTGTTTTTTACGTTATAGTTTATCTGACGAACTGCTCATATGTGACGTTAACAGTCTGTTGTTCTCTCTTCTATTGTTTTTACTAGAACTTGCCTTTTAAGATGAAATGTCGGTTCCTGTCGGTCTCTGATTTATAAAATACATTTCCCCAAAAAGCGAGACTTATGTTTTTTTCTTTTTCATTGCGAATTTTTTGGCTGGTGCGACTTATACTCCGGAAAATACGGTACTCACATTAACATCATTGAGGTCTGGAACGGCCAAGAGCGAGAGCAGAGGACCCACAGCTCCGTGTTTGATAACCCGGTCTCTGAGGGCTGAACCGTCACCTAAAACAAAACAACAGTCACAATATTTAACCATCACATTTTACTACTATTTAACCATTTATTAAAAACCCCGTCCAACTCACCGGCTATGTTCCCCAGCGCCCACACGGCCTGCTCGCTGATGTGCCTGTGCGGGGAGGTGACCAGGCTGATGAAGGCCGGCACGGCTCCTCCCTCCACCACGGCGGCCGTCTGGTCCGAGGTCCCGGAGGCGATGTTGGTCAGGGCCCAGGACGCCTCGAACTGGATGGGAGGGCAGTCGGACAGGCCCAGGAACGACACGAACTTGGGGATGAGTCCGGCGCTGATCATCTGGTTGATGGGAGGGTTGCGGTCGCGGGAGAGCAGCTTTCTGGAAATCACAATGAACTTTGTAAGGCTCAACGATTCGGGAAAAATGTCCAGTTATAGTTTCCTGGCAAGCTTCGCAATTAGATTTAAGATTTATGTTTTAATATTGGGATTTTCAAAGTTCAGTTTAAGATTTGTTCAGAACAATTGACAAAAAATACTAAATCTGAACTGTCAAACAAACAATCACATTTCAGAACATGTTTGTGCAGATTTTATAGAGATTAAGACAGGAGATTTTGTCGTTTGTCGAGGAAATTATAGTACTTTAAAAATTGTGATTTGGCAGATTCTTTAAAATTACAATTCTACAGCAACACAGTAAACTAAAAATAATAAAAGTGTTGAATTTCCAGATCAGTAGTTGCAGTTTTACCTTGCGGCTTGTGTGGCCTGGAGCTGTGTATCGATGTTGCCGCTGTTGACCCCAGCAACGATCTCTTCAACTGTCCACTGTCGGGTCGTCTGCAGAACGAGAAAATATTAATAAATACAAAAAGATGAAACGAAAAAAAAAAAAAACAAAAATAATAAAAATCATAATAATAAATTAAAATATTTATAAAATAAAATAAAATAATAAAATGTATAAAATAAAAAAATAAAAATACAAAATAAATAAAATACAAAATAAAAATAATAATAATAATAAGTCTATTCATGGATTTCAGTAACATGGACCTTACAATTCAACTACTACTGACCAAGATTTAGTTTTGTACGGTCATAATTATTCATTCATTAAAAACAAAAAAACAGGTAAGTACATACTGGTCCTTGTCACGAATATAAAATGGGAACCTGATTTTGCAGCTTGTTACGAAAGTTATGAAAACACTAAAGAAAAGATGACCCCTGTCCAATCTAGATTATCCGTGAGTTTCGGAATCAAGGTTGGGACAGTTGCCACGGGAATTGATTCGAAACTGTCCAAATGTCCCTATTTACCCCGGACAGTCCCAGTTTTGAGCCCTGTGTCCTGTGTCCCAGTAGATTTATACAAAACCACTGATTTGTCCTAGTTTTATTCAAGAAATGTCTCAGGTTAATAAGGGAATGGATTTTGCAGTTTGCTATAAAAGTTATGAAAACACTAACGAAAAGCTCCAATCTAGATTATCCATGAGTTTCAGAATCATGGTTGGGACAGCTGCCATGGGAATCAATTCAAAACTACATATTGCACATGTCCAAAAGTCCTCAAAATGGCACCTATAAACAAACCTGATAAACAAAAAACCCCACAAGAACTATGATGATTCTGATTACCAGGGTTCCCATTCTCTCACTGACAAAATTTCAAAACGTTTCCATAAATACGCTCCGATATAAAGTCTATAAGGTTGATTATTGCAAGGGTTCAAACTCTCAAAATTTCAAAACTTTTCTATGACCTAAAGTGAATTTTCCATGACTTTACAGCACCTACATGTGTGAAATTTATCATATTTTTAGGGCTAAATATGAAATGTTAACGGTTTCCACTCACTTTATGGTTTGGTATTATAGTTTTTTAACATTCAAAATACTGTCAGTGCATTTATTGTCATCTCTTTTAAACAAAAAGGCGCAAACGTTCGGAAATAATCATAATAGTCTAATGAGAACTTAACAGAACGCTGGAGTTATACTAAAATTCCATGACTTTTCCTGGATTTCCATGACCGTGGGAACACTAGATTAGATTTTATCATAAGAAACATCTGAATACAGTATCCCTTTTCAAAATTCAGACCACATTTTCAATTAAAATTAAGTATAAGTAAGTAAAAACACATGATCCAGCTGAGCGACCATTTTAAGAAGGGTGGGGCTTGCAGTTCCATAACACGTTTTAGGAATGCACAAACACATCCAAAATACACTTCTGCACTTCCATAAAACGTACAAAAGTCTGATAATAGTGAGATAAACGCTGACCTGAACATTCTGGCTCTTTTCTTGCAGAGGAGAAGTGGCCTCGTCAGGAAATGAAGCCACATTTCTCCTTTTGAACATCTGATCATCCTTCTTCGCCTTACGCAGCTCCACGTTGCCCTCGACTCTCCTGCGACGAAGCTCCTGCAAAAAAAACGATAATAAAACAATTCAAGATGACAAAAAAACTACGATAAATGCGCAAAAATCACATTAAAAATAAGTTTAAACACACTTACCGCGACATCTTTGCCTTTGTTCTTGAACTGGGTGAGGCGCTGCGCGTTTTCAGACATTTTTGAAGAGGTTAAAATTGGATCTTGAGGTAATGGTTCTGTAAAAAAATAAAAATTTAATTGAAAAAGTTTAGAAAAATGGTGAAAAATGAGCTCGCGCGATCGGTGACACCCGTCAAAAAAAGGCGAGGGCAACGTCGGATTTCACACTAAAACACGCTAAAAATAAACTAATTTGTACTTCTATAAGCAAATCCAACATGCAAAACAGTATCTACACGTATATTTTTAAAGATGCCTTAATATTAAGCTTTAAAAACACGTACAAACAGATTTAAAATGGTCTTACCCTGGCTCAGGCTAAATGCAGTGGTGTGCAGAAAGAGCCGCACAGACCTTTAAATTCCTGCAACGCTGCGCTCCGATTGGTCCGTTCGAGTCAAAACGTCCGAACGCGCGCGCTGATTGGCCCGTTCAAAAGATTCACGCGGCCGACGGGATTCTCGCAGTCACATCGCGGGAACTCGGCGTGTTTACGTAAATCTGACCCAGGATCAGTTTGTACGCAGCCGTGTGGGTTTAGCTGTGATATACCGAGCGGGGAAAAGGCTGGTCCCGGGTCAGTTTGGTGTTACAGCGTAGTGTACAACGTGGTGTGGCTTTGTAGTTCAAAAAAATATGCATCCTGGTCATAAAGTTTTAGCAGTAAAGCGAATATATAACATGATATTTAGCGCATAAAACAACCTTTGCCTTATATTATTAGTTTATGTGATTTAAATGACACCGTAGGCTACAAATTTAAAACTTATTTATATCATAAACTGTAAAAAGAAGGAATGAAACTGGAATGTCTGGGAAACCTATGCAGAGTAGTTTTGGAATATTTGATGTTTTCTTGCATATTTTCTTGCATTTTTCTAGCATTTTTGGTTTTCTGAATAACAAAATGACAGGTCAAAACTTCCTGGTCTAGTGTGTTTAAGGTCAAACCAGATTTTCAACATCAAAAACTGGGACACCATCAGTTTGTGGTGGCTGGTAATAATAAAATTGTGAAACGATTGCATAATTAAAGAAATTTGTTATGCGTTGTGTCAGTATAATCACGTTTTCTTTGTGTTTTGCTCATTTTTAGCATGTTTTTTTCTGTATTTCACCTAAAGAAATGACCATTTATGTCTTTCTTTACTGTTGGCAGGGTTCAGATTGGTCAAAAATGGAGACACCAAGGACATTTCTTGTGTAAAACTGAGACAAATCGGTGGTTTTGTATAAATCTGCTGGGGCAGGGAACACGGGGCTCAAAACTGGGACTGTCCCGGGTAAACAGGGACGTCTGGTCACTCCAAGTGTGTCATTACTGAGTCAAACTATTGTTATTCAAATAGTTGCCTTATTTCTTGCTGTCTGAGACATATTATTGTGAAGCCCTCAAAATGAAAACTGGTACAACTCACTGAAGTCATTTTACGTATTCTAGTCCACGTGCTGTAGTGAAAATAAACAGCATAGGCAACCTGTTTATGGTGACCAGACGTCCCTATTTATCTGGGACAGTCCCAGTTTTGAATCCTGTGTCCCGTGTCCCAGCAGATTTATACAAAACCACTGATTTGTCCCAATTTTATACAAGAAATGTCCCAGGTGTCCCTATTTTCGACCAATTTGAAATCCAGCCACTGTAAAGAGATGAACAAAATGCAACAACAAAAGTCCCTCAGATTTTATATTAACCCACAAGTGAGTCGAGATTGGACAATTTTACACAATCTTATCTGTTTTAATTGTTGTTTATTTTTTACATTTTGTTTATTACTTTTCCTATACATTGAGCTTTCATGTCTTGTTATTGTTTGTGAGAAGTTTATGTATTATTCAATAAAACGTGTGTAATGAATTTGAGGAGACCCCAGGAAGAATAACTACTGATATTTCAATAGCTAATGGGGATCTTAATAAACAAACAAGTTTATTTATACCAACCATCCCAACCTGGGTGTGTCCCAATTTAAAACTATGAAAATCTGGTCACACTAAACCTGTTGTAGTCTCTATCTACATGTTGTTGTTAGATTTAAGCCCATTTCTTCTTTATTGATCTTAATTTTACATGCAAATAAGTATTTACTTCCTCCCACTCCTTTTTCGGACACAAGGAAAATTCTGCGTAACATTTATTTTGCCTGTTATTATAGAATAGAAATAGTTACTTTTTGTGTTATATCTATGTATTTAAGTTTTTTTTTTTTTATTTATGTTCTATGTATTACTGTCCAAATAAATATTCATTCATTTTGCATATTTCTGTTCTGCTGCTGCTACTGGACTGTGTTGCAACCCTGCAATTTCCCCAAATTCTCTGATCTTTTATATCATTATATATCATATCCTCAGCAAAATATAATTCTCAAACTGATGTTATAGCCCACTATCAATGATCTATTAGCCAATTAATTAAAGGGCCCATATCATGCTACTTTCTGACCAATATTTCTCATTAAAAGGCCTGAAGGGACTCAGTGCAATAATCTATTTTATTTATTAAATGTTTTTTTTAATTGGTATGGATGTGAGGATGTGTCTGTTCGTTCATTTTTACTGCTACAGATTTGCTCTGTCGATGTTTCGTTGTATTTTATACAATGACAATAAATAAATCTAATCTAAAAACAAACCTGAACTTTTGTTTTCATTCACACGTTTAACACGCAAACGCTGCATTTAGGCCGAGTTCTTCTCTGTTCCACCTTGTGATGTCGTGCGGTAAAACAGGAAGTGCTCTGCTGTGTTTTTAAACTCCACACACCTTCACTAGAATCATTTGGATAATTTCTCAAGAATTGTCAACGCTCTACTGAACTAAAAAAGTAGCTGAAAACTCCCACAAGATGACATCACAAGGTGGAATAGAGCATTTTTAGCTTTAGAGATGTAGACAGACTAAAAATAAAGTGTTATTTAAATGTGTGAATGAAACAAAACACAACTCCAGGTCTGTTTTCGAGGACATAACATTCTACAGTGGCTTAAACCTCACAAATAATATAGGACTTTTAATATTACCATAAATTTATAACAACTACAGGCTTGTACTACTGAATAGGTACCAGTTTTACTCTGTATTTTTACTTTTTGCTGTTATTAAATCCTGAATATAGAAAAAAAGACACCTGAGAATAAGTGCGTACATTTATAGACATATTTTAATTTATAAACCAAAGAGTTGTAGCCATAGAAAATGAGTGAACTGTACAGTCTGTGTCCAACAGGTTTTGAAATGGATGGTTGTCGTAATGTCACAAAAAAGTGTGTATTTTTTACACGTATTCAGTTCCATTATATACATCAATATTTCTTCAGCGGTGATACAAAAAGAGAGAGTCATTTTAACAACTTCAGATGGCCTTCTCGAGCCTGCCCCTACTGCAAAAACTATTCTTTCACGATAGCTTATTTTAGTGCTTTCTTTCAGTCTTTTGGAGTCTACAAGTGCCGCTTCTTGATTCCCGTTTTGAACATGACCACCACAAAAATGACGCGAAAATGAGTCTTCTTCCACGATGGAGATTCAGGTTCAATACATTAGCTCCAAAAAGAAAAAAAAAAAAAAAAAAAAGAAAAGGTCCCGAGGCGTGCTCAGAGCAGACGGGGGCTTAGGGGTCCGTAAAAAGTTCACGGCCGTATTACGTTTGAGCAGAAGACTGGAGCTTGTTGTTATGGGACCTACAGAGTGTGGAGAGAGGGAGAGTTGAGGGTTTTGAGTGAATCGCTCACACCTCGCAATGCAGAGACAAGAAAAATATATAGATACGAGAGAAAAGCTGTAATTTGGCAACAGAAGTAGTAGAAAGAACGACGGGTGTTGGTTAAACGGATGCTCATATCAATCGTCTGTAATTTGACTGGCTGTATCGATGAATCAAGAATTTCTGACTTCCGGTCATCGCGCAATCCACACTGGGAGGGATTTTACGAAAAAGTGAGCATCAAACCGCCACGTTTTGATTTCCCAGTGAGATGCGTCGATCTTTTCAAGTCTTCTGAACCATATCGCTTTTGTTTCTGGTTCTGATATCGTCATATTTTAGTTTTGGGATTCAGACATCGTTAATTGTGTGGTTGTTGGATCCTAACAGCGGAAAACGGCTCGAGAAATGTTTGTGAACTCCATAAAAGCAAAAGGGAATCAGATGTGTGTGACTGCAAACCTCCGTTCAAACTGTTTCTCTTCCCAACGGAATTGAAAAATAGTGAAAGGCGAAGGTGATGGGCAGGATTGATCCACAGGAAGGACGAAAAGAAATCATTACGAGTTTACAGCGAACATTTTGTATGTGGAGCGCCAACAAAGCGGAATCCCGATCCCTCGTTCCACCTTGGTTATGAATTTAAAAAGTCAACGCCAAAGTGAAAGTCACCAACTGTTCGCCAAGAAACACCTTCCACTGCAAAGAGACCAAGACGTGATGTTGCTGTAAAACCACAAGAACAAGAAAGTGCAGCTCAGTCTGTTTGTCTTCTGCACCTCTACATTAACAGACGGGATTTTGCTTTGATGACACTCCACATACAACTGCAAACTCGGGATGATTTAGGCAGTCAAAGGTTTAATTTTTCGTCCTTCCTGTGGATCAATCCTGCCCATCGCCTTCATCTTTCACTATTTTTCAATTCCGTTGGGAAGAGAAACAGTTTGAACAGAGGTTTGCAGTCACACACATCTGATTCCCTTTTGCATTTACAAATTTCTCGAGCCGTTTTCCGCTGTTAGAACATCCAACAACCACATAATTACGATGTCCGAATCCCAAAACTAAAATGTGACAATATCAGAACCAGAAACAAAACTGATATGGTTCAAAAGACTTGAAAAGATCGACTTTGTCAATAGACACATCCCACTGGGAAAACAAACATGGAGGTTTGACACTCACTTTTTTGGATAATTCCTTCCCAGTATGCATTGCGTAATGACCGGAAGTCCGAAATTCTTGATGCATGTATTCTCAAATATCACCACTAGATGCTGCCAATGTTACTGCTATTTGATTGAATACCAGCTTTAGCCTTGCAGAAGCAAACCAGAGAGCACAGGTGAGTCTGAACAGGTTTCAAATCTATCATCTACTGGTAAATACAAATAAATAAAACATACAGTTGGTAGGCTTTACATAAATGTATAATTATATATAATTTTTTGCTCTTTTTTTCAGTCTAAAACTGTGCACTTTGTAACTTCTGGTAGATTCCAGCACCAACTTGAACATAAAATTTCATGGAAATTATTACTTTGCCTGGAATGTACCACAGTATCCACAGTCTGGTGAAAACAAATCAATAATCTTTGTTTATTACAGCTCTAATGTAAATCTATGACACTCATGAATCATTATGTTAATAAGTCAAAATGTTAATAATTTAAAGAGCTGCAGCTGGAGCTAAAAAACACGTCGGAGCGTTTCCTTACAAACCTGAAGAGCAGAAGTTCAAAACTAATGTGTACAACCATCGTGTCCTTGGGTTAGATCCTTCCAGTTCTTTCTATGTATGAACATGAAGAGCAAAGAAAAGCGACTGAGATGTTGGGCCATGCTTCTTTACAGCCACTGAAAAGCTTCAACCAAATGAGGAGTGAATGAAAATCCGTGAATCATTCGTTCATTTGTTTTTCAAAATAAAACCAAAAATAAGAAAACCAAAATGAAAAAAAAAAAACGGATAATGATTTGTTTCCCGTTTCCGTGGCTTAAACTGCGATGCCAGACTGAAACAGGACTTAACGAGGACTAAACCGGTCTCAGTCCCGGTCTGAGTTCTGAGCACCTCCGGGCTTGTCCTGACACTCCTGGATCAGTCCTGGTTTTGGACTCAGACCGGGACCAGACCTGAGCTGAGACCAGGACCAGACCGGGACCAAGACCGGGACCAAGACCCGGACCCAGACCGGGACCCAGACCGGGACCCAGACCAGGACTGAGACCGGTTTAGTCCTGATTTGGGACTGAGACCGGGACTCAGAGCGGGACTCAGAGCGGGACTCAGAGCGGGACTCAGAGCGGGACTCAGAGCGGGACTCAGAGCAGGACTCAGAGCGGGATTGAGACCGTTTTGGTCCTGGTTTGGTCCTGGTTTAGTCCTGGTTTAGTCCTGGTTTAGTCCTGGTTTAGTCCTGGTTTAGACCTGGTTTGGGACTCAGACCGGGGACTCAGACCGGGGACTCAGACCGGGGACTCAGACCGGGGACTCAGACCGGGGACTCAGACCGGGGACTCAGACCGGGGACTCAGACCGTTTTGGTCCTGGTTTAGTCCTGGTTTAGTCCTGGTTTGGGACTCAGACCGGGGACTCAGACCGGGGACTCAGACCGGGGACTCAGACCGGGGACTCAGACCGGGGACTCAGACCGGGGACTCAGACCGTTTTGGTCCTGGTTTAGTCCTGGTTCAGTCCGGCATTGCAGTTTAAGTCACGGAAGCTGGAAAATGAAAAAACAAATCATTATCATTTTTTTTGTTTTTTTTGGTTTTGGGACAAATAATGACGAGAATTGTTGTTTTTTCATTTTCTTATTTCTGTTTTTATTTTGAAAAACGCATGAACGAACGACACACGGATTAAAGAACCACACACAAGACTGTAAATCATCCGTTTAACTCCCATGCAGTCCACACCTCTGTTGCCAAATTGTTCCCGATGTTATAAAAAAAATCCATATATAACGTTAAATATTCCGGTCAGATCTTACAGCCATGTCGGAGAAACTTCAGGGAATGCCTTTATTAAATCTGAAACGAAGTTAGGTCCAATTCTTCTGTCAAGTTTTCTTCTAATTCTTTTTTTTTTAAAACATTCAAATACACAGTCAAACATGATAAAAACTATGTACATTTTTTACTACTTAAGTAAACAGGACGTACAAAATCATGTATCATAAATAGCTCTCTTTAATAAAAAAAAAGAAATCTGTAGCTCGGTATTTATATTAATACAACATAATGCATGAAGATCCGTCAAAATAAATACAAACGAGGGTCTAAAATGGTCTAGTTTTGGAGTTGTGCGATGGAAAAAAGCGCGTCCCTGGATGGAGATGGAGCTGTACATGGCTGTTTGGGTTTGAGAATTTGGATAATTCTTTGTCTTAAGAGTTAGAGAGAGAAACAGAGAGAGAGACCCCCGACATCCAGTCCAGACTTCTGCTAGACTGGCCCACCTTAATCAGAATCTGACAATCTGCAACACACAGAAATGGGATGGCGTAAATGAAAGGCATGCAGTACCAGAGAACAAGCACAAGGTGGCGGACTTCCAACGAGAGGAGGTAAATGCGGCGGCGTTCGGTCGGCTCTGGGGGGACGACGGCGCGCGGCTGCTTCTGTTCACGGGGAGCGTCGACACATGTAAAGTCTGTGAGGTTGATTACTGCAAGGGTTCACACTGTTTTTCAAAATTTTTTTAATTTTCCATGAGTTTTGCATGACCTAACGTGAATTTTTCATGACTTTACGGCACCTACATATAGAAGTGTATAGTGTAGAATTTATCAGACTTTTATGCTCAATTCTACACATCAATTTGTATTTTTTCAATTTAGCTTTTAATTGAAACTTTGACTTAAAATTTAATTATTATCATTATTACTATTGGTATTATTATTACTAGTATTACTAGTAGTAGTACAGTATACGACTACTACTACTACTACTACTACTACTACTACTACTACTACTACTACTACTACTACTACTACTACTACTACTACTACTACTACTACTACTACTGTTACTGCTGCTACTACTATTATATTTGTTTTAATGAAATTATTATTACTATTTTACTTAGTCTCCAGCTGATTTTAGCTCTCCATTTTAAGTTTTACTATAACCTTTAGGAGCTTTATGTTTATGTTTTATGTTTCTGTTTAAATTGTCATTAGCATTTTATCTGTTGCACTTTTTAAATGTATGAAAAGTGCTGTACAAATAAAGTTTGATTGATTGATTGATTCTTTTAGGGCTAAATATGAAATGTGAACCTTTTCCACTCACCTTATGGTTTGATATTATAGTTTTTTAACATTTCTTGTCAGTGCATTTATTGTCGTCTCTTTTACACAAAAGTGCAGGCGTTTGGAAATAATCATAATGTTTAAGTCTGTGCAATTAATCGAATTTTGATTGATTTTGATGATTCGTGATTTTGATTTGAGTGGCAAACAATCTCCAAACTCACATAATCAACTTGAAATGATTTAAAGCTTAACAAAGTTTATTTGGGGTATAATATATATAAGTATATTTATTTATTTATTTATTTAAATATAGAGATTGTAAAACTGCAGGATATATAGTTTAAAACAAAACAACCACTGGGGGCAGACACGCCCGTATCATTTGTTTTTCATAATGAAACCAAAAATAAGAAAACGAAAACTCTTCATTATGTGTCTCCAAAACTAAAATGAAAAAATAGATTTTCAGTTTGATCTTGTGTTTAAATGAATAATGGAAAAAACAGATAAAGTCCTGGTTAAGTCCAGATGCGGCGCAAAAGTATCGCAGTTTAAGTCACGGAAACAGGAAACGGCCGTTATCTGTTTTTTCCATTATTCATTTAAAAACGAAAAAATGTTAAACTGAAAAAATGAATATTTGTTAATAAATAAATTATTTTTGTTTTATTTTGAAAAACAAATGAATGAACGATACACGGATTCAGAAATCCTCCTTGCGCGCGAGCAAACAGAAAACAACTTTCAGAGAGCTCCTTGTCTTTTTGAGGATGCGTCTGACCCCCAGTGGTTGTTTTGTGCGCAGAACACAGATTTCTCCTCGAGTGCAGTTAGTATCTACAAGCGTGAAATAATAAAATACGCCTGAATTCATCTTTTATTGTGAGTGTGAGGACTATTTTGACGCCATATTCATTAGGCTCTGAAATCATCATTAGCACGGACACACAGATTTACACAGACATTTCTAAAAACAGAAGAGTCCGGCTGTGAAGTTTTCCTCTCATTTGTAAAGTTTTACCATATTTTCTGCTCCCATCGCTCCCTCATCTGTCAGGATTTAGTGATTTTAGTCCGACAGTACAGCGAAAATGGCTGAAATGACCTCCCTTTGACCAGAAGCAGCCGTGTGCCGTTGTGTACAGAGTCTACTCTACAGGTAAAGCCAAAACTGAAACAAAAACAACATAATGGACATGCGTATGGGATGAAAAATGCTCAATACATTCATTAACAACCTTGTAATAAAGTTTGGAATTGTGTGAATTAGTGAATAGATAGACCTTTGTTTGTGCTAGTAACAAGTGAGTCACATAACATCATAGTGAGCGGAGAAGAGTGAAAGCAAAAATACTAATAATAAATACAGAAAACATTACAAAATAGTGCATGTTATAAGATCGTTATCAAGTACAGTTCATGCACAAAGCCCAAGGGAGAGCCCATTTTGTTGTGTTGTATTTACAAGTTGAATTTCTAGGGAGCTGGACTTTTCACAGTTAAAATTTCAAACTTTTCTGTAACAAAAATGTTTTAATAAAAATCGTATACTGTCAAAATGTCTACATAAACAAAAACCCATGACTTTTCTTATCTGTAGATAAGACTTAAAGACCTTGTAGACTTTTTGCCATGTACAAAGTGTCCCAAAAAATTCGATTTCACAGGTCAAGAATTTAGGCAATTATTTTTGAAATAACCTTAAATTTTCACAGAATGTATCAAGATTTTATATATAATGTAGGGCTGGACAAAAATAAAAAATATTAATCGCATGTTATACGCAAAACCAATTCATGAATTAAAAAGTAGTGTATAGCGACTTTTATAGGAAATATAAATGAAAGAGCCAAACATTTGTTGTGTAAACAGCATTTCTTTCAGAGTTGAACCCCCAGAGTCTTCAAGGTATTCTGAAGGCTCAAGAAAAAATATTGAATGATTTTTTGTAAAACTAATATATTTTTTCAAAATTTTTTATTCAGTGAGTAATAAACATGACACTAGTAATAATTTCGAGATCATTGCCATAAATTTGGACTGACAAACTAACAAAGGGTTAATATAATGGAATGGAAATGGACCAATCACAGTTTTTCTTCTAACAGTATCTGGGTAAATCAGTGACTGAGTTATGGACGGGATCATATCACGAAATCTTCTGGACCTTCGTGAATACCCTGTAATAGCATAACGTAAACGAGACTGCAGCAACGAAAACTGCACTGGACACCTCTGTTTGGACGCCTTAGGGGCGTTTGGAAGAAGAAGAAGAAAGAGAAAGACCGAAGCTCGCGGCCCGGTCGGAAATAGGAGCCCGCGGAAGCTCAGAGCCCACGGCTGGTCCAGCACGGTCGGAGCTAGGAGCCTACGGCCTCGCGGAGTCTTGGACACGTTGCATCTCACGTGGTCAGAAAAAAGTGAAAAAAGTGTAAAGAAAAGATGTCAAACGTTTCAATTTTAAGATTATTTCAACAAGAAGTGCAAAAATTATTGGCCTGCGAAATGATGTCGAATTTTTGGGACACCCTGTATTTTAGCAGCTCTTGAGGTCAAAATAAGTCTGCTGTGTGCTTCTGTATCCAATAATAAAGCTTCTTACTGATCAGGACATGCATGTTAGCATGCTAGTTGCTCTGCTCTGGTCTCTGAAAGTTGTGAAAAGTAAAATGTATAGAATTAGGATCCTCAGAACACCGTTAACATTTACTAGTTCTGTTTTTCACGGTTTTAAGACAAAAATCTGGTACTTTAAGGTTACAGAACTGTGATTTGTATTAACTAAACCACATTCCCATTCCCGATACCGGCCTGTTTTTAAGCGTGTGCGTCCGTGGTTACCTGCTGGCCTTGAAGCCTTTGAGTTTCTGCACGAAGAAGGCCTCCAGGACCTCGGCGCACTGGAAGAAGGGCGTGTCGTTGGGGTTGTAGTAGCGGCAGTTGTCGAAGATTTTGGTCACGTCGGCCACAAACTCGGTCAGCTTGTGGTAGTGTCTCTTCTGCAGACGAGTTTCCATGGTGGCGAAATCTGAAAGAAACGACGAAGATGTGGATGAATTCGGCGTTTTGTTCGGTTTATTCCGTAACCGTGCCAAAGATCGAAAGGCAGGAAAGACGAGCAGTACCCATCGGTTCCTTGATGACTCTGTAATAGTCGGGCGCGTCGTGTGGATCCACTGGTTCTAGGAAAGGCCAGGCCATCTTGTGCGACTGGGGATGATATTAAAAAGTACAATTAAACATTTTTTATTTGACAAATCTTTCCGGTTTTCAAATTCCATGGTTAAAGAAGCTAATAATCTGCCCCCTTTCCACCCAAGAATAAATATTTGCTGGTGTAGTTGCACAAAATACACTAAAAAAACAACCATTCCACTGTTTGGCCATCATGAGTATGTGACATTATTTTATGCACGTTAATTCAATTCAAAAATATTATGTAAATTATGAAAAGTGCAAATGTTGTAGAGTAAATTATATGAGCCCAAGAGCTGAAGAAGAGACACGACGCTGGAGTTGAAATCCAGGACCCAGCATCAGAGACAAAAACCTTCTGCATACTGTGTTATATCTGTTCAATTCAAGTCTGACTATGCGTCTACCGTATTTTTCAGACTATAAGTGGCACTTTTTTTCATGGTTTTGGTGTTTCCTGTGACTTATACTCCAGTGTGACTTATATATTAAAATTTTCACACTGACAACCGCAAGAGGGTCTAGGTTTGTGTGTCAGAATCTGCTACTCCTGTTCCTCCTGTACCACTGTCACTTGGCTCTACTGTGCATGTCTCCTGCAGAAAGAGCCTCTGTCCTGCTGCAAGTCGTGAAATATGCAGCCGAAAACAGTAATCGAGCAGCAGAAAGAAAGTTTGGAGTGAGCAAGAAACTTGTGAGGGACTGAAGGTAAGCTGGCAGCTTCATGAGAACCGGGAGGATGCACCATGAAACTTTCCTGAAGTCACTGGATGAATCGACAAAGCCTGTACTTCAGTGACACCGAAACCATCCTGTCTGGATTCAGAAAGGCCGGAATAATTCTAACTGGAACTGATGCTGAGTCTGACGACAGCGACACAGAAGAGGAAGCGGCGCTCTGTTTACCTCCCGAGGTCCAGGAGTTGTTCAGGAGTTGTTCAGAAGTGACACCGAGGATGAAGAATTGAATGGATTTAGTGATTTGGAGTGAGATGGAGAGTTTGTTAAACTTGTTCTGTTCTGTTGTTTATGTTATAGTTTATCTGAAGAACTGTTCATATGTGACGTTAACAGTCTGTTGTTCTCTGTTCTGTTATTATTACTAGAACTTGACTTTCAAGATGAAATGTCGATTCCTCGTTTCTGATTTTACTTATAGTCTGGCACAACATACATGTTTTTTTCTTCTTCATTGCTCATTTTATGGCTGGTGCGACTTATACTCGAGAGCTACTTACAGTCTGAAAAACACAGTAATATTGAATATTGTGTTAATACCAGTGTCCTGTTACCTGTAGGGACCGTAGTATTCTCTTGAGCCCCTCGCAGTCTTTGTCTGTGAGTGGAGAGAGAACAGTCATGGCGTCCTCGGTAGACTGGCACTGCGGGCACACGTACACGTCGATGTGGTTGGCCTCGCTCTGGAGGATGCCCACACAGCGCCCGTGGTACCAGTTCTGACAGCGGTCACAGCCGATGTAAAACCTGCAACACAGCACAGGAAGTCAGCTCCAGCAGAGACGGACGACGGTCTAAAGACGGGACACACGACAGCTCAAATGTTTATACTAACTGATTACAGTTGCTACAATTAAAATAACAATAACACATAACACTTGTATAGCGCTTATCAAGACACTAAAAGACACTTTACATGAACAGACAAACAAAAGCAAACAAAAGAAATAAGAAAGTTAATGAAAGGTGGTTTTACAGACATGGTTTTTAGGGCTTTTTTAAACATGGGGAGTGAGGATGTGGTTTGTGATGTAAGCGTGAATAGAGCCTATACCTAAAGTTTTAATGAATTTTAACGCCATGTATTTTAGCAGGTCTTGAGGTCAAAATAAGCCCAAATAATTCAATTATAAAGCTTCTTATTGACTGATAATCAGGACAAGTGTGTTAGCCTTATGGTCAAAACTCTGCTCTCTGAATGTTGTTTCTATGGAGAAGTTTAATGCCATACTGTGGAATATTCCAGGTAAAGTGTTAACACATCCAAGGAGACATGTCAATAAATATGAAACAGAATATAATTGTGAATCTATTTTGTCTAGATCTTTGGTAACGTACTGTGATTCGTCGTACGGGGTCCGGCAGATGCAGTAGAGTTCTTCGTTGCTGCTGCTGCCCCCTCCTGTCTCCTGGCCGCGTTTACAGTCGTTACACACAAAGTCCTCCAGCTTCTTGGCCTCCTTCTCCGTGATGCCCACACACGCTCCGTGGAACCAGTTTGAACACAGGTCACAGCCAATGTAAAACCTGCACGAAACACAACACACATGTTATTCATTCACTCCTCAATTAGACATGTAGATACTTTTATTAGTCTTTTGTCCTGAGGGCAGTTCCTCTCCTCAAACTGCCTCACCTGGCTGTTACTCTCCTCACTTTCCTGTTAAGCTGCACTGATACCTTCGACTGAGGCAACAATCTAGTCCAGAGTCCTGCACCAGGTCGGGTACCCGCAAATAGTTGCTGAAACGGGCGGGTTTTAACGTTCTGGAAATTTACAGACTGGTAACGATTACGCACGGGCGAGTGAGATGAATCAAATGAACGATGAACGGGAGAAAACTAACTGATGCGTGTCCAGGACGTCCGATGGCCTGGAAACAACTGACATTTCCCGGTCTGAGGCTGAGAAAGACTTTAGTGTATTTATTACATAAAACCATCAGGGGATGCGATTTAGACCTGATTTAGATCTGGTTTAGTCCTGTTTCAGTGCTGGTACAGACCTGGTTTAGACCTGGTTTAGACCTGGTTTAGACCTGGTTTAGACCTGGTTTAGTCCTGGTACAGTCCTGGTACAGTCCTGGTTTAGACCTGGTTTAGACCTGGTACCTGGTACAGACCTGGTACAGACCTGGTTTAGTCCTGGTTTAGTCCTGGTACAGACCTGGTACAGTCCTGGTTTAGACCTGGTACAGACCTGGTTTAGACCTGGTACAGACCTGGTACAGACCTGGTACAGACCTGGTTTAGACCTGGTACAGACCTGGTTACAGACCTGGTTTAGTCCTGGTTTAGTCCTGGTTTAGTCCTGGTTTAGACCTGGTTCAGACCTGGTTAAACTTGGTCCAGTCCTGTTGTAGTCCTGGCGATCGGCTCGGCGGTTTGTGGCGTGTATATATTTATAATCCACTAATGACACGGCGTAGGTTTAGTCCTGGTTCAGTTCTGGAATAATGGGCTAACCCCAATTTATCACGGGCGGGTAACGGGTGGAATGTTAACAGGTCCGGGCGGGTGCGGATTTAACTTTGATATAAACACGGGTTAACGGACGGGTGTGGGTCTCCAAAAATGGACCAGTGCAGCACTCTGATCTAGTCCCACATGCCTAAAGAGTCAGACCAAAACATTCAAAATCACTTTCAGTTTTTACCATGGATTTTGAAAGCTATTGTCTAAAGTCAAAGCCAAATTAACATTATTCTAAATTTGCCAGTATAATTAAATTTGTTTGTTCTAGTTTGAATCCCTCTGGCACGAAAAAGCGTCTCTTACTTGGACTCGTCGTAGGGAGTCTTGCAGATACAGTACAGCTTGTTGTCCTTCTTGTGCTCCTTTGAGGTAGACGACTGCTTCTTCTTCTTCTTGTGTTTGGACGAGCCGTGGTCGTGGTCCCGGTGCTTGTCTCTGTCCCTGTCCCTGTCTCGGTCCCTGTCTCTGTGTTTGTCCCTGTCTTTGTCCCGGTCTCGTTTCTTGTCCTTGTCGTGGTGCCTGTACTTGTCCCGGCTCCGGTCCCTGTCCCTCTCCTCCTCCCGCTTGCGTTTGTGCGGCGAGGACGACGACGACGAGGAGGAGGAGGGCGGAGGGGGCGGGTGCGGGGCGGCGTGGGGGGAGGGGTGCGTGGGGGGCGCGGGGTGGGCGGACGGGTGCGAGGGGTGTGAAGGGTGAGAGGGGTGGGAGGAGGCTGTCGCTTTGACGGTGGCGGCGGCGGCCTGGGCGATGGCGGCTCGGGCCTTCTCGCGTTCTCTCTGGAGACGAGCGATGTCCCGACGGAGCTCCTCCTGAAAACAAACACGAAAGAAGAACCATGTGAGGAGAAAGTTCAATCTGGTCCAACTTCAACCACCAATATTGTTTATGGTTAAACGGGAATCCCAGTCATGTCAAAGAACAATTTAGGAAACATTTTGCATCTTAGATATGACAAAGTTGGTTTATTTGTCTAGAACGTTCATGTCACACTTTAGCATTTTTCTGGGAAGCTTTAAAATGGCTTTATCGTCCATACACAGAATAAAAATACAGACATACAGTTCAGACGCTCTGGTGAGTGGTACCTGGACTTGCAGCTGCAGCTCCTTGTCCAGCAGAGCTCTCTTCTTGAGGATCTCGGCCTTGAGCTGCTCCTTGTGCTTGTACAGTAGTGCCGTCAGTTTGGAGGCGTTCTGCTTGGACCTCTTCTGCTCCACCACCTCCTCCTTCTTCCTCTTCTTAGCTGCCTGCTTCTCGTCCTTCTCGATCTTGTCCAGGAGGAACTTCATCACCTGGTTGCACACGATCATCCTGCAGACGCACCAGAATAAAGTTAGTATGAAAGATCTCGCACTGTTACATATTTTTTAAAGAATGTAGATTGATGTTTGTGTTATTATAATATTTTTATATGAGCTTATGTTTTGAAAAATAAAAGGTACTATGTATATTAGGGTGAATTATTTGCCCCAGTGTCAGAAATTTAACTTGTACCCAATTTTAAAATGTGACAAAACCAATTAAAAGAAAATCTGTGGAATATTTGCTCAATTTAATAAAATCTACTGGGTCCACCCAGACTCTCAAGTTCCATCCTAACAGTGTCCATAAGGCTCTGGCAGAAAAATCTGTTTTTCTCAAATAACTTTAAAAATAATAATTTAGGGCCATGGTGTCACTGAAAGTTGAAAATAAATGTTGCTATTTTAAATCTCTATCTTCATAACTTTCTAAGATATGACAATTTTTTCATACTTATCTAATATCCACAAAGGCCAAAGATGAAATGAGAGACAAAGTTTATTCTTTCTGTAGTGATCGTAGACTGTATAAAAAAGTGGAGTAAGTGAGTGCGACATCACCCAGAGCATCTCAATGACAGGTACGGCTCAGGGTTTGGTAAACCTAAGTTTCCAGAAAGGATAAAGATGTTATTAAAGAAAAACTGATTTTTCAGCTCAGATTGAAGGCTTCCACAGGCACTAAATTTCAGAGGCTTGGTGGACCCAGTAAACATCATTTTCCGGTCAAGCGGTAACAGAGGGAAAACAGGGGCAGATTTTTTACATTCAAATGTCTCTTATTCAGAAACTAGAGGGACTATTGAAATAAGTAAAGTATCAGAATGTAGGAAAGAGTTACACTCCAACAGGGTCAAGTTAAACCTGTGATATTCTTTCAAGTTGTTGACAAAAAATTTAAAAACTCATGTCGGTAACAGAGGGAATGAAATATGCAGCACTTTTTGGGCAATAAATACAAACAGTGATAACTCTTGGTTCTCACTTACATATTCCTTAACAAACTGGTTTGAATATTTGCTTCATATAGTTTTCTACCATATGGTACAAGATTAGGTTGAAAAACCTCTTACTTTTTGAGTAATGAGATTTTTTATTAAGAAAGGTCATGGTAACGGAGGGAAAAGTAACGGAGGGAAAATTGTGCAAACAAGTAGAAGGTGCATGATTTTGCATAATTTGTCAACTTTTTTGTTTTCCGAAAACTTTATTACTACTTCAAAATGAAAGGAAACTATTTCTATAAAATATGTCAGTCCTTCCAAGCAAATTTTTATCATTTTAAATACATTTAAAAAAAAAATCATGTACCTTCATCAACAGTTCAAAGATATGATGAAATACATCCATTTATTTACATGATTTGCAGGTCTTTGAAATTTGGGAAATAATTTTTGTTCCATGTTTCATACATGGTCTGTTAAAAACGTATGAAACTTTAGAACCAAAAATGGTACAGAAAAAAGGTAAACAGTTTCATAAACTAGAGCACATATGTATCTGTTGAATACATTTTTATATCAGATGCATTAACTTGAATTTTTGGCCTTGCTGTTTACTTCTGCTTGACCGGGCCCATCAACAGAATTTCATGAAATTTCTCATGGAAGTTTACTTGCAAATGATGCAACTTAATGTCTATGCCATGATACAAGTGAAAGTATAATGATTATAGGAGCACCTACCTCTGGTTCTCTTCTCGCTCAGCAGCAGCCAGAGATTTCTTTTGCTTCAACAGCTCTGCAGCAGAGTTCTTGAAGGCCACCTGAAGGAAATTAATTCATATGGAATTTACTGTCTCTCTGCTGAAATAATTTTTATTGTAAATCACCTGTAAATAATGCATGGAATAATTCTCGGGTAACTAGTCGTGTACTCTCCAACTGCAAACTGTACAATAGTGGTGACACAGACCCGACCAGCAAAATGGGTCCTTCAAATGGTGAGCAAATCAAATCAAATTTTTGCAAAGCTTCATGCAAATGTCCAAAAAACGAAGAGCATGTAAATGCCTTAGTTTAAAGAAATGCCTAAAGAGCAGTGCTGGGAATCATTAAAAAAGCCTATTATGTTATTTTTTTTATTATTATTATTTATTTATTATTATTTTTTTTTCTCTTTTTTTTAATGTACCTTTTACATTTATATGAATTTTATGTGTGGAAAAAAAAAACCTTGGCATTTATATTATGACTTAAATGGAGAAAAAAAAGCACTGACTATATTCCAAATTAAAGAAAAAAAGTTGACAATGAGATACATATCTCGATACATTGAGCTTTCGATTCGATACGATATATTTTAAATTGCTTCGATACAGTTCAATAAAAAATAAAGGCTAAATCATGTATGTGATAAAAGTAAAAGTCTTTGTTAAAACCTTTCTTGTGCAAAGTTCATATGAAACACAAACATTTTAATCATCAAAACAGTGAAAATGTCAAATGTGTCGCATAAACGAGTTTCCTTCCTCTAAACAAGCAACAAAACTGTAGCGCTGTTTCAAAATAATTTAGTAAAATATGCCAAAAAATACTCATGGCATTACATCGACACAGCAGTCCCTGATATTGATACCGGATCATCAAATTAAACGCTAAGATATATCGATATTTTGATATTTTTGCACATCCTACTAAAGAGTGACTGTAAAACTAATTGCAAACTAAAAGATTACACTGATTGTTTGTGGAAAGCATCAATTTCGTCGACCTAAACCACCAAACTACTGCGCAAGATTTAAAAACATGATTTTCTGAATGATCCATGAACTTCTTCAGTCCTGATAACAACAACAATGATACTTTGACTTTAAATATCTGCCATTATCTGCGTCTGTCAGAGTCGGTCTCACCTTGTTGTGAAGCCCGTCCCTGTTTCCAGCTGCCTGTAGGTGGTGCTCTTTGTCCCTTTTGCTCTCGCTGTGTTTCTTCTTCTTTGGCGGCGTGGGCGTTTGCTGCTGGACCGGCTGCTGTTGCTGCTGTTGTTGTTGTTGTTGTTGTTGCTGCTGCTGGTGCATCCTCTGTAACTGCTCCTGCACTGTGGGCGGGGCCTGGATCGTCACCATGTTCTGAATAGCGCCCCCCGCCGTCTGGATCTGTATGGGCAGCTGTAGTTTGATCTGCTGCGGCACCGCCCCGCCCTGCTGCTGCGCCTGCGCCTGGATCTGAGCCTGGATCTGGGCGGCCACGTGGGGGGGCAGGGCCGACAGGAGCTGCACGGGCTGCTGGAGGCCCGGGACCGTGATGAGCTGGTGCCGGATGGGGGACTGCACCTGGATCTGGCCTGGGACTCCCGGGGGACTCTGGGGCTGGAACTGCACCTGGAGCTTAGCCTGGACGGGGGGAGACTGGGGGAGGACCTGGGGGGAGGTGGGTGGCTGTGCTTGGCCCGGTTGTTGCTGCTGTTGCGGTTGCTGTTGGGGTTGCTGTTGGAAGTGGACTTGGACTGGCCCGTGAAGCTGCGTCTGGAGCTGGGGGGTCTGAGCGGGGACCTGGGATGCGGACTGGACCCGGGTGGGACTCTGGACCAGAGGGAGGGTTTGATTTTGGAACTGCACCTGAGAGAAAGACCAACACAAAACACTTTTAATACTTTTGATTTTGTTGCTGCTTTTGTCTTTTAAAACTGTCTGTGCTTCTAGGATAGTCCTGAGGTAGCTTAGATCTTCTAGTCTAGTCCTGGTTCAGTTACAGGTTTTGTATCGGTTTAGTCCAAATTTTGATATGATGTGAACACAGCCTTTTGAGTAAAATATTAGATGTCATTTCAACTTCAGTATAAAAAGAAAAACCTTCACACTTTGATTATTTACAATAATATGAAAAATGTTTAAAAGGGTCCTTTCACACCGACAGCAGTTGGTGCACCAAACGTTCCATTTGAATTAAAAACTCTTAGTTCAGTTCATTTTCGTTGGTGTGAAAGCAACCATCACACTCTGATCTGCACTAAATCAAGCGAACCGAGAGCTCAGAAAAGAGGTGGTCTCGGTCCGCTCGACTCCGCTCCAAATGCCAAACTCTGGTGCGGTCCCTCTGGTATGAATGCAAACATGGGTCATAGACAGTTTCTCCAAACTAATTATGGGATGCGTCATGGAAGGGCAGGCTCAGACTCTCAAACTGAGAGCGCCAACCCCTCCCCGGTCCTCATTTTCCACCATCCCAAACTGAGTGTGCGGTGGCGAACCCTTGTGCCCCAATAAAGGGGTGTGACAGGGGTAAGGGTTGGGTCTGGACGCACGCACTGTGGCTGGCGGTAAGTAGGTCTGTGAGTCCAGGCTCCCCGGGCCCAGGGAGCTGGAGGCCAGCTTCCGCTTGGGAGGATAGGGACTGACCCACGGCATCAGTACCCTGTGGAGGGGCGCCATGGAAAGGCCACAGGGTGAGATGGTGCGTCTCGGCCTCGCCTGACATATGGAATAGCCTCAACATCTCTGAGCCATGTGCAGTCGAACCCGCTGTGTGCAGGAGCCTTGGATATACAGTACATCAATTGGACCAATTTTGGTTGGTTTGCAGGTGTGAAAGCGAAACACACTGAAGTCTATATGCTACAGAAGAACTATTTTATTCTCTGGTGTGGACCAAATAACCAAACTAGAGGTGTGAAAAGATGATGAAGATTTTATTAATGAAGTAACACTGTTAACTGCTCGAAAAACCTGATTTTGGAAAACATACTGTTCAAATTCCTCCCTTCTGATTGGGTAGTTATTTTAAGTAACTCTTGTATTAGGTCTACAGTAAGTCATGTATGTAAAAAACTAAAATAATTAACTGAATACAAAAGGAAACCCCAAAGAAAGTAATAAAGTCATACCTGAGGATGGACTTGTGTCTGGACCTGCGTGGTCTGCTGCAGCTGTGGTCTTGGTTGAAACTGCACTCGGACCTGCTGCGGGTGGATCTGCCCTGGTTGTGCTTGGTTCTGCAGCTGTTGGATTTGCTGAACTTGGCCGAAATTCTGCACCTGGATCTGAGCTCGGATCTGGGCCGGACCCTGAGCCAGACCCTGAGGCGGGAGGGAGGGGCTGGTCTGGACTTGGAGGTGAGTTTGCCCGACCGTCGTCATGACCGTGGACACCGGTATACCCTTTATGTGCAGCGCGACCGAGGAAGCTGGAATTTGTGCGGAAGAAGTCTGAACGGGAATTTGAGAAGTCTGGATGTGGGAAAGCTGAGAGATTGGAATTTTGGCGATTTGGCTTTGCGTGGGCGAAATCTGGGCAACGGAAATTTGGGTAGGAGCTTGAGTTTGCGATACCGGGATGTGAGAAACTGGAATTTGGGTTACGGCAAGTTGCGACGTCGGAATTTGCGTAACGGATAACTGGGACGTGGGAACTAATCCGCCTTGAATTTGGGATACGGGAAGCTGAGAAGACTGGATTTGAGCAGTGGCAACTTTGGAAACTTGAGAAATTTGCGAAGACGGAATTTGATGTGCTTGAATTTGGGATACTGGAATTTGCGAAACCGGAATTCTGGACACGGAAAGGGGAGAGGTAGGAATTACTGCTCCTTGAATAGGGGACACAGGAAGCTGAGGCGATTGGATTTGCGAAGGAAGTTGAGAAGTTTGAATTTGCGTCGTCGTGACTTGGGAAACTTGGGAGATTTGTGAATGCGGAATTTGCTGTTGAATTTGGGATACGGGAAGCGGAGAAGCTTGGAGCTGAGAGCTGGGAATTAACGCCCGTTGAATTGGCGATACAGGAAGCTGAGAAGTTTGAATCTGCGTGGTCGCCGCTTGGGAAATTTGCGAGATTTGCGAATGCGGAATTTGAAGCGGGGAAAGGGGAAGCTGCGAGGTCGGAATTTGGGTGACTTGCTGCATGGAGACCGGAGTGGGAGATTGTACTTTAGGCTGAGGAGCGAGCGAGTGCGTGGAGGTGGGGACGGGGGCGGGGACGGGGGCAGGAGACGGGAGAGACGCCTGAAGAGGGGGCAGGTTGGCGGGCTGAGCGGAGACGACGGCCTGCTGGACCGGCTGGAGCGCTGGAGCCTGAGGTTGGGCGGCGGTCCAGGCTTGAGGCGGAGGTGGCGCTCTCTGTCCCGTCAACACTGCAATGAGATAAAAAGAAATAAATCAGGTTAATTAAACGCACTAAATATTTTTTAGACTTATGTAATCACCAGGTTGTCCAGGTAGCTTCTACAAGTGGATAAATATTTTTAGAGCACTGCGTAACTTTTCTGGAAGAACGTCCAAAAGTAAGTAAGTAAAGTTTATTTATATAGCACTTTTCACAGACATAGACCACAAAGTGCTTCACATTCAAAAGATAAAGAAACATTCATAATAAAATCAGTCATAGCAGCTCTAAACCTGAGAGGGTGGGTACGCTTGTTCAAAGAGAAACGTTTTTAGTTGCTTTTTAAATGCATCTACACCAGGGGTCACCCAACTTTTTTCTCTGGGGGCCACATTATCGCACCTGACTGTGATGCACTACACTACTCTGCCCTACACAACTCTGCACTACACAACTCTGCACTACACGACTCTGCACTACAGTACTCTGCACTACACAACTCTGCACTACACAACTCTGCACTACACAACTCTACACAACTCTGCACTACACAACTCTGCACTACTACTCTGCACTACAGTACTCTGCACTACAGTACTCTGCACTACACACTACACTCTGCACTACACAACTCTGCACTACACACTCTGCACTACACAACTCTGCACTACACAACTCTGCACTACACTCTGCACTACTCTGCACTACACTCTGACTCTGCACTACACGACTCTGCACTACACGACTCTGCACTACACGACTCTGCACTACACGACTCTGCACTACACGACTCTGCACTACGACTCTGCACTACACGACTCTGCACTCTGCACTACGACTCTGCACTACACGACTGACTCTGCACTACACGACTCTGCACTACACGACTCTGCACTACACGACTCTGCACTACACGACTCTGCACTACACTACTCTGCACTACACGACTCTGCACTACACGACTCTGCACTACACGACTCTGCACTACACGACTCTGCACTACACGACTCTGCACTACACGACTCTGCACTACACTGACTCTCTGCACTACACGACTCTGCACTACACGACTCTGCACTACACGACTCTGCACTACTACACGACTCTGCACTACACGACTCTGCACTACACGACTCTGCACTACACGACTCTGCACTACACGACTCTGCACTACACGACTCTGCACTACACGACTCTGCACTACACGACTCTGCACTACACGACTCTGCACTACACAACTCTGCACTACACGACTCTGCACTACACAATTATGCACTACAGTACTCTGCACTACAACAACTCTGCACTACACAACTCTGCACTACACAACTCTGCACTACACAACTCTGACACTCTGCACTACACACTCTGCACTACAACAACTCTGCACTACACAATTATGCACTACAGTACTCTGCACTACACAACTCTGCACTACACAACTCTGCACTACACAACTCTGCACTACACAACTCTGCACTACACACTCTGCACTACACAACTCTGCACTACACAACTCTGCACTACACAACTCTGCACTACAGTACTCTGCACTACAGGACTCTGCACTACAGGACTCTGCACTACAACGACTCTGCACTACACAACTCTGCACTACACTACTCTGCACTACACGACTCTCTGACTCTGCACTACACGACTCTGCACTGACTCTGCACTACACGACTCTGCACTACACGACTCTGCACTACACGACTACACGACTCTGCACTACACGACTCTGCACTACACGACTCTGCACTACACTCTGCACTACTCTGCACTACACGACTCTGCACTACACGACTCTGCACTACACGACTCTGCACTACACAACTCTGCACTACACAACTCTGCACTACACAACTCTGCACTACACAACTCTGCACTACACTACTCTGCACTACACTACTCTGCACTACACTACTCTGCACTACACTACTCTGCACTACACATACTCTGCACTACAGTACTCTGCACTACAGTACTCTGCACTACACAACTCTGCACTACACAACTCTGCACTACACAACTCTGCACTACACAACTCTGCACTACACAACTCTGCACTACACAACTCTGCACTACACAACTCTGCACTACACAACTCTGCACTACAGTACTCTGCACTACAGTACTCTGCACTACAGTACTCTGCACTACACAATTATGCACTACACAATTATGCACTACACAATTATGCACTACACAACTCTGTCACTGTTTGATCTCGAGCTTGTCACGTGATGAACATTTGGCTGCAAGTGTAAATATGTCATGTAATTATTTAAATATAAATACTAATAAATAAATAATCATATAAATATATTTTTAATTGAAAAAAAGTTATATATATGTATGCATACACAAGACGCAGATGTGTTATTATTTGCCAAAAAGTAGTTAAAAATAATAGGCCATGACAACTTTTGAGTATTGCCTCATAGGGCTGGGGGTGGGGAGTTTAAAGGAGCGTGAAGAGCCCCTTTAGTTGATCTACACTATCTAGAGAGTGAAGGTAAGGAGGCAGTTCATTCCAAAGTTTAGGTTGAGACGGCTTGAAAGGCTCTGTTGCGTTTTAAAACTTGTCCAATGGACCATTAGCAGATTTTGGCTGGTAGACCTCAGGCTACGGGCGGAGGTGTACGGCTTTATCAGATCTGTGATGTAAGCAGGAGCCCGGCCTTGCAGAGCCCTAAACGTCAGCACCAGGATCTCAAAGTGGTGGTCTCCATGAAGATGTTACTACTTTCCCTGTAATCTTAAATGAACGCAAGATAGAGACGTTTATTTGCCATAAACGTGAAACATTCCTAGCAGCCCCTCCCATAAGAAAAGTTACATTAATTTAACCGTTTGCTATGTTGAAAAAGTAACAGTAAAAGAATGAATATAAACTGTGAGGGATGTCAAACTGTAACAGATTTTGTGATAAGTAACATCAAAATCTGTGCCACTCACTATAAATTACACAACAGTGGGCATTTTAAAGTCACAAAAATTCTCAAGCAAAGTCTGGAATTGATCTCAGAGCCTTCAGTGTGAGAGGCGAGCGCACGAACCACTGAGCTATGAAATCAGATCGTGGGATAGTGTAAAGGCCGTACACAGCGGAGCAGTTTTATCGGCCAAATGCCATCACAGCAGATAAAGCTTTGGGGTTGTGTAATCATTGCATCACCGTTAAAAATGCTCCATCAGCTTTTATGTTTTATTTTTGTATTTGATGCTCTAGGTGGGTTTATTTATACTCTTTACAGAAATGAGGAAACGCCAATCTATTTACTTGTACTAGTTTTATTGACTTAACGAGTAGAGCTTTATTTATACTTCAGGTGGATCTGTTTTATTTGTATTGTGCAGTACTTTTTGAAACTGTTTTGTTTATGAAATGTGCTATGTAAATAAAGTGTACTGGATTGGATTGGAATAATCAAATAATTACATTACTAGGGCTGAAGTTAAAACAGAAAGTGAGCAAGCAAAATACGTGGATCTTACATAATCACACCCACTTCCCCGTTTTTTTGGTTTTTTTTGGCCGATAGCTGTTGACATTTTATTAAACACGCCCGATATTTCTGATAACAGAGAAACAATAGTGGAGAAAAACCTGACAAATGAGATGAAAATGAAGAAAATGAGTTTATTGGAGCAGAGACAAACGCTTGGCTCACAGTTCGTATCTGATCATGATTCATATAAACCTGGTAACATTACATTTAAAGGCACACTACGCAACTTTTCTGGTGTATGCAACCTGCTCTTCTCTTCTCAGATCTACAGAGAAGCATCCCTACTCACGGTCAGAGCAGCATGTTTTTCATTGTGTTTTTATTTATCAGTAAAAACAAATAAATAAAATGTGATGGATAAATTAAACGTGGAACATTCAAGTCTAAGCAAAAGTATTTAGTGCATGTTTAGGACGTAACTTTTTTTCCAGATCAGACCAGTTTAGAACATCGTCATAAGAGTCATATCACCATTTCATATAACACTTAATAGGCGCGTTTCAGCTGACGTCATTGTTATTAAAAGCCCACGTTGCATGCTGGGAAATATTTTGGTCGGAGGCAAGAAACACGGTAGTGGTCAAACACAGTGCGTAACCTTGCGTATTTATCCCCGATAATGGTAAATTCCTGCTGCATTATCGGATGCACAAATAGAAGCACGGAAGAAGGAAAATGTCTTTTTCATATTCCGAGTGAAAAGAACCGCTAACGGTGAATTAAACGGCTTTCAAACATCCGCAGAGCAAACGTAGAAGATCCAAACCGTGGACTCCAACAAGTTCAACAACACATCGAGACTCTTGGAGGTTTTCATCTTTTCTGCTGTGAATGGCCCAGGAGTTTTCACCAAGTTATTGTGGATATCGCCCAAGTGAATATTTGTCCAGGTAGTTGGCGATTCTGACCAGAAATTTGGTTTGTTCCACCTTTTGTCGGGGTTGAAAAGGGTGATTTGGCTCCGTCGATGCTTATGACCAATTTCTGGTCAAATCGTCTTGGGTCCTCTGCCATTAAATGGGCCAATAACCGGGATCAATACCCTTTACGTGCTTTCTCGCTCCGTCCGTCATGTTGAATTAGTGTTTCTTGCCGCCGACCAAAATAATTCCCAGCATGCAACGCGCGCTTTTGTCAACAATGAAACTTGCCTATAGGGACGCAACGATACATTTTTCCCACGATTTCCACGATTCGATTTTGATATATTTTAAGACACACACACAAAAAAAAAATCTCAAGTAACTATTTTCTGCTAATGATTATAATATAACACGGTGATATTATCGTGATCACGTGACTGAAAACCTCCTATTACTAATATCATTTTGTTTCAGTCAATAAGTAAGAATATTTAAATCTAATAATAAGTTAAACATTAGTATTCCAAAGTCCACAGCACTTTACCTGGCACTGAGGGCGTTGTGGACGTGGCGGTGACCGGGGTGACCACAGCGCTGGCCGCGACGGCGTGAAGCGGGGCCCGGACGGCGGCTTGCACCTGCGCTCGGGCGGGAGACGGCACCGATACCTGCGTCACGCCCATGACCGGAGCAGACACCGGGGCCAGAGCCGGGGTGGGGACGGGGGGCACGTTCACCGGGACCGTGGCCGTGGCCGCCGGCGACGCTACGACCTGGGTGGGACTCTTCACGGCGAGGGCTGGCGGTCTCACGGTGGGTAATTGGGGTGTGATTTGGGCGGGGTGTACCGGTTGTAAAAGTTCCTGCGGCGGCGTTAGGAGCTGGGCTGGGAGCTGGTGCTGAGGTCTGGCGGGCGTCGACGTGGCGGTGGGCGACGGTTGCGTGAAGGCCTGGGTGAGATTCGCGGGTTGAGTCGCGACGGGGGACACGGCGGGTCCGAGTTGCGAGCTCGGGGTCAAAACCTGCGTCGTCACGGGCAGCTGGGCGACCGTCTGGATCGGGTTGAGCAAAGGAGCGGGGAGCGCCCTCTGCAGCTGCGGTGGCGTGGTGACGGACGGGGGCGAAATCGAAGGGGCAGTGGGTAAAATTTGCGGGGCGATTTTCGGTAGAATTGGGGTTGAAGTGATCGGAGGTTGAGCCGGTTGGACTGGACTCGAGATCGGGGTCGGTAGAGGAGCGACCATTTGCATTTGGGCCAGGGAGGAGGGCGTGGTCTGGACGGGAGCGGGTGGGCGTGGCTGTATGGGCGTGGGGGTTTGGGGGGCGGGTCTGGCGGGCATCGCTGCTGCGGTCGGGGCGGTTGTGGTGGCGGGCAGAGACGAGGAGGAGGAGGAGGAAGGGGGCAGGGGCGTGAAGAGGAAGCGCTGCACTTGGCCGTTGGGCATGGCGGCCTGCATGAGCTGCTGTCCCGGCCCGGGGATGACGGTCACTCCCTGGGGTACGATCTGCAGCTGGCCCTGGGTCTGGCCCTGGCCCTGGATCACCACGGTCAGGCCGGGGTTTCCTTCCTGAAGAGAAAAGGAGGCAACAGAAGAGGTTATAGGTAAAATGTTTTATCAAATGTTTCTTCAGTGTCAACATTTGGGCAGCAATATAAGAAAAATACATTTGTGAAGTATTTGTTAAGTATTTCTGGGTCTGGGTGATACTTTTTTCCCCCAAAACACTGATTTTTCACAAGCTTTTGTCTTATTTCCTGCACATAATTAAGACTAACTTTTAAAACCCTTCAAGATCTCAAGGCAATTTTAGTACCTCGCCTGGCTTTTTTTTCTTTAATTTTGCTATTAAAACTCCCACGTTTACCCTCTAATGAAGTGTTATACATCTTTTTTTTTCAGTACAACCTGTTAGTTGTGTCATATGGCTGTAATAAAAGCTACAGGACCAGAAATACAAATGAAAACAAAAACAAAACAATAGAAAATTCACAATCTTTTACACATAAAACACAGCAAATATGTATAAACAACTTTTTGGACATAAAAAATGCTTAATTTAGGGTCTTAGTGCAAACTATCAAGTCTGTAAATAAACTAAAAATATCCTTATTGCCTCAAAACAAGACAAAAGAGTGCAATTGCCCCATGACTTTCCTGGTGTCAGTCATGGAAACGGCTCGTGTCAGGTCCAGGCCACAGTGTCACATCACTTCCTGCATTTCCATGGTGTTTATTACATTTGGATTTGCACATTTTGAGTGACATAAACCTTTCAAACTAAAAATATTGAGGGATGAGCAATTACGCAGACCAAGATGCGTAATTTGCCATTTGTTTGAGAAGTAACTGCACTTAGAGCGGCTCTTTGGCTAAGTCTGAGCCAATCAAAATGGACGGAGCGTATTAGTTTGGCGAAAATCAAAGTTCCTACTGGACACTCGCTTTCACTACGTCATCATGCAGCGTGTGTGTGATGTAGGATAATGCCGGAAATATGCTCAGAATGCCACTTTTCTCAGCCTTTCAAGGAAAAAAGTAAGTGTCTTTGTTTTATGGTTGGAAAGTTATGTTATAAAAAATACATTCCCAGGTATCGTATACTATCCCGTTGGTCTGGAAAGGTTAATAATATCAAAAAATCCTACCCCCAAGTATGTTAACTCTTTCCCCTCTGGACGCCTACTAGGAACAACCCATACATATGTTACTAGGGCTACACCCATAGAGCATCACTGCATAAAAGAAAACAGACTTCCACGAGTGATTATAAATGATTTTTACACTCATGAACTTAATTGTAACACAGACATATTTGTATCTCTGGAAACCTTAGACTCTGAACTCTTCATTTATGGATGTTTAAATGTGATTCAACTCATTTATAGGTGTATAACAGCTCACTGAAAATGAGAGTTTACCTGGTCAGGTGCAAACTCGAAAACAAAAAACTACATTCAGCATCTGATATCTGCATGTTCTGAGTACTATATTCATAAAAAAATAAAAAAATATACTTTGTCAAAGTATTTAAACAGATTTCATATCACCAGATACAGTATAGCCAAGTGTACATCTGTTTTTACCTGTTGTTCACCTGTGTGCACCCAATTAATTTTTTTCCATTTAACTTATTCAACTTATTTTATTTATTCAACTCATTTAACTTATTCAACTAATTTAGCTTATTATAATATAATAATATAAGAATAAAACTCTTCCCCGTCAGTGTGTGTTCAGTATTTGTCATCTTGGTTATTTTCTCGTGTGCAGAGCTCCTGCATAAGCGTTTTTTCTGTAGCGATTCTGTCAAACATCGCATCTTGGAAAAAAAGACTGAAATATTTTAAAGGACTGGCCTGGGCAACATCCAGATTTCAGGGCAATTTTGGTTCATAATCGAGTATAAAGCTCAGATAGTTTGTTGGGATATCGCAGGACTCCACACAGACGCATCAGCGGCATTCTCACCTTCTCCCCGAAAGTCCGTCGCTATCGCTGTTTTCCACTTTATAATCAACTTCAACATCATCACTTTGAAATCTATAAAAGTCACTTTCTCTAAACTTATCCATAAAATACGTCCGCTCCTCATTATTTCTAAAACTGTGCGCCGCAGCGCCGCGATCTTTCCATTGCACGTGTTTCGTGTTGTGTTTTTTCCGGAAGCTACCATCGTCACTATTTCGATTAACTTCAGTAAAAATCGGCGAAAACATATCCTTGAATCCTATTGGTCAGTCTAGTGTGGGTTGTAGTGGCCCCCACCTATCACAGTCTCTGTTTAAATGTAAAAAACCGAGCCGTTTCTAAAGGTCGTCAAATCTCGTCTTTAGTGAAACAGCGGAGGTGTTAAAAGTCGTCATTAAGGAAACAGGGGGGTCGTCAAATGTCGTCTTCATGGGGGAAAGAGTTAAAGAAAATTAAAACTATTTACAAATATAAACTAAAGTAAAAGTGGGACTAAATATCAGTTTTATCAAATTTTCAGATTAGTCTTCACAAGGGAAAAAAAAAATATAAAAAATCACTTAATAGTAAAATTTTTGAGCTCCTGCAGTGAGTTTACCTGAGCGCTCTGAGTGAGCTGCATGAGCTGGGCCATGGTGAGTTTGACCTGACCCTGCTGAGGCCTGGGGGTCTGAGGGGCCGCGGGGGTCTGTCCTGCAGCCGGGGCGGGGGAGGCAGAGGGAGGAGCTGCCGCCGCCAGAGGTTGACCTGGAGGAGAACAATTTCATTTTAGTACATGTATAAATAAAGAGTGTAAAGGCCGCCACACACTACAGGATTTTTTGGACTTAAATGATTTTTAAACGCACACCAGACACGAGGAGAATCTTATGAGACTTAAAATCTGCAATTGAACGACTCCAGCTGGATATGGCTACGTACCACTGGTTATAAAGTTGTGAGCACGATTGCGTCAGCTGTTTCCCGATCGCTTTGAGACTCTTAAGTGTTCAAAAGATCAAAGCTCTGCACTTCTAATTTAGATACAAGCCTAAACTGTCTTATTATTATTTGTGAAATGTGCTGCAATACTTCAGATACATGATTTTATTGCTCAGAAGGTTGGGAGAAGTAGGAAGTAGAGTCAGTATCGCTTATTTGCAGCTTCACCTCGATCCGTGCGCTGTGTGGAAGTAAACAAACGCACATGAGGAACTACTCCCACCTTTTTACTTTTAAAGAACAACTCAAACTAGATTAATATTGTGATTTTGTAGACTGGGGTCATTATTTGCGGACGACAAATTCTGTGGATAATGCGGATGAGACGCTGCACTTTAAATTTACAACTTTACAAGAGAGGAATAAAGTCGCCTCATTATTTTCGTTATTTCCTGAGTCTGTAACTTGCCTCAGTTTCCGTCACTCCTCTGTTTTTACTTTAGTGTAGCTGATGTTTTTACTTTAGTGTAGCTGATGTTTGGTGGTTACGATAGGACACCACACACACGAGGAGCGCAGTGGCCTCAAAACAAAGTCGGGTCACGCCTCCTCGAACTCGGGAAGAAGCAAATCGCAGCCAATATCGGGCAAATTCTACTGTAGTGTGTGGCGTCCTAAAATGTTAATTATTATGAGCTGTGAGTCAGAAATGTGTTTTAGTTTGAGGTTTTAGCACCGCCCACTTAGTCCTATCTACTATTCTGACATTTCAAATAGGAAAGACCGTTTAGTTTGTGTTTTTTCTTTCTCTCTCTCAGGGAATCAACTGTCTAGGACGGTGTCAGGCAGTTGTTTTCCCATGATTCTCCGCCAACTGCGTGCGTCTGAGTTCTCTATCAGCTATTAAAAATGCATAGGTCTCCAAGTCTCCGTTTACTTTTCTTCACGAAGCTTAATAGTTCCGTGTTCTTCGACTCCTGCTGCTGTTCCGGGAGCAAATTTCCTCCTTGATTTTTCCCCTCAATCTGTTGACTTTTGCGTGGATATTCCAAGTGAAGTTGATTGTCAAACGATAATAAAACAATACTTCTCGTTTATCATAACCAGAAGAAATGTAAAATCAAGTACAGGCCCTTTACGCATGTATTGTACTGTTAATAAATCAAATAAAATCCAGACCTGGCTGACTCTTGAGCGCCCCTGCAACCGTGGGAGCAGCTTGAGCGGGGGGCAGGGTGGGCGCGCCGGCCGGGGTTGGACCTGCGGCAGTAACGGCCTGGAAACACAGCAGAGGAACTTTAGAGAGGTACATTTGATGGGGGAAGAAAAATGATGCATAAATTAGGCAAATAAAAGACAGAAACCTGAGGCTGAGCAGTTGAAGAGGCGCTGGCTCGGAGGTTCAGGTTTCCAGTTGTAGGGTGTAAGGTGCTGTAGGTTCTCAGGTTGGCAGGAGGTCCGGATGGGAAAATACTAGTGACTTTCTGGTTATCTGCACAGAACAAAGACAACGTTTACATCATGTTTTGTAATTCCGTATTAATTGTTCTGACTTAAAATATTCTCCTTCGAGTTTACATGAAAAACACGTTAAATCGCCTTTGTTTAATTCTGCTCAACGTCTGGGGGTCGGAAACGATTCTGATTGGACAGAGACACGAATGTTTTTACGTCGACTGGAAGAAAACACACACTTCAGCTGCTACCGGCTTTTCTGTCATCTCGGTTTGTCGTTACGCCACGGACACAAACACGATACGAACTTTCTGTCATCACGCTTTACGTCTGTCGGCTGAGGGGGAGAAGGGAAGAGTGTCGGAGAAGGGAGGAAGAAGACAAACCGAGTCGACGGCTGCTGCTCTACCTCAGCCCACTCCCGCATCCCGCTCGCAAATCCAAAGAGACGTGGATGAAAGTCCGAAGTAGAGCCCTGCCTTGCACCCGTGGGACCCGACGCCACGAGACCCGACGAACAGTGTGGCACGGGACACATTTTGAAAGCTCATTGTGGGCTCAACTGCAGTCCCGCAAACTATATATGAGTGTAAAGTACAATACATAAACGATGAATGTGTGCCTTATCATACATAATTTGTGGTGGATATTTTATTTGGCATTAATTAAAACATTATAAGTAGCCTGAACTTGTGGACGTGGTCTAATCTCGCACACATTTTAGACAGTTCCTTTCCCTTCTCCGTGTTTGATAGAGCTTAAGAAAGGCGAACATCCCCATCTTGCAGGCGGGAGCGGGACAAAATATTGCAGATGTAGGCGGGAAATTCAGTCGCGCACAGACCTCTAGATCGAAGCGAGAACTGGTGGATCCCGTCTGTTCGGATCGTGTCTGAAGGGCGACCCAACGAGCATCCACTGAACGACTCCAATTATTTTTAAGAAGAATAAACATTTACATGATCGAGGAATAAATTAAATCAGCTTTAAAATCGGAATAAACCACCCACTTACTTCAGAATTAAGTTTAATTCTGAATAATAATTTTCATTGGGAATTAAGTGTTTACATGATCTTTTTAAAGGTTGTATAGAGGATTTTTTTTAAGGGAAGAGAAATACAGCGACAGTCCTTGTGCGCATTCAGAATTAGTGTTGAAGTGACTTGTTTAGAAGTAATTCAGCGACCGACGCGTCAGTTTTTAGACCCTTCGTCTGCTTCGGTCGCGCCATCGCTGGACAAGATCTCCAAGAATCACCTCAGTTTGGCTTTGCTCCTTTTCCCCTTCTCTTCTTCTTTCAGTGACCTCAAAAAACTGACTTTCTTTTTGGGCGAACCGGTCGTGGATTCTCGTCCGCCGTCACGATAAACTTTGTGTGAAATGCGAGGAAGCGACAGTTCGAAAAAGCCTCTAAGAACCGCTGCGTAAACCACGTAATCCCCGCACTCCGACGAGTCAGTTACACTAGGGAGTTTGATTGACAACTAACAGCCAATAGAAAATGAGGGAGCCTCGTTTTCTATTGGCTGATGTTTATCTGGCCTCAACACGTCCACAGTTGATAGATTTTCTTTTTTTTTTTTTTTTTGGTCATAATTACAAAGCTGCTGCGTCTCTGTAATGATATTTTAATCTTTCACTGACAGTTTGAAACAAAAAAAAATCCTCCATACAACCTTTAAGCGGAATATATTTTTACTCAGAATTAAATGATTTTTTATTCAGAATTAAAGCTCTCATGCAAACATAGCAAATGAGAAATTATATAAGTGTATCCCATTATTAGGGCTGGGGATCATTAAGAAGTTGCCAATACGATACATATCTCGATACACGCTTTCGAATCGATACGATATATTTCAAATCGATTCGATACGGTTCAATAAAATCATGGCTGTGATACTAAAAGTCTTTGTTAAACCACTTCTTGTGCAAAGTGAATATGTCAAAGGTGTTGCATAAAAGTTTCCTTCCTCTAAACAAGCAACAAAACTGTAGCTCTGTAACAAAATGAGTTAATAAAATTTACCAAAAAATACTCTTGGCGATATATCGATACAGCAGCCCACGATATCAATACTGTATCATCACATTAAATGATACGATATATTGATATTTCAATATTTTTTTCACACCTTTAAACATCATAACAATATGATGCTCTCCAAAGACTAAAGTTCTCCCCCAAAGTCTAAAAACAACCTGAAAAAAATTTAATTCTATCCACTGGAGAAATGTTTTGGCACTCACCCAAGCTCCTTTAGTTCTGACAGTGTTTTATAAGTCACTGTCTTATAACTTTGTGATGTGAGGAGCCAACTACCCTGAAAACAGCACATCCTAGTTCAGGGGAGTCAAACTCAAATTCCCAAAATTAAAAAATGGGACTAAATCGTGAGCCAAACTAAATATTTATTAAAAAAATTTCAACAACATCTGCCTGTTTTCTTTTTTTCTGAGATACGTAATGTTAAACCTTTTCTTATTAAAATAAATCTTAATAATCGTTTTGCTTAAACACAGAATCCAGAACAAGCAAAATATAAAATAATAACAACATTTAAAATAAATAAGGTCTCTATAGTCTATCTGTAGCCGGCGGGCAGCTCTAATACATATCTGATATGATCTCGTGGGCCAAATATAATTATATCGTGGGCAAATTTGGACTCCGGGCCTGAGTTTGACATGTCTGTCCTAGTTGTTTACGGTAAGGAGAATATGTTAAGAGTTAAAGGTTGTATAGAGGATTTTTTAAAAGGAAAAGAAATACAGTGACAGTCCTTTGTCCTCCTCCACAGCTCCCTCAGTAGAAACACCTCCTCCCGCCTCCTTAATCTAGAAATCATGTTTGTTTACACCTGTGCGCGCGTTCAGAATTACTGTTGAAGTGACCTGTCTAGAAATAATTCAGTGACCGACATGTCAGTCTCTTTTAGACCCTTCGTCTGCTTGATTCACGCAATCGCTGGAAAAGATCTCCAAGAATCACCTCAGTTTGGCTTTGCTCCTTTTCCCCTTCTCTTCGTCTTTCAGTGACCTCAAAAACGGACTTTCTTTCGCGGCGAACTGGTCATGGATTCTCGTCCACCATCGCAACAAATATTGTGTGAACTGCGAGGAAGCGACAGTTTAAAAAAGCCTCTAAGAACCGCTGCATAAACCACGTAATCCCCGCGCGCCGGCGAGTCAGTTACTCTAGAAACGTAGGAAGTTTAATTGACAACCTAACAGCCAACAGAAAACGACGCTACCTCGTTTTCTATTGGCTGATGTTTATCTGGCCTCACTACGTCCACAGTTGATAGATTTTCATTCTTTTTTTTTGGTCATCATAATTACAAAGCTGCTGCGTCTCTGTAATGGTGTTTTAAACTTTAACTGACAATTTGAAACTAAAAAAAAAAAAAATAATAATCCTCCATACAACCTTTAAGGCCAATGAAGAACCCTTAGGTGTGAACAATCCGTGTATCATTCGTTCATTTGTTTTTCAATATAAAACCAAAAATAAGAAAACGAAAAAACAACAGTTTTCTTCATTATTTGTCTCCAAAACCAAAATGAAAAAACAGATAATGATTCGTTTTTTTTTCAGTTTTCGTTTACGTGACTTCCGTGACTGTGATGCAGGACTTTTGCACCGCATACGGACTGAACCAGGACTGATCCAGGTCCGAGACCTGACCGGGACCAGAGCGAGACTGAGACCGGGACCAGGACGGACTCCGAGCTTTGACTCCGAGCCTCCGCGGGGTCCGAGCCTCAGCTTCGAGCTCCGGCCCTGCCGTGGGCTCTGAGCCTCTGGTCTGGTCCCGGTCTGGTCCCAGTCTCAGTAGCGCTCTGGTCCCGCTCTGGTCCCGGACCTGGTCCATTTGAACCAAAAGCTCTTAGTTCGGTTCGTTTTCGTTGGTGTGAAGCGTCAGTTGGATGCTTTGCACCACCTCGGAACCAGCCGCGGTTCTTGAGCGCGGAGGACCGGAGCAGCCCGTCCGGACCTGTAGTCCACAGCGCATTCTCACTTTCCCCGCACGGAACCAGCGCGCAGATGATGACACCGAACCGCTCGGACTGCTGATCCCGGTCTCAGTTCCGCTCTGGTCCCGGTCTGGTCTCGGACCTGGATCAGTCCTGGTTCAGTCCGTACGCGGTGCAAAAGTTCGGCATCGCAGTCACGGAAGTCACATAAACGGGAAACGGCCGTTATCAGTTTTTTCCATTTTTCATTTAAACATAAAATCAAAAACTGAAAAAACGAATCATTATCTGTTTTTTCATTTTGGTTTTGGAGACAAATAATGAAGAAAACTGTTGTTTTTTCGTTTTCTTATTTTTGGTTTTATATTGAAAAACGAGTGAACGAATGATACACGGATTGTGAATGATCAATTTTGCTGCGAACTTGGATTGGAGTGTCAGAAAGTATTCAGTCTTAGTTGACAGAAAGGATTCAATTCACTTTTGTGATTAAATTATTCAAACAGAAAGTATTAGTTCCACCCTAATCTCCCCGTAATCTATGAGAAACAATGAAATCAGTATGTGCGTCTCCCATGAAGAAAAAACTCATTATTTAGACACAAAGACTTTGCTGTACCTGTGCCACTGCTGTTATTCTGCCCCTGCTTGACCCAGGACATGTAGGACTGCTCAAAGTTCTTGTCCTGCTGGAAGGGCGCAGGAGAGCCCAGTTTGGAGGCCAGGACCATCTTAGTCCCGGGCGTGACCAGGCCCGTCCTCTGGCCCGTGGACAGAGGGGTGGAGGGGGTGGAGAGCGTGGAGGGGGCAGGGGTGGAGGACGGGGAGGCGGTGGCTGTGGTCGGGGTGTTTGTGGTGGTTAGAAGCTTCTGCTGCTCCAGACGTTTCTACAACACAAAAAAAATATCATTAAATATTTTGAACAGGAACATGTACTTCAATATAAAATAAAACACGATGAAAACATGAGATTCTAAAGGCAATAATCTTTAACTGAACCTTTGTTTAATCTGCAAAAACAGTATGATATTGTGTAGTAATGATCTATAAATAATCAATAATGTTTCCCTTGTATATACTCGATAAATGAGAAACACAAATTGAGTCCTGCACGGGTCCAGTTTTGGAGACCCACACCCGCGCAGTCCAGCACTGCACCCGCCTGTTAACCCGTGATTATATCAAAGTTAAATCTGCACCTGCCTAGTCCCGTTAACATTCCACCTGTTACCCGTCCGTGCCCGTGATAAATCGGGGTCAGCCCATTAGTCCAGGACTAAACCAGGACTTAACCTACGTCGTGTCATTAGGGGATTATAAACATATACAAGCCGGAAACCGCAGAGCGATTGCCAGGGCCATGCCAGGATCTCACCAGGATCTCGCCAGGATCTCGCCAGGACTCGCCAGGACTACGCCAGGACTACGCCAGGACTACGCCAGGACTACGCCAGGACTACGCCAGGACTACGCCAGGACTGGACAAGGTCTGGACGAGAACTACACCAAGACTACACTATGGTCTATACCAGGTCTAAACCAGGACTGAAATATAAACACACCGCAACTGCTGAGCCGATCACCAGGACTGGACCAGGACTGAACCAGGACTGAACAAGGACTGGACCAGGACTGGACCAGGACTGGACCAGGACTGGACCAGGACTGGACCAGGACTGAACAAGGACTGGACCAGGACTGGACCAGGACTGGACCAGGACTGGACCAGGTCTGAACCAGGACTAGACCAGGACTGAACCAGGACTGAACCAGGACTGAACCAGGACTGGAACAAGGACTGGACAAGGAATGAACCAGGATTAGACCAGGACTAAACCAGGACTGAACCAGGACTGAACCAGGACTGAACCAGGACTAAACCAGGTCTAAACCAGGTCTAAACCAGGACTGAACCAGGACTAAACCAGGTCTAAACCAGGACTGAACCAGGACTAGACCAGGTCTGAAACAGGTCTAAACCAGGTCTAAACCAGGACTGATCCAGGACTGAACCAGGACTAAACCAGGACTAAACCAGGACTAAACCAGGTCTAAACTAGAACTAAACCAGGAGCACAGCCGCTGAGCCGATCGCCTTCTCAGTTGGTTTTATGTAATAAAAACACTAAAGTCTCTCTGAGCCTGGTCCGTTGTTCTGGGAAAAGACCGGGAAATGTCACTTGTTTCAAGAGCAACAGACGTCCTGGATGTGTGTCTGGTATTTTTCTCCCATTCGTCGTTCATTTGATTCACCTGACCCACCCGTGTGTAATCACTACCTGCCCGTAAAATTTCAGAACGTTAAAACCCGCCTGTTTCAGCCACTATTTGTGGGTATGCACCGGGTACTCGCGGGTATCCAACCCGGTGCAGGACTCTGCTCCTGGACATTCTCCCGCTGGTGTGAGTGGGCTCGGCCAGTGGGATGGAGATTAGACCAGTGACAAAGGAGCACTGTGGTCTGGATGTCAAGCACAAAGCCCCCAAGCAAACCAAAACAAACATGGCACCGCAGACCAAAGTACTTCAAAAATGTGCAGAGGGAAAGATGACTTTTCAGTTTGTTACACTGTCATGATGCTTTGACCAATCAGCTTATTGTTACTCTATGCAACAGGTTCCGATCACTTTCCTTTAGAGCTATTCCAGAGTGATACATTTGCAGGACTCAATTCATAGTGCTACACAAATCAATCTGACGAGGAAAGTAATCTGTACCAGCTCACAAATGTTCCACTGTAAAATTAAACCTTCCTAACCTTCGATAACCTTGGACAGATCTGAAAGTGCTGCAGACTGCGGGAGAGTTACCTGCTGAGCCGCCAGCCTGGCCTGCTTGAGCTGATTCTCCAGGTGGGCCTTGACCTCCTCCACGGTCTTCAGAGATGCACCGATCTTCGAGGGGTCAGCTCCTTGTGCCTTCTCCCTCTCCACTCTGCCAACACACAAAGACACACAGTTTTAGTACTTAAAAAAAAATAAGAATATAATGGTCATATCCCAGGGCTCAAATTCACACTTATTGCTTTATGCCGGTACATTTAAAGTTGAGGTGATTGTTTAAATGTTACCACAAAATAAAAATATAATTAGTGAATGTACGCTGGTCGTAGGTAGTACAGACAGAATATATTATTAGTGTGGACCTCTCGGCGAAGGCTCTGATCTCCCACAGCTCCAGCTCCTCCTCTGGGATCCACGTCTCCACGGCGACGGGCCCAGACTGTTTGGCTGGCTCCTGCTTCTTGGGCCTGAGGGCACTGGAGCGCAGGCCCTTCCTCTGAGGAGTTGGGGTGTCTGTTTAAAAACACAAGCAAACACAACATTTAAGCAAGGAAGAGATAAGCTGAATATTACAAAAAGGAGCCCACTGACGAGTTCTGAAAAGGAATCACAATTAATGTTATCAATAAACAAAAATCTGCCCAAAATTCAGGATAATTTGAATTCGTTTTAGTGCTGCTCAATTATGGAAAAAATTATTATCCCGATTATTTTGGTCAATTTTTTTATTTATTTTATTTTTTTATTTATAATTTGTCAAGCGACAACAATCCAACACGATTCGGACCGGTGCGAAACAGAGCGGACATTTGCGCTCGGATCATGTCATTTTTCTTTTCTCCAAACACGGCGGGACATTGTGGTGCTCGGCGGTGCCAGGTCGGGGTGGGGCTTAGAGGGGCTCCTCACGTACCGCCCGCAGACGCACGTGGCTGCGTTCGTCACGTAATAACCCACATCTGACTCATTTTCGGCCGTTAGTCCAACTCAAAAATCCAAATGTACTGGCCGTAGTTGATCCTAAAGAGGCCGTTGCACACAAGGCTCAACTCTTTCCCCCTTGGACGCCGACTAGGAACAACCCACACTAGGGATGGGCATTCGATGAAATTTTCTTAATCGATCGTCGGAAGAATTAACGATCGATTATCGATTAATCATTAACGTTTTTATGTTAAAATGATCATCATTATTATTACTATCTGCACTACTAATCTGCATAAATAAATTCAACTTTACGACATATAAACCGTAACGACTCTAGAGCCACATCAGCCCGTTTGACATTATAATGTGTTTAATTCAGTTTTGTTCAACTCTCACAGAAACAAAACTTAAAACCGCATCGCTAATTTGCATAAACTAAGCGAAGATAAAACTACAGCTCTTGTGTCGCTGATACGGTTCAACTTCTGTTGGATTAAAAGACATGACTCAGTGGAATACAGGTTAGTGTGACCAGATTTGCGTTTGTCAAAACCAGGACACCGTACGGGGGGAGGGAGGTGGGGACTCGTCATCCACATTGCGCGACTCTCACCTGGAAAAACTTTTTCCCACTGGACACAGAAACATATGTGCTGCTTTATACACTGTGCACATGGACTCACACTTGTCCCGAACGCAACGGAAAGCCTGGAATTTCTTGTACAAATCATCGTTAAATACGCATTTGTGCTTCTGTACGTTGCAGACTGACCGAATGTTTGTGTCTCGCTCCTTCTGATGCAGAGACACATGTACAGACCTGTTTGGTCACGCTACGCACAGCAACCTACATTCCGTTTGTCGATTAAAATTAACGTAATCGATGAAATTCTTAATGATCAATTATCAATTAATCGATTAATCATGCCCATCCCTAACCCATACATATATTACTCGGGCAACACATAGAGCATAATTGCTTAAAAGAAAACGGACTTCCACGAGTGATTATAAATGATTCTCACACTCATGAACTTAATTGAAACACAGACATATTTGTATCTCTGGAAACCTTAGACTCTGAACTCTTCATTTATGGATGTTTATATGTGATTCAACTCATTTATAGGTTTATAACAGCTCAATGAAAATGAGAGTTTACCTGGTCAGATGCAAAATCCAAAACAAAAAACTACTACTAATTTGTTTTTTTCCATTTAACTCATTCAACTCATTTAACTTATTCAACACGTCGTCATATCACGTCTTTAGTGATACAGCGGAGGTGTCAAAAAACGTCATTAAGGAAACAAGGGGGTCGTCAAATTTAACAAACATGCACTAAAATGCCAAAATAAAGTCAGGGACAGGTATACATTTTTATTTTAGACCCATTTACACAGATAATCAGTAGAAAAAAAGTGATTTTGGTGTTTAGTGGCCCTTTAAGATATCATTAAGTCTCTTATTGCATTGTTCGAGGTCGTACGTGGGGGTCTGCAGCTTCCAGGAGGAGGTGGACACAAGGAATCGCTTTTATCACTTTACTGTCCCACCGCCTTTTTCTTTTAAAATGGAAAAACCCTGTGCCTCCTTCTGTAGCAGACCGGATCAGAGATGTTCTTTTCGAATCTTAGACTAGACAAAATCAGATGTACAACGCGTGGCTCTGAACAAAATCTTTTTAGAGGTGTGAAAATCTTTTTTGAATTTCTTCAATAAATCATTAAGATTTTTCAGCCCTTGATGGCTTAGTTTAAACATTTTTCTTTGTTCTGTTTATATTTCAACCTTTGTATGCGTGTCAATCTGTTTTTTAGGCTTTGTGTTTCTTAATTTCAGTGCAGTTAATTTATATTCTAAAGTGGTCAGATTGGGTTTTGTTTATAATTTTATTTTTTTCTTTGTTTCTAGATTACATTGTGAAAATTTTATATATATATATTTAAACACAAAATGCAGGATAATTTGAGCAAAAAGACAATACATTTCTGCCAGTTTCAAGATGTTTAGCAAAATAAATTACTGTTTTAAATATCACTCTTTAACTAGACAAACTTTGGCCCTTGTTTACAGTTTGATTGCTAGGGAGCCGTTAAGGAGTGACCTCTATTTATGTCACAACTCAGAAATGCCAGGCAACAGACAGATTTTCTCTCGGTTAGGTTAAGGTTACGTTGAAGAGCTTGGTGAAGGTTAAGGTTTTGGCACAGCGTTCGGAACCAGGTCTTGGCAGAGTTAAGTAGGAAAAAAAATAATAAAATACCAAGCTGCTGACCAAGTAAAATCCAAACCTTGACCAAAGTTTTCAAACCAGCGGAAACTACGAACTTGGGAAAAAAAAAAAAAAAAGGTTGAAATGGAAGTGCGTACCTTTGGAGGTGTCCCGGCTCACCAGAGGGCAGATGATTTTCCTGATGCAGTACTCGGAGCAGATCCCGAAAGGACCCACGTCTCTGCGCCTGATGATCTCCGTGGTGATGATGTCCGTGTCTGTGGTTTCTGAAGATCACAAAAAAACCAAAACAATCAATCTGAAGTTTGGGTGAAGTATAGACAGACCACACTAGGGCTGGGCGATGTCTCGATATCTGTACAGGAAAAATAAACTCCCTAAAAACTACAGCAAAAACAAATAAGCCGAATTCCACAAGGTCTTTTTTTATCGAAGTGCAAAGAGCCAGTTCATGTAGAAACAAAGTGCTTCTGCGACATGAAAAAAAAAAATCCCTGTATACAAAAATAATTTAACTGTAAAATAAAGGAAGAAATAAAACATATTTCTTTCTTTTCATTCAAAAACTAGAAAAGCCCTCAGAGAGCGCAGACCTCCGCCAAGGACATTTTTTATATAAATTGCGATAAAATCAGTCTTCTGGATCAGATCCAGATCAGCCTTTCGAATATGAAAGAGGATCCCATTGTCCATCCCTGAGTCAAATTTCATGAGGTTTGGTCAATAATTAACCGAGATATTGAGAAACAAAATTTTTGGCCCCATTTACCACAATGTTAACTAAAATTTCAAAGTGATCCAGAATCCAGGATTTCTTCCGGATCACCCCCAAAATGAAATCAGTTCTTCCTTTTCACATTTCCAACAAATCCTGAAAATTTCATCAAAATCGGTCCATAACTTTTTGAGTTATGTTGCTAACAGACAAACAAACAAACAAACAACAAACAAACAAACAAACAGACAAACGCCGGCAAAAACATAACCTCCTTGGCGGAGGTAATAAAACAACTCAACTCAAGCTCATCTTTGCATTACATTGACCAGAACCATGAGCTCCTTTAGCAGAGGAAACTCAGGAGTAGGGGTGTGCAAAAATATCGGAATATTGATATATTGTATCGTTAAATGTGATGATACAGTATCGATATCGTGGGCTACTGTATCGATATATCACCGAGAGTATTTTTACGTGTGTTTTACTAAATTATTTTGTTACAGTGCTACAGTTTTGTTGCTTGTTGAGTGAAAGGAAACTCGTTTATGCGACACATTTGACATTTTGACAGTTTTGAGGATTAAAATGTTTGTGTTTCATATGAACTTTGCACAAGAAGTGATTTAACAAAGACTTTAACGTCAGCCATGATTCTGCCTTTATTTTTTATTGAACCGTATCGAATCGATTTGAAATATATCATATCGAATAGAAAGTGCACTGTATCGAGATATGTATCGTATCGTGGCCTGTGTATTGAGGTATGTATCGTATCGGCAACTTCTTAACGATACCCAGATCTACTCGGGAGGGTCATTATTTTAATAGATTAATAGACAGATGTTCCTAACCAGCGATAAGGAGCTATGAGCTATAGATATGACATATCCCACAATCCTCTGCTTAAACCAAACATTTCCAAACTGGGAGGATGCACCATGTAACTTTCCTGGAAGTCACTGGATGAATCGACAAAACCTGGACTTCAGTGACACCGAAACCATCCTGTCGGGATTCAGAAAGACCGAAATAATTCTAACTGGAACTGATGCTGAGTCTGACGACAGCGACACAGAAGAGGAAGCGGCGCTCTGTTTACCTCCTGAGGTCACGGAGTTGCTCAGAAGTGACACCGAGGATGAAGAATTGAATGGATTTAGTGATTTGGAGTGAGATGGAGAGTTTGTTAAACTTGTTCTGTTCTGTTGTTTATGTTATAGTTTATCTGAAGAACTGTTCATATGTGACGTTAACAGTCTGTTGTTCTCTGTTCTATTGTTATTACTAGAACTTGACTTTCAAGATGAAATGTCGGTTCCTGGTCTCTGACTTATTTCTGGGAATAAATTTTCCCCAAAAAGTGCAACTTACACCCCACAGCGATTTATCGGCGAGTTTCATTGTTGACAAAAGCGCGCGTTGCATGCTGGGAATTATTTTGGTCGGCGGCAAGAAACACTAATTCAACATGACGGACGGAGCGAGAAAGCACGTAAAGGGTATTGATCCCAGTTATTTATCCACTCTAACGGCAGAGGACCCAAGACAATTTGACCAGAAATTGGTCATAAACATCGATGGACGACAAATCACCCTTTTCAACCCCGACAAAAGGTGGACCAAACCAAATTTCTGTTCAGAATCGCCAACTACCTGGGCAAATATTCACTTGGGCGATATCCACAATGACTTGGTGAAAACTCCTGGGCCATTCACAGCAGAAAAGATGAAAACCTCCAAGAGTCTCGATGTGTTGTTGAACTTGTTGGAGTCCACGGTTTGTTAGGATCTTCTACGTTTGCTCTGCGAATGTTTGAAAGCCGTTTAATTCACCGTTAGCGGTTCTTTTCACTCGGAATACGGAAAAGACATTTTCCTTCTTCCGTGCTTCTATTTGTGCATCCGATAATGCAGCAGGAATTTACCATTATCGGGGATAAATACGCGAGGTTACGCACTGTGTTTGACCGCTATCGTGTTTCTTGCCTCCGACCAAAATATTTCCCAGCATGCAACGCGGGCTTTTAATAACAATGACGTCAGCTGAAACTCGCCCCATAGTCCAAAAAATACGGTAATTAAAATCTTTTGCATAAATAAACTTTACATTACTAAACTCTACAACATATAAACCATAACCAGTCTAGAGCCACATCAGCCCGTTTGAGATTATAATGTGTTTAATGCAGCTTTGCGCATTTGTTTACGTTTTACACAAAAACAAAACTTAAAACCACAAGATTCATTTGCCTGAACTATAAGCCCTGAAAAATAAAAAAAACGGCTCGCTCCTGAAGGACACGACTCGGTGGAATATGAGTGTTCTCTCTGTGACAGACGATGTGCTGCTGATGATCTTGTCTGTAAATGGTGGAAAAGGTTCGTGGTGCTAGAAGCTGTGGTTTGCATTCACGGCAGAAGTAAGTCGTGAATGAGACAACACGCGAGGGGAGGGGTAATAAAAAAATTAAGCAGGCACAGAGAAGGCAAACAAGCAAAACTGCAAAATCAGAATTAAATATAAGCATTATATAAATACAATATGTCAGAATCAATTTCGTGTTTAAAAAATATCGAGATATATTTCAACTATCGAGATATCGCCCACCCCTAGACCACACATAAACACACAAACGACTACAACAAGACAAGTTATACCACCCACATTTTATTGGGGTTTCTATTTGACCAAAAAGACACTCTAGTCATATTGTCTTTTTCTATCACTGCGAACTTTTAAGTATTTAACCCTTACATACTATTCGGGTTAATTTTGACCCGTTTTGCAGTAGTAAAAATACACTACACATCATTCTTCCATCCTGAAATTTGATGACTTTCATAATTTTTGCCAAATTACACAAAAAAGAAAATATTTTAAAATGTTACTTTTATACACCACTGGCTTTGAACGCACTGACTAGTTTGAAATAAGCACAATGGCTGCAGTGGATAAAAATGGTTATATTATAAATTCCAACAGTTCCAGAATATTCATGTCAGTCAGTTTCAAATGCAATAAATATCATCATCATATTGGCTTGTATGTTTTTATTTGTTTTGTAAAACAGGACATGATACTGTGTACTGTGTTGAAAAACTTACAAAAACATGCTCTTCCTGCTCTCTGAAACATTATATTTATTAATTAAACATATTTATTCATGTGGGACAGTCTATTTATTTGGTATAGACACTTACTGTAAGGGAATTCTTGGTCCGGGCCAAATTTGACCTGGACCTTACTGTGAAAGCTTAAGAAATGAACAGTATGTAAGGGTTAACCTGCAGTGAGCTTAAAGGTTGTATGGAGGATTTTTTTTGTTTTTTTTTGTTTCAAATTGTCAATGATAGCAATATAGAGATGCAGTAGCCTTGTAATTATGATGACCAAAAAAAAAGAGAATAAAAATTCATCAACTCTGGACATGGTGGGGCTAAACATTTGCCAATAGATAACGACACTGCCTCGTTATCTGTGAGCTGACAGGCTGTCAATCAAACTCCCTACGTTTCTAGCGTAACTGACTTGCCTGCGCGCTGCCATTACGTGGTTTACGTACGCCTGTCACGCAGTCCACAGACGCACAGACGCTGTTTACTCCACCAACGCAACAGTTCTTAGCAGCTTTTTTGACCTATATCTTCCTCGCAGTTCGCACAAAGTTTATTGCAATGGCGACAAGAATCTACGAGCAGTTAGCCCCAAAACAAAGTCCGTTTTTGAGGTCGCTGAAAGAAGAAGAAAGATTCTTGTAGATTCATTCCAGCGATGGCGCGACTGAAGCAGACGCAGGGTCTAAAGACTGACGCACTGGTCCACAAATTACTCCTGGACAGGTAACTTCTGCTTATTATGAAAACGTACTTTATTTCCAAGAGTTAGACAAACGTTTTTCAGGACACGAATGCGATATCCTATGTCTGAAAATTTAATTTTCAAGGCAAAGAAAAAGTCCGCTCTGCTGCCGTGTTGTCAGTAGTAGCTAGTTCATTCGCACGGAATCTCCGCGCAACATTTGAAAAAGGACAAACAGTCGCTGGATTTCTCGTTCCTTGGAAAATCCTCTATACACCCTTTAAGGTTTACTCCAGACTGAGACGAGACAGAGCCATACCTTTCCTGGTGGTCCCGACAGCGGCAGAGGGTTTGACGGCCATGTCGTCCCAACGCAGACAGGCCCAGAGCAGCCTCAGCATCAGACTCACCCCGGCCAGAGATTTAACAGTTTGGAGACGATACCTAGAACGGAGAAAACCAAAATGAATTCTTAGTTGGAACAGGACATGTGCAATAAATCATAAACAAATTTTTGGAGCATTGTGCGGATCATCTTTTTTATTTTTTCTTGGGTAGCGCTCACTTGTTTTAGGATGAACGTACATGATGTTTCTTTTATTCATAACAGATTTGATTATTAAATTCAGCAGATGCCAAAACATACCTTGATAATGAGATTAAAGTCCCTATATCTGATTATTTTTCATATATTTGATTAAAATCTGTCTGGCCCCAGAACAGATAAATTGTATACCGTATTTCCCGGAGTATAAATCGCACCAGCCAAAAAATTCATAATGAACAAGAAAAAAATATATACAAGTCACACTGGACTATAGGTCACATTTTTGGGGGGAAATTTGTTTTAGAAAATGGCTTGGAAGTCTGCTGGTAGTTTTAGGGACATCAATGTTCAGCCAAAACTCAGAGATTCAGCTTCTTTTAGTCCCAAAATCTAGAACGAGCTGCTATCGTACTTATGAATAAACTTTAATTTATTTATCTATTAATTTTAGTACATTGTCTTGAAAAAAAAAATTTGTGTTTTTTTATATATTTAATATTCAATGTGATCTTAGCCAAGCGTGATGGATGAATTTAATTATTTATTTCTGCAACAAAGCCATTCTGCACTGGAGCTCTGTAACATTTTATTTTGTGATTGTGTTTTTATACCTGTTTATTGTACATAAAGTGGATGAATGAAATGTGAAGTGGGACCAGCCTCTCAAATCTGCAAAACAAATTTACCTACGGGTACGAACAAAGCAACCAAACCTAACCTAACTAACTGATAGAGGCGGCTGCGTTACATGAAGCACTAACACCGAGAAGGTCCTGCAAAGTCATTTATATTCATCTCCTTGGCAACTCCCCGGGCGTGGAGACGTAACTGCACCGCGGACAAGCCTCTACCGGCAGAACGTCGTTCAAGCACCAGTTTGTGAACTTGTTCCTCTAGCTTTACGTGAGCCATTCGCTTTTTTTGTTTTCTTTATGGCAGTTAGAGTATCCTCCTCTTTTCGTCAGTCCCTCACAAGTTTCTCACTCACTCCAAACTTTCTTTCTGCTGCTCGATTACCGTTTTTGGCTGCATGTTTCACTACTTGCAGCTTGTAATTTACAGAATATGATTTTCTTTTTGGGGGCATTTGTGTTCAGTCTTTCTCTGTTGTATCTATAAGTTGATGTTTACATTAGGGCCCGACTGATATTATCGGCCGATATGGGCACCTGGAAACATATCAGCGATCGGGTGAAAATGAAACTTTCAGAAATCTGCGTGTGGATAGGATAGAAAAAAACATGCGTATTTGGCTGTAATTCAGCATAAAATAAATAAACAAGAACTAATCTTCGGCTTGAGAGAGGGAAGAGAGATAGAGACCGAGTCCCGACACTCAGTCCTGGCTCAGTTCTGGTTTAGTCCTGTTTTACACATGGTTTAGATCTGTTTTAGTCCTGGTTTAGTCCTTTTTCAGTCCTGGCTTTAGACCTGATTGCAACAAAACAACCTGAAGAGCCGCTTGGGAGCCGAAAGAGCCGGCTGCTTTTAGTGAGCCAAGCCAAAAGAGCCGGTTCTCTAAAAAGAACTGGAATACCCATCACTAGCAGCTAGAATGTGACGCAAAAAAATGCCATTAGTCCGACCTACTGACTGTAAATATGACGTAAAGAGGCAGAATAACAATAAATGTTGCCTAAATAAACCCAATTTACAATCCACCAGAGCCAAACCTAAGTTTTTTAAACAATTCAAGATTTACAGTGAATTTTTACATCACTAAATAGATCGGTCAGGCCCTAGTTTTTTTAATTTTAAGTTTTAGTGGTTCAGGATTAATAGGAGTAGAAGATACTGGCACACGAGCCTAGAGCCTCTCGCGGCTTCAATATGAAAATAACGAAAATGTGAAATTGTATATTTTAATATATAAGTCGCATCGGAGTATAAGTCGCCGGAAACACCCAAACATGAAAAAAAGTGCGATGTATAGTCCGAAAAATACAATAAGCAGCTCTTGAGGTCAAAATAAGTCTGTGTGCTTCCTGCATCTAATTATAAAGTGTTTTATTGTTTTATTGTTAGATTGACAGTCAAAGCAAATCTCTGCAATGGTGTCTGAAAGGTTATGAACAATGAATAATATGGACGCTCAAAATGCAACTGAGGAATAACTTTGGGTCACTGCAAATTGTTTAAAAAGATATAGTTCTGATTTTCACGTTTTTAGGACTGTAAAAATCAGTTACAGCGCCTTTAATGTTCTGCAATTTATGTTTTTCTTTTCTGCTGAGAACAATTTTGCAATGAAATGATTAAAAAAAATCCACATCCTACCTCCACGTCATCCCAAAGGTCGGCCGCGGCGATGGGTACGGCCAAATATCCAGCGCTGGCTTGGCGTTGTAGTTAAAAATGGGCACTTCTCTGAACCCTCCCCTCCTCGCCAGCCTCTTCAGATCGTCGTTGGGCAGGACGAAAATGCTCTTCTTGCTGCTTTTCGTCACAAACTTGCGGTAAGACGGCAGCGCGGTCCCCGAACGCAGCTTCTTCCCCTTTGAGAACTTCTGTAGACTCACCCTTTCCTTTGTCGAGTACTCTTTGCTGATCATGAAGCTGGCGGTCGTGGTCGCTCCTTGTGGCTTTGCTGTTTTCTGGGAGTTGGGAAGCGGGGGCGGCTGGGAGTCCGGGTTTGCTCGCTTCACCTGTAGAACTATCTGCGTTTTTAGGATCATCGTTTACTTCCTCTGATTTAGGTCCTTCTGCGACGTGATTGTCCAACTTCTGGATTTTAGTAGGCGGCGGTCGCGCGTCGTTTTGACACAAGTTTCCGTTCATTAAAGATTTCACAGTTTCTTTCGCGGGCTCTTTGACGGCGTCTTCAATTTGGCCGTCTTGCCCGTCTCGTTTCACGTTAGACTCCTCGTTAGCGTCTTTTCCATTTACTTGAACCGAGCTGCTCTTGTCGTCCTGCTCGACTTCTTCAAACGTCCTTTTCTTCCCGTTTTCGGACACCGTATTGATCTCCTTAGAGTCTGTACTTTCGGAAATCCCGTTGTTTTTGCTCGATATTGACTCTCCGTTGACGATGGAGCCTTCGCCGTTTCCTGATTTCACCTGAGTTTCGTGATCGGGTTTGACTTCTTCAGACTCAAAGTTGAGTTTCTTCACCACGTGGTCTTTAATTTGAGCGTTCTCTTCCGTTTTGACACTAGGGGTCACTGCGGGCTGTTGCGTGGGTTCACTTTTGACCACGGGAGCGGGTTTGGCTGATGCCACGAGCTTGGTGGCCAGTGCAGCCTGCCGTAGCCTCTCCAGCCGGGATTTCTCCTCGAAGGTGAACTGCTTGACGCGGCGCTCCAGCAGGGAGTCCAGTCTGGAGGGTTTGACTTTCTTCTTGTAGGCGGTGCGCAGCTGGAAGCCCTGGCTCACGTTGACCACGTCGTAGTACGGGGTGGGTTCTTCCTGTTTGGGCTCCTCCTGCTTGGGCTCGGAGCTGGGGGTCGGGTCGGAGCTTGGGGCCGGTTCGGAGCTGGGGACTGGGGCTGATTCGGAGCTGGGGGCTGGGTCGGAGCTGGTGGGTTGGTCGGTGGAGGGAGGAGGCTCAGTTTTATCTGTGGGAATAAGGGAGAAAGTCAACAAAACTACCTTGTGTGAGCAGAAAGAGATGAGACGTGACTTTTTCCATGACCTAAAGTGAATTTTTCATGACTTTAGCGGCACCTACATGTGTAGAATTGAGCATAGTTTAAGGGTTAAATATGAAATGTTAACCCTTTCCTTCACCTTATGGTTTGATATTATAGTTTTTTTACATTCAAAATACTGTCAGTGCATTTATTGTCATCTCTTTTAAACAAAAGTCGCATACGTTTGGAAAAAAAAAATCATAATAGCCAAATGGTATCTTAGAATTAGAAGAAATACTAAATTCCATGACTTTTCCAGGATTTCCATGACTGTGGGAACTCTGGATGAGCTTTAATTTTAACTTCCATTCAGAATAACAAATTTGAAAGTAAGAATCAACTTGAGATGTAACATCTGCCCACTTGTTGCTTCATCCTGTCTCGGTCCTTTCACAATAAAATATATTGTGTCTGTGAAACACTGGATGGTATTACTGTCCACCACAGCATGACCACAGTTATTGTTTAATTCTGAACAGTTGAAAAAAAGTTATTTGGCAAAAGGCAAAAGGAGAAATTCAATTTGTCAAATGGACAAAAGTTTATTTTGGTCAAATACGTTTCTCAGCTCATCCCAGCTGCTTCTTCAGTTCTGGTCGGACGCTGGTGAACACTGTCATATGGACACTTAAACACGCCTACTTGTTTACAGTTTCTGTTTGTTAGTTCGGCTTTTTGCACTTGCGCTGAGTGTGGGGTCTTATTAGCAGAATCATTCAGGGCCATAATGGAGCTTTCACACCTCTGGGCCTCACCTGGATAACCCCAATTTTTTTTCTTTGTTTGTGGAAATTATATTTAAGTTTATTTGCTACTGTCAGCTTATAACTTACTTCATTTATGAACTAATTATTTTATTAACTATTTATTATTGTTATTATTGTTGTATATAAATAAATTAAATTAAAAACATAAAATATAATAATAATAATAAAAGTAACAATATTATAATAATAATAATAATAATAATAATAATAATAATATTGTTACTTTTATTATTATTATTATTATTATATTTTTATGTTTTTAATTTAATTTATTTATTTTTTTATGATTTTAACTGCTCATGTTTCTCTGGACTATACAGACTCCACCAACTACAGATAGACTATAGAGACATTATTTATTTAAAATTTTGTTATTATTTTATATTTAGCTTTTTCTGGATTCAGTGTTTAAGCGAAACTATTATTAAACATTTATTTTAATAAGAAAAGGTTTAACATTACATATCTCGAAAAAAGAGAAAACATGTAGATGTTGTTGAAATTTTACAATAAATATTTAGTTTGGGCCGCGACTTAATTTCAGTTTTTAATGTTGGTCCTCTGTGAATTTGAGTTTTGAGATTTTGACAAATACGTGTTTTAAATATTCTCTCTATCTAGAAGCCTTCAGTCATTTGTCCCTTTATTCAGTTTAGAATGCATCTCAAAATATCAATGTACAACAGAAATAATAATTTAACTGGTCTAAAATATAGATAGATGCTAAATATAAAACAGGTGGGTCAGGTTTATGTGTTTACAATAAATATTCAGTAGAGCAGCGACCAAAAGTCCTACCAAAAGTACACTTTAATCAAGATTATTGTAATTAATTGTGGCTTTCAATAGACTTTACTTTAGATCAGGGCTCTCCAAACTTTATTCTCCAGTGAGCTTCCTTTACAAAACAAAAATGCCAGAGAACTACGGTACTTATTTTACTACTCACAAAGAAACTGAGTAAATATAAGAGCCACAGCGAGCCTTAGATGGGGGAAAATTGAGATGCTTATAAAACGAAAACCATTATCTATTTACCAGTGCACAAAATTTGGCATTAGAATGATACATTTACAAAACATTTACATTATATACTTGTGTTTCAGACGATACTTTGAATAAACAAAACAGTTCCTCTTACCTTTTTCTTCAGCTGGAGTGGAGTCGTTTCCTACAGAAGGCTCCACCTCCATTTTCTCCTCTCCTTCCTTTCCCTCCACCTCTTTCCCATCCTTCTCCCCTCCTCCTCCTCCTCTTCTTTCTCCTTCTCTTTCAGGTTCTGTCCATCTTCAGTCGTAGCGCTCTGAGGCTCCACCGCGCTGGAAGATTGTCCCTTCTCCTCCTCTTTTTGTTCAGTCTGTTTTTCACTTTTCACCGCCTTTTTCTTGGCAGCGTTTTCCTTCATTTTAGCTGCAAAAAAGAAAAAAAGTTTAGAAGATTATCGTTTCAAGAGATTTGTTTCTAAAAGCTTTATCGTGGAACATTTCCTCACCCTCCAGCTCTTTGCGGTAGTTGACGTTAGTGTTGCCGGGGAGCCTGGGCACGAAGCGCGGCACTCGAGTCTTGCTGACCCAGATCCAGCCTCCGTACCCGGTCACCCTGTACTCCTCACCCTTCTGCTTCCACACCTGAGAAACGGGACAGTTGTTTTAAGTTATTGATTTTTTTTTACTGGATAAGCAGGATTACCGTATTATCTGCACTATAGGGCGCACTTAAAAGCCTTTAATTTTATCAAAAAACAACTGCGCGCCTTATAATCCAGAGCACCTTATACATGTATTTATTGGGATGTCTTAGTACGACTTTAGTAAATTACAAAGCCGCACCACTTGCAGCATTACGGCTCTTGCAGTCAGGAGCATCAGGAGTAATTCAGACTGCGATTCCTTTTCATATCAAAAGACACGCTGTCAAGGAGACACGCTCACAACGCCCACTTTAAACTCAAGGCTGTTATAAAGCGAAAGTGCGAGCTGCGTGGGAGCAGTGGATGAGAGAAGGAGAACACACATTCACCAAGAGAGGGAGACAGCGCCGAGCGACTTACGCCACGATCTGCCGACGGATCGTGGACGCCCGGGTTCAGGATCAGTATCAACTGTGGTCCGAGCTTTCACCAAGACCGGAATCATCACTGAACTGCCAAGGAACAGTAACCACACTGACTCGGATAATGACAAGAGGGATGTGGACGTGCTGGACGCCGTAATCGCCCAACTGTTTGTATATTTACAATAAGTCATAATTGTTCAAATTATTTAGCGTCTCAGACAGTTACAATTGAACAAAGTTGAGTTATTGTGAACGCGTTAAATAATGTTTGACAGACTTATCTAACTGTTGTGTTTCGTTTAATGTGCCTTATAGTCAGGTGCAGTTTATATGTGAAAAAAGTTTGAAAATAGACCATTCAATGACAGTGCGCCTTATAGTGCAGAAAATACGGTATACTCAATGGTAACGAGCATCAAGAGAGTGTCTAATTCTACCCCAGACAAATTAAAGTTACGATACTAGTGGTTATAGGAGTAAATTTGGAGCAGAGTATTCAGAATTGGAATTTATTTATGTACAAAATAGAGAAATAAAAAACACCAGGATCATATCGAGTTGGTTAATACGGGTTAGACCAAAATGGCGAGGCTCACAGCAGCAGTTACAGAGAGAGGAGCGACTATTTTTCAATTTAAAGTCAACTGGAGTCAGATTTGATGAAGCTGGAAGCACGCCCATGCTCACTTCCTATTTAAAACACAGCAGCAAGCGGGTTAGTTATGTCCATTTACAGTCTACGGGAGCATCATTTGTCGTACACTGCAAAGGAGAAATTCAATTTGTCAAATGGACAAAGATTAAATCAGATCTGGGCACTGTACAGCTCCCGGGCCTTTTGTTTGACTCTGACCTGGCCTGTTTAAGCTCATTTGGAATTACAAAACAAATATATTTTATCATTTTACCTCATGCATGGACTAAAGCTGCATTGCTTTTATTTTAGAGGTGTTTTTATGACATTATTCGTCAGGCAACGTCACTTTTTCATTGCTTTGTCATAACATAAACTCTTACTAGTCTTACCAGCTTGTCAGAACAAAGCTACGTACTACTTTTTTTTAATAAAGAAATACGGTAACACTTTATAATAACTACACCTTATTTAGCCTTAATAAAGCATGAACAAAGACTTAATAATGATGCACGCTTAGTAACTACTTAATTACTACCTGACTTAGCACTTAACTTGTACTTAATTCGCCTGTGCTGTAAATAATAACTCATAAGTATTTCTTACTTAATTACTCATGAACTAACCATTTGTGTGTGCATTTGTAAATGTATATTTAAGTACAAATTCTAGCATTTATTAATTAGTAAGCCATGAGAGAATGATTTACTAATAATGCATTATTGTTTCTCTGGAATTTGACCAACCTTAACAAATGCTTAATAAAGCATAATTAGTCTTCACTTCAGAAAAGCTCTCAGAAAGACTTAACTAACAGATAACAGCTGCCTGAATTATCATTGCATTATTAGTAAATCATTCTCTCATAGCTTACTAATCATTAATAAATGCTCAAATGTGTACTTAAATATCCATTTGTAAACATGCAAATGGTTAATTCATGAGTAATTAAGAAGTATTGAGTTACTATTTACAGCACAGGCGAATTAAGTGTAAGTTAAATGCTAATTCAGGTAGTAATTAAGTAATTACTAAGCGTGAATCATTATTAATTAAGTCTTTGTTCATGCTTTATTAAGGCTAAATAAGGTGTAGTTATTATAAAATGTTACCAGAAATACAATTAATATTATGCATATTAGGGATGGGCATTCGATGAAATTTTCTTAATCGATCGTCGGAAGAATTAACGATCGATTATCGATTAATCATTAACGTTTTTATATTAAAATGATCATCATTATTATTACTATCTGCACTACTAATCTGCATAAATAAATTCAACTTTACGACATATAAACCGTAACGACTCAAGAGCCACATCAGCCCGTTTGACATTATAATGTGTTTAATTCAGTTTTTGTTCAAACTCTCACAGAAACGAAACTTAAAACCACATTGCTAATTTGCATAAACTCAGCGAACATAAAACTACAGCTCTTGTGTCGCTGATGCCGTCAGTTTCTGTCGGATTACAAGACATGACTCAGTGGAATACAGGTTAGTGTGACCAGATTTGTGTTTGTCAAAACCAGGACACCGTACGGGGGAGGGAGGTGGGGACTCGTCATCGACATTGAGCGACTCTCACCTGGCAAAACTTTTTCCCACTGGACACTGAAACATATGTGCTGCTTTGTTCACTGTGCACATGGACTCACACTTGTCCCGAACGCAACGGAAAGCGTGGAATTTCTTGTACAAATCATCGTTAAATACACATTTGTGCTTCGGCACGTTGCAGACTGACCCACTGTTTGTGTCTCGCTCCTTCTGATGCAGAGACACATGTACAGACCTGTTTGGTCACGATACACACAGAAACCTACATTCAGTTTGTCGATTAAAATTAACGTAATCGATGAAATTCTTAATGATCAATTATCGATTAATCGACTAATCATGCCCATCCCTAATGCAAAATTGAATATTGAGAATTGAGTATTTCTCCTTTGCCACGGATTCTACCTGGACGACTGAGTGATTTTACACACATTGTTCTACATTGTTCAGTCAATCACATTGTCACAGTTCTGCCTTTTGTTTACATGTTTTCCCCAGTCCAGATCTGTATCCCAGTCTGTTCCGGTCCTCCTTTTTCTACAGCTGCCACTCCTCCCCTAATCATCCCAGGGTAGTCTAGTTATATTCCCCCTGTTCATTCAGTCTTTGCTAGATTGTTGACTTGTGAAGACAGACACTCAAGCTCTGCATCTGAAACTCTGAAACTGAATTCTGTTGTTGACATTTTGTGCAATTTTGCTTTTCCCCTGTTTGTAGTACCTGTTTAAGTAGAAAAGGGGCTGGGAAACAAACTCAGAGTATTTCCGAGTTTTGGAAGTTATTTTAGTTTACATTAAATAAATCATATGTTCGTTTGTTGTTTTTTCAGTCTGATTTTCCATATTAAACATTACCCGTTACAGGACACTTTCTATTATTGAACTGAGACCTCGTTTGCCTGTATTATTTTTTATTTGTAATTTATTTATTTTTCTGTTAAGGCTGGCATTCAAAATATTTCACCTATAATTCGGTAGCTAATAAAATAAAACAAAAAAAACAAAAAATTATGCAAAATTATTCAATCAAAACTAAATCTCAATTTGCTTGCAACAAATAAAATCACAAAGACAGCAATTATTAAAATTTTCTGTGAAAACAACAAAATAACCTTATAAAATCTACTAACTCTGTAGTTTAGTTTAGCTACAAATATGTTCTGAAATCAAATGCAATTCATGTTTTTGTTTAGCAGCCGATATAAGACTGTGTTTTTAAATGTTAAAATCCATGGATGTGTTTAAAATGGGTACAGTCCACAGAATTCAGATTTGACGACATAAATTGCAAATCTACACGCAATTACGATATTTTTTTCTATATGAGGACCACATTGTTGTTGTTCATTATGATTATTAACCCTCTCCAGGCAGGCGTTGCAGATTTGCAACAGCTAAATGCCAATTAACTACTTAATCCAAATCAATATTTTATGAGCTTTTTTGACTCAGGAGCCTTTTTTCACATCCATGCTGATAAACGTGGACGATGCAGACTGTGCAAGAATGACTACACACAAACGACCTGCCAGAAGTGCAAAGTACTTTTGTTGTTTACAAAGGATAAAAATTGTTTCTTGGAGTATCACACGAAAAAGTGATGTTGTTCTGAAACTGTAAAGCTGTTACACTGTGCTTTATGTTTTCATTGTTATGAAAAGTGGTTTACACATAAAGTTTGCGTTCATATCATTTTCAGTCTTCAGTGTTAATTTACCACACCGGACCAAATCTGAAACATCCCAGAACCCATTGGATGTGAACGTCTCTCTCAAAAAAAAGTCAGGATTGTATATTACTACCTCATATGATCATTTTCCCCAAATATCAGATTTTTTCCTGTTACTAAAATTAAATTTGAGCCTGAGAGGGTTAAAGTTTCAGTCCTTTATCCACAGTGTACAGTAAAATCCACGTACCTGATGTTTGATGGGGATGGTGTACTTGACCCACGTGGCCTGCTGCAGCGTCTCCTCGTCCTCCAGCTTCTTCTCCTTCTTCTTCACCTTCTCCTTCTCCTCGCGCTCCATGGCGGTCATGCGGTGCAGCCTAAACAACACGAAAAACACACGAATAATAAATAAAGGTAAGGAAATCAAACCAAGTCAAATATTTCCAGTAAATATGTGAGTACTACCGCGTGTGTCCCAGAGACTCCTTCCACACGGGCAGCATGACCACGGGTTTGATGGCACACTCCAGGATGGCCAAGGCTAAAGCGAACTCCCGGGCCTTACTGCACATCTGCACCGCTTTGTTCCAGTTATTCCTGAAAACAGATAAAACGCACAATAGTTTAACCATTACTCAATAGGGATACAACAAGATCTCAAGCCACACAAGAGAAAAATTACTGTGTGAGATTTTTTTCCTTTAGATTTGTATCTGAAATAGTGTTACAGTGACAGCAATATAACAAACAAACAAACTGAGAACTAAATTGTGAACTGAACAGCACAATATACCGATATTTTTTGGACTATAAGTCACGCCATTTTTCATGGTTTGGGCGTTTCCTGCGACTTATACTCCGCTACGACTTATATATAAAAAATTTCAGACTGACAAACACGAGAGGGCGCTCTAGTCTTGTGTGTCAGTATCTTGTACTACTGTTACTCCTGTACTACTGTCACTTTGCATTCTACTGCGCATGTCTCCTGTAGATAAAGCCGTTTTCCTGCTGCAAATAGTGAAATATTCAGCCGAAAATGGTAATCGAGCAGCAGAAAGAAAGTTTGGAGTGAGCGAGAAACTTGTGAGGGACTGGCGAAAGCCCGGATGGAGAACACTGCTTCACGGTAACCGGGAGGATGCACCAACTAAAACCCACGGTGAGGCGTCTTTTAGCTTTTACGGCCCCCGTTTGTGGAACAGTCGACCTGAGGATCTGAGGTCCGCTGCGAGTGCTCATATTTTTAAAAGTAAACTTAAAGCATATCTTTTTAATTTAGCTTTTAACTGAAACTTTGACTTGTTTTAACTTAAATTATCATTATTATTGTTATTATTATAGTTGTTTTAAATTATCATTGCTATTTTACTTAGTCTCCATCTGATTTTAGCTATACATTTTCATTTTTACTATAACTTTTAATAGCTTTATGTTTATTAGTTTTTTAGTTTTTATGTTTCTATTTAAACTGTTAAACTGTATAAAAAGTGCTATACAAATAAAGTTTGATTGATTGATTGATCGACCATGAAACTTTCCTGGAAGTCACTGGATGAATCGACAAAGCCTGGACTTCAGTGACACCGAAACCATCCTGTCGGGATTCAGAAAGGCCAGAATAATTCTAACTGGAACTGATGCTGAGTCTGACGACAGCGACACAGAAGAGGAAGCGGCGCTCTGTTTACATGATGGATCTATGGTTTATCTCCAGAAGTGACACCGAGGATGAAGAATTGAATGGATTTAGTGATTTGGAGTGAGATCGTGAGTCTGGTAAACTTATGTTCTGTTGTTTATGCTATAATTATCTGAAGAACTGTTCATATGTTACTTTAACATATTAACGCCGATTCAGCCTGCTGTTCTCTATATTGTTGTCATTACTATAACTTGACTTTTAAGATGAAATGTCAGTTCTTGGTCTCTGATTTTATAAAATACATTTCCCCAAAAAGTGTTTAATCAGTCAGTTTAATCAAAGTTTTCTTCCTACAGCAGGTGTGTCAAACTCATTTTGGTCCAGGGGCTGTATCCAACCTACTTTGATCCCAAAGGGGCCGGATCAGAAAACTTATTATTATGACATAAGTTCAAATATTTGTGCAGAGAAACACAAATCTATCACAGAAATCTTTTTTAACTGATGAACTCTTTCTTTTACAAAATATTATAATATTATGAACAACCTGAAACTTTAAGAAAAATACAATTTCAACACAATGTTTTAACATGAACTTGTATGTAAATAGGAATAAGTCAATTTTTCTTGTAAAATCCTGCACTCGGCTCCACTTTTCTCATGTTGGACATTTTTCTGATCAGGGTGTCACGGTCAACAGTCAAAACGATCGTCCTTTAAGAGCGTTTGGAAAGAGACAAGTCTTCATTTGTGCTGCTCTGGTGGGAGGGGCCACGTACAGAGACACTGGAGACGCTGCTGTGATAAACACCACAGAAAATTAACAAGATTTTAATAGAAAATATAATTGGAGGGCCGGATCTGGCCCCCAGGCCTTATGTTTGACACCCGTGTCCTACAGCATTTATTGTAATACTGCAAGACAAGATTGTAAAGACGCTGCTTATTGTCTAAAATAGTTAAAAGTCTTATCATTATGACACATACTTTGGCAGATATTTTAATATTTTGGAATTTTTTGGTCTGTAATATAATAATTTCTCTTCAAACCTCAACTGTATTCATCTGCACGTGGAAAGAAAGAGCCAGGCGAATATCAGACATGTGTTTGGACGTGTACCCGCTCATTTCAGATCAGCGAGTACACGACGTCCTTCCTCTTTGGACTAGTTTGTGCCGTTTCTTTGTTTTTGGCGTGCGCGTGTGAAAGTGAAAGTAAAAGCTGCTTTGTTTGCGTGACAGAGAGCGAATGACTCAAAGTAAATGAGCTGTTCAAACCAGGACAGAGGCAAAATTGTTGAATCGTTGGATTCAGAACATGTTAAAAAAAGCCTTTATTGTATCATAGCTGATGTCTTAAAAAACACTGAATGCCTCTGTCGTGTTTTAAACGTTGCCCGATTCTCAACCAGAAGTTTTACCCAGCTCCTGGATAAAACTCTCACTACTGCAACTGCAAAAACACTCCAGTAGCAATCAAGTAACCTGGCTTTGAGTTGTTCTCTGGAGAGATTATTTAGTGATGTTGTGATAGTGTTAGGGAGGGTGAAACTAACTGAAGGTGCTACTCTGTCTGAAGATCTGCGATGCAAGTTAGACTTTAATCTGAGCTTTTGTTTTAACACAAGATGACCAGGACGATCTTTAGGTAGCTAATGAAACAAGACAAAACAAAAAACTAAAGATTATGCAAACTTATTCAGTCAAAACTAAATCGCAATTTGCTTGCAACAAGTACAAACAACAACACAACAAGCACAAAGACGGCGATTATTTAAATTTCCTGTGGAATCGACAAAATAACCTGAAACAAATGCCGTTCTTGTGTTTGTTCAGCAGTCGATATTATGCTGCCTTCTTAAATGTTAAAATTCCCGGATGTGTTTAAGAAGAAAATTGGTGTGATAGTGCTGGGGGGGAGAAAGTAACTGGAGGTACTACTCTGTCTGAAGCTCTGCGATGCAAGTCATTTGAGGTGAGGAATTAAGTCTTCTCATTATTTTCACTTTATCCCGAGTTTGTATTTTGCGTCTCTGCGTCCGTTAGAGGAAAACAAACAAAATCCTACGTGTGTTATTAGTCGGCTCATGAAAATAGTGTGATTTTAATTGTTTCGGGCTCAGGTTCAGCACAAAATCAGCACAAAAAAGAAAACACTGCAACATTTATCTTCTGTTTTTTTTATGGTGACAGGTCGATCTGTTCGTACCTGTGCGAGGCCCAGTTGGGGTGCATGAAGGGCCCGGGCACGTTGGTCTCGAGCTGGGTGATGTTGAGGCGGAGCGTGGCCACGGTGAGCGCCCTGGAGCCGTGGATGGTGCCGTTCCACTTGAACTCGGCGGCCGTGGTCAGGCTGAACTTGTGGGACAGGTGCCTCCTCTTGTCGTGCTCCTCGCGGTGCTGGTGTTTGTTCAGGGCCAGCGTGTTGGTGCTGTACTGGTTGTGGTAGACGCGGTACTTGCCCTCCTGGCCCAGCTTGAAGAAGTTGTTCATCTGGGTTTTGAGCGCCGGGTCGCTCTTGAAGAGGAGCGAGCAGAGCAGAGGCTGGAAAGAAAAATCACGGGAAGAATTAAAGTAAATAGAAGTGTATTTTGATTAGGGGTGTGCAAAAATATTGGAATATCGATATATCGTATCGTTTAATGTGATAATACAGTATCGATATCGTGGGCTACTGTATCGATATTTCACCAAGAGTATTTTTAGGTGTGTTTTACTAAATTGTTTTGTTGCTTGTGGAGTGAAAGGAAACTCATTTATGCGACACATTTGACATTTTTACTGTTTTGATGATTAAAATGTTTTTGTTTCATATGAACTTTGCAAAAGAAGTGATTTAACAAAGCCTTTTAGTATCACAGCCACGATTTAGCCTTTATTTTTTATTGAACTGTATTGAATCGATTTGAAATATATCATATCGAATCGAAAGTGCACTGTATCGAGATATGTATCGTATCGTGGCCTGTGTATCGAGGTATGTATCGTATCGGCAACTCCTTAATGATACCCAGCCCTAATTTTGATTTTAAATTCTGAGTCATAAATCTAGCTTTTACTGAAAACAACAGTAAATCTACAAAACATCAGACATGACGACCAAGTTGTTAATGTTATAATTTGGTGTTTGGGTTCTCATGTTGATTATCCAATCAGAAAGAAGAATGAGTCTCTCATTTGTGTTGCCAGTTTAAATCCAGTTGGTTTAAACCTAAAATGTCTCTCTCTGATCTGAATGGTCACTACTTAAAAACCAGAAAACCTGCAGCCACCCATGAGTCAGTGCTAGTGCAGCCTCTCCAGCTCAGGGAGGGAATTCTGGACGTTTTGAGCTTTCACATGAGGCCTGTCCATAAACTGAGAATGTTTTAACACAAGATACCGTATTTTTTTTATTTTAAGTCGCACTTTTTTTCATGGTTCAGAGGTTCTAGTCTTGTGTGTCAGTATCTGCTGCTCTTGTTCCTCCTGTCCCACTGTCATTTGACTCTACTGCGCATGTCTCCTGCAGAAAGAGCCTCTGTCCTGTCTGTATCGTATAATCCTGCCAGTCAATCGCACCATTACTTCTGTACCAATGAACAATTTAACATTTAAACAAACTCATAAAGACGACTGAGAAGACTGAACACAAATGCCCCCAAAAAGAAAATCATATTGAGCAGATTACAAGCTGCAAGTCGTGAAATGGTAATCGAGCAGCAGAAAGAAAGTCTGGAATGAGTGAGAATCTTGTGACACCAGGAGGATGCACCATGAAACTTTCCTGGAAGTCACTGGATGGATGGACAAAGCCTGGACTTCACCGACACCGAAACCATCCTGTCGGGATTCAGAAAGACCCGAATAATTCTAACTGGAACTGATGCTGAGTCTGACGACAGCGACACAGAAGAGAAAGCCGCGCTGTTTACCTCCGGAGGTCGTGGAGTTGCTCAGAAGTGACACCGAGGATGAAGAATTGAATGGATTTAGTGATTTGGAGTGAGATGGAGAGTTTGTTAAACTTGTTCTGTTCTGTTGTTTATGTTATAGTTTATCTGAAGAACTGTTCATATGTGACGTTAACAGTCTGTTGTTCTCTATTCTATTGTTTTTACTAGAACTTGTCTTTCGAGATGAAATGTCGGTTCCTGGTCTCTGCTTTTATAAAATAAATTTGTCCCAAAATTTGCAACTTATAGTCCGTTTTTTTCTTTTTCATTACACATTTTTTGGGTGGTGCGACTTATAGTCTGAAAAATACGGTAATTATTAAAAAGACAATATATTATCCAGTAAAATATTAGCAAAATGTCTTAATTTTTGTATATGAAAAACTGGTGCAAGACTTGAAATATTGGGAAGGGATAATTTATTTAAGATTTATATAAATTAATGTGAGGAAAAAGTCCAGCTCAGCCATTTTCAAGGTTATTTCTCACCTCCTTGTTCACTCTGGCCAGTGGGATCTCCCCCGCTGATACCGATACTGCTGATACTGCTGATGATGCTGATGTTACTGCTGCCGATGCCGCCGCCGCTGCTGCTTCCTTCTCTCCTTTCATCTTGTTGTACTCATCTGTCATTCACAAAGCGTTAACATTAGCCCCACATTTTTTAACACACCTCATTCGAGTTGACACGAGCAGACGCCGTGGTTACCCGTGCCGTCCTGGCTGGTGAAGGAGGAGCGTGAGGAGCGGTCGTTCAGGTCGGGCTGCTCCGGTTTGATGAGGTCACTGGTGGCGTTGTTGGTGGTGGTGTTGGTGGTGTTGGTGGCGTTGGAGGTGTTGGTGGTGTTAGAGGTGTTACTGCTGCTCGACTGTGCGGTCTGGGATGAAGACTCCGGCTCCTCCTTGGGTTGCTTCTTAGCTTCGTCTTGGCTTTCGCTGCTGCTGGGCTCCTCTTTCATCTCCTCATCTAATAAATAAACAAAATGGGCACTGATTTTAAAAGACTGGAAGGTAAATCGTTTTCAAATAAGCACACAGCGATGTTTATGTGCCAAACTTTAACCTCAGTTTGAACCAATTATGCCGACGGCTTCTATGCGTTGGATCAGGGGTGTCAAACTCATTTTGGTCCGGGGGCCGTATCCAGTGTTGGGAAGGTGACTTTTAAAATGTATTCCCCTACAGATTACAGATTCACATACCCCAAAATGTAGTTTGTAACATAATCCATTAAATTACTTAAAGTAACGTAATCTGAATACTTTGGATTACTTGATTTGTTGTAGAGAAGCAAAGACGAGGAAATCGTAACATAAGATGTTTTATCTGCTAAAACACAATAAAAAGCCCAGACTTTCCTTAACCGTATTAAAAATATTATTGATAGAAGAAGAGGAGACACGGTCCACACTGCAGGATTTAGTCCTGTTAAATCCTGGTTTAGTCCTGGTTTAGACCAGGTTTAGATCTGGTTTTAGACTTGGTTTAGACCAGGTTTAGACCTGGTTTGGACCTGATTTAGACCCAGTTTTAGTCCTGGTTTAGACCTGGATTTAGACCTGGATTTAGTCCTGGTTTAGTCCCGGTTTAGTCCCGGTTTAGACCCGGTTTAGACCTGGTTTAGACCTGGTTTAGACCTGGTTTAGACCTGGTTTAGACCTGGTTTAGACCTGGTTTTAGACCTGGTTTAGACCATGGTTAGAACTGGTTTAGACCTGGTTTTAGACCTGGTTTTAGACCTGGTTTAGACCTGGTTTAGAGACCTGGTTTAGACCTGGTTTAGACCTGGTTTAGACCGGTTTAGACCTGGTTTAGACCTGGTTTAGACCTGGTTTTAGACCTGGTTTAGACCTGGTTTAGACCTGGTTTAGACCTGGTTTTAGACCTGGTTTAGACCTGGTTTTAGACCTGGTTTTAGACCTGGTTTAGACCATGGTTAGAACTGGTTTACACCTGGTTTAGTGTCCGGCAATGAGTGGAATTACCAAACAAAACAAAACAAAAAAAACGGAATAGCCCAAAATGTAACAGGAAAATACCTCCATGTAATCCATTTATTTCAACAAAGTAACTGTAATCCAATTACCACTCACTGAAACAGTAACTGTAACTGAATACAGTTACTCATAATTTGTACTCTGATTACGTAACTCCAGTACATCTGTTACTCCCCAACACTGGCCGTATCCAACCTACTTTGATCTAGGGGCGTGCAAATATACTGAAATATTGATATATCGTATTGTTTAATATGATGATACAGTATCGATATCGCGGGCTGCTGTATCGATATATCGCCAAGAGTATTTTTTGGTACAGTTTTGTTGTTTGTTTAGTGGAAAGAAACTTGTTTATGTGACACGTTTGACATATTCACGGTTTTGATGATTAAAATGTTTGTGTTTCATATTCATTTTGCACAAGAAGTGGTTTAACAAAGACTTTTAGACTCACTGCGGTGATACGGCCTTTAGTTTTTATTGAACCGTATCGAATCAATTTGAAATATATCGTATCGAATCAAAAATGCACTCTATCGAGATATGTATCGTATCGTGGCCTATGTAACGAAGTATGTATCGTATCGGCAACTTCTTAATGATAACCAGCCCTACTTTGATCTCAAAGGGGCCGGATCAGAAAACTCATGGCATATATCCCCCAAAAAATAACAATAAGTTCAAATATTTGTGCTGAGAAATGCAAATATATTACAGAAATCTTTTTTAACTGATGAACTCTTTCTTTTACAAAATATTATAATATTATGAACAACCTGAAACTTTAAGAAAAATGCAATTTCAACACAATGTCAATTTTTCTTAGAAAATCCTGCACTCGGCTCCACTTTTCTCATTTTTGACATTTTTCTGACGAGGGTGTCACGGTCAACAGTCAAAACGATCGTCCTTTAAGAGCGTTTGGAAAGAGACAAGTCTTCATTTGTGCTGCTCTGGTGGGCGGGGCCACGTACAGAGACACTGGAGACGCTGCTATGCTCAGCACCGCAGAAAATTACCAATGTTTAAATAGAAAATATAATTAAAATATGTGAAGAATCCCTCAGTCGTCCAGGTAGAATCCATGAGGAGAAAATTCAGTTTGTCGACTGGACAAAAGTTAGTTTGGTTGAAGACGTTTTGCAGCTCATCCAAGCGGCTTCTTCAGTTCTGGTCAGACGCTGATGGACACTTCCTTATATCTGCAGGGAGGAGCTATAACAATGTTCTGCTAATTAGACCCAACACCCTGTACAAGTCAATAGGCCTAACTAACAGAAAATGTAAACAAGTAGGTGTGTTAGTTTCAGTTAGTTCGCTCCTCCCTGCAGATATAAGGAAGTGTCCACCAGCGTCTGACCAGAACTGAAGAAGCAGCTTGGATGAGCTGCAAAACGTCTTCAACCTAACTAACTTTCGTTCAGTCGACAAACTGAATTTTCTCCTCATATAATTAAAATACTTTAGTAGAAACTCAGCTGAGGGCCACATTAAAGGTCTTGGAGGGCCGGATCTGGGTCCCGGGCCGTATGTTTGACACCCATGCGTTAGAGGTTTCGTCTTAAATAAAAAACATGCTGTGGTGTTTGGAGATTAAAGAGAACTCCCAGATGATTAATTAAAGGTTGTATAGAGGATTTTTTTAAGGGAAGAGAAATACAGCGACAGTTCTTTTACAAATGTTGTGCATGCGAGTTTTTAGACCCTTCGTCCGCTTCACTCGCGCAATTGCTGGAAGGAATCTCCAAGAATCACCTCAGTTTGTCTTCGCTCCTTTTCCCCTTCTCTTCTTCTTTCAGCGACCTCAAGAACCGACTTTCTTTTGCGGCGAACTGGTCGTGGATTCTCGTCCGCCATCGCAACAAACTTTGTGAGGAAGTGACAGTTTGAAAAAGCCTCTAAGAACCGCTGCATAAACCACGTGATCCCTGCATCCCGACGAGTCAATTACACTAGAAACGTAGGGAGTTTGATTGATGACCTGACAGCCAATAGGTAAAGAGGCAGCCTCGTTTTCTATTGGCTGATGTTTATCTGGCCTCAACACGTCCACAGTTGATAAATTTTCATTCTTTTTTTTTTTTGGTCATCGTAATTACAAGGCTGCTGCGTCTCTGTAATGGTATTTTAAACTTTCATTGACAACTTGAAACAAAAAAAAATCCTCCATACAACCTTTAAGCATGAACACAAAAAAGACGGTATGGGAAAAGCAGAGAGCGAGAAGCAGCTTTGTCCGAGTGTTGAATATTGTCTCTGAGCCGCAGACAGAAGAGCGAGCGGGGCAGATTAGCAGTTCGCAGAGGGCCTGGCGGAGTGTGTGGTGTGAAGAGGCTGTTATGTAAACTGAGCTAAGAGCACAGAGCCGCTCACCACACTGACTGATGGACAAAACAGCAAAACAGCACCCACAAAGGACAGATACTACATGAAAAACTACGTACTGTTGTTGTGTCGTTGGCAAGCCACATCACAGACCTTTCTACTGCTCTGTGGGACATTTTATTCTAAGCACACACGGTTGACAAACAGACGGAAGACACTACACCACAAAGGTTTTACAGTGGGATAATGACATTCATAGGAGGTAATATTACTTTTGAGGAATCTACAATCACTGACAAAACTTTGACTTTTTCATGACCCAATTAATTTTCCATGACTTTATGGCACCTACATGTGTGGAATTGATCAGACTTTTAGGGCTAAATATGAAATGTTAACCCTTTCCGATCCGTGTATCATTCGTTCATTCGTTTTTTCAATATAAAACCAAAAATAAGAAAACGAAAAAACAACTGTTTTCTTCATTATTTGTCTCCAAAACCAAAATGAAAAAAACAGATAATGATTCGTTTTTTTTTCAGTTTTTGATTTTGTGTTTAAATGAAGAATGAAAAAAACTGAGAACAGCCATTTCCCGTTTACATGACTTCCGTGACTGCGATGCCGGACTTTTGCACTGCATACGGACAGAACCAGGACCGATCCAGACCGGGACTGAGACAGGGACCAGACCGGGACCAGAGCAGGACCAGAGCAGGACCAGACTGGGACCAGACCGGGACCAGAGCGGACTCCGAGCCTCAGCTTCGAGCTCCGGCCCTGTCGTGGGCTCTGAGCCTCCGGTCTGGTCCCGGACTGGTCTCGGTCTCAGTCCCAGTCTGGTCCTGGTGTGGTCCCGGTCTGGTCCTGGTGTGGTCCCGGTCTGGTCCTGGTGTGGTCCCGGTCTGGTCCTGGTGTGGTCCCGGTCTGGTCTCAGTCTCAGTCCCGCTCTGGTCTCAGTCTCAGTCCCGCTCTGGTCTCAGTCTCAGTCCCGCTCTGGTCTCAGTCTCAGTCCCGCTCTGGTCTCAGTCTCAGTCCCGCTCTGGTCTCAGTCTCAGTCCCGCTCTGGTCTCAGTCTCAGTCCCGCTCTGGTCTCAGTCTCAGTCCCGCTCTGGTCTCAGTCTCAGTCCCGCTCTGGTCTCAGTCTCAGTCCCGCTCTGGTCTCAGTCTCAGTCCCGCTCTGGTCTCAGTCTCAGTCCCGCTCTGGTCTCAGTCTCAGTCCCGCTCTGGTCTCAGTCTCAGTCCCGCTCTGGTCTCAGTCTCAGTCTCAGTCCCGCTCTGGTCTCAGTCTTGGTCTGGTCCCGATCTCAGTTCTGATCTCAGTCTCGGACTGGTCTCGCTCTCAGTCCCGGTTTGGTACCAGTCTGGTCCCGGTCTGGTCCCGGACCTGGATCAGTCCTGGTTCAGTCCGTATGCAGTGCAAAAGTTCGGCATCGCAGTCACGGAAGTCACGTAAACGTTTTTTCCAAATCTTTATTTAAACACAAAATCGAAAATTGAAAAAAACTAATCGTCATCCGATTATACTCGTTATACTCATGCGTAAACCAACCCAAAACATGCTACAGGTCTCCAGGAAGAACAGTTGATAGCCAAGGTCAGTTAAATACAATCAATTAACGAATCTGCCCCGGGACGACAGTTGGAATTTAACACTGGCGTTACAACCTGATGTACAAGCATCTCTCCTGTTAAGGTTAATGTAAAAATTGTGCGCTGTCCCTGTCTCAAATAAATAAGTAAGTAAGTCAGTAAGTAAGTAAGTAAGTAAAGAAATAAAGAAAGAAAGAAAGAAAGAAATTCTATGCTTGACTCATCCTTCAACTAGAACCTTTGGGGCAACCTGTCGAGAGCAGGGGACCCATCTCCAGATCTTGACCTAGTCTTGGTCAGAACTACCTTAGCTGGTGGGTTTGACCTGTGGTGCATGTTTTAGGTTGACGGAGGGAAACTGAAGTCCCAGAGGAAACCCGCTCAGACACAGGGAGAAACAAGCAAAAACTCCACACAGAAAGGCTTGGGCTCAAACCCAGAACCTTCTTGTCATGAGGCGAAAGTAACAGCAACTCAGCCGTTTCACAGAGAAGAAACATGATTCAATGAGCCAAGCTGGTGAATGAAAAGCAAACAAAGCTCCAGCTCTAGCGGATGTACATAAAGCAGTAGAACACTAATGCAGAGGGGCAGGGAGGGACGCTGGAGGGAGGATGAACACAGCACACAGACTGGTACCTGTTGCCCCCTGCTGTGCCTCTAAGGGGCGCTCCCGATCTGCCCCTCCTGTGCCTGTGCCCGAGTCCTGAACAGCGGCGCCAGACCGCGGCTCCGGCTCACCGCTGCCGCTCCCCTCTGTGAGAGCGCCAACTGTGGCTGCAGCGGGCGACAGCGACACACAGTAAACAAACACAGGTTACTCCGCGCGTCCGTAGTGAGTGACGGGGATGTGACGTGTCTGTGCAGGTTTGTACCTTGAGAGCTGCAGTCCTCGCTCGTCTCGGTGTCCCTCTGCTCTTCGTTGCTGGTTGCTGGTTCTTCCGTCGTGGGCTTCTCCGTTTCTCTCTTGGCCTCTTCCTCTTTGCGCTTGGCTTCCTTGGCCTCACGCAGCCCCTTCAAACGCTCCTCGACTGTTTCTACAAGCACACGAGAAGGAAGGGAGTGTTCATTACATGTCGTCACATTGGGCTTCATCGGTCAGACTGTATGTTTGCATTCCGGTGATGGGGTGACAGAGAGGTGGTGGATTTTTGTTTACAGTACATACATGTAGGGCACAGGTGTCAAACATACGGCCCGGGGGCAGGATCCGGCCCTCCAAGACCTTTAATCTGGCCCTCAGCTGTTTTTCTACTAAAATATTTTAATTATATTTTCTATTAAAATCTTGGTAATTTTCTGTGGTGTTTATCACAGCAGCATCTCCAGCGTCTCTGTACGTGGCCCCTCCCACCAGAGCAGCACAAATGAAGACTTGTCTCTTTCCAAACGCTCTTAAAGGACGATCGTTTTGACTGTTGACCGTGACACCCTCATCAGAAAAATGTCCAAAATGAGAAAAGTGGAGCCGAATGCTGGATTTTCCAAGAAAAATTGACTTATTCCTATTTATATACAAGTTCATGTTAAAACATTGTGTTGAAATTGCATTTTTCTTAAAGTTTCAGGTTGTTCATAATATTATAATATTTTGTAAAAGAAAGAGTTCATCAATTAAAAAAGATTTCTGTAATAGATTTGTGTTTTTCTGCACAAATATTTGAACTTATTTTTGGGGTTTATATTCCATGAGTTTTCTGATCCGGCCCCTTTGGGATCAAAGTAGTTTGGATACGGCCCCCGAACCAAAATGAGTTTGACACCCCTGGGCTAACGGATGCATTACAATATTCAGATATTGCACTTTGAATGTCACAATATGAGATATTTTAAGAAAATGTAATACTGGCTTTAAAGTTTGGTTATAGGCCTATATTTTGTACAGGCAGATTTATCTTAACCTGTTTCAGCAGAAACGACCAAAACAAGCTCATCTGAACACTTGTGAAGCATTATCTTCGGCTGCACAAACTGTTACTTTACTGCCATCGGTGTAAAATGAAACAAGGCTGGAGCTCAGACCTATAACTGTTAAAAATATATATATTTCACCTCATTATACGTTTTTATGGAAGCCTTGAGGTCAAAACAAAAAAAAACAAAAAGAAAAAAAGGTATGTCATTTGGGTAGTAGTAGGTTTTTTTGTTTTTTTTTTGCACCAACAGCTCCCAAAAAAATAAATAAAAAATGTGTGTGTGTTTTTTTTGTTTTTTTATTAGTAGCATTACTAGGAGTAGAAGTAGTATATAGGTATAACCAATATACTGGGAAAACAATTAGGCTCTGGAGTGTTTTTTTTTTTTTTTTCCATTAGCCACATAAACAGTAAAAAACATTTTTTTCAGGTGTTTGTTTCTTATCTTTCTTTTTTTTTTTTTTTTTTTTAACACTTGCCGTTCAGGGTTTCCGTACCTTTCTAATGTAAAGGACTATAAATTAACTATCTTATTGTCACGGTAATTCAACAATTAGCATGGCAAGAGTGCATTTCCTGGTTTGTGAACAATAAAATGCTATTAATCACCCTGCTTTTTTTACAACACATCTGTACTTGGGCAAAACAAAATTTACTATGGGGGAAAAAAATAAAAAATAAATAACGCAGTTACAGTTTAATGTGGATTGGATGTCTGGAATCCAGTATCAGAGACAAAAAGCTGAAGAACACAAACAGATAAAGAACAAAAGAAGGACTAAAACACCACACATGAGGGAAAGCCAAAAAGGACGACCGTAGAAGTGTTAGATGGTAGACATAAATATAAACGAGTGCAGGAGTTGTACCGTTGAGAGCGGACAGGTAGCTGCGTGCACTGCTGGCCTTCTTGGTGAGGTCCAGGGTGATGTCCATGTGGGCCTGGACCTCCTCCTTGACCTCCTCCAGAGCGGCGTGCAGGTCGCTCTCCCAGTACTCCTGATCCAGCAGCTCCATCAGCTCCTCCAGCTGCGGCCGCGTGCTGTAGTACCACGTCCTCTTGCTCTCCCGCTCGCCCTCCTCCTCGCTGCAATCACACACAGAGAAGGTCAACATTCACAGACAAGAGACCTTCAATAACAGTGGTACAAATGCGTAAAGTCATCCCTATTATTATATTTAATTTAGGTCTGAAATCGCATTTTGAGTCGCAGCATTGATCAAATCGCAAACGCTGCAGTTCTTTAGGTGATAACAAACCTCAAATGGGTTCCAGTCAAATGGTAACGGAGGGAAACAGGGGCAGATTTTTTACATTCAAATGTCTCTTATTCAGAAACTAGAGGGACTATTGAAATAAGTAAAGTATCAGAATGTAGGAAAGAGTTACACTCCAACAGGGTAAAGTTAAACCTGTGATATTCTTTCAAGTTGTTGACAAAAAATTTAAAACTCATGTCGGTAACGGAGGGAATGAAATATGCAGCAGCACTTTTTGGGCAATAAATACAAACAGTGATAACTCTTGGTTCTCACTTACATATCCTTAACAAACTGGTTTGAATGTTTGCTTCATATAGTTTTCTACCATATGGTACAAGATTAGGTTGAAAAACCTCTTACTTTTTGAGTCATGAGATTTTTTTATTAAGAAAGGTCATGGTAACGGAGGGAAAAGTAACGGAGGGAAAATTGTGCAAACAAGTAGAAGGTGCATGATTTTGCATAATTTGTCAACTTTTTTCTTCTGAATACTTTAATATTACTTCAAAATGAAAGGAAACTATTTCTATAAAATATGTCAGTCCTTCCAAGAAATTTTTATCATTTTAAATACATTTTTTTTTTTTAAATCATGTACCTTCATCAACAGTTCAAAGATGGAATAACACAAGATATGATGAAATACATCCATTTATTTACATGATTTGCAGGTCTTTGAAATTTGGGAAATAATTTTTGTTCCATGTTTCATACATGGTCTGTTTAAAACGTATGTAACTTTAGAACCAAAAAAAAAGTAAACAGTTTCATAAACTAGAGTACATATGTATCTGTTCAATACATTTTTATATCAGATGCATTAACTTGAATTTTTGGCCTTGCTGTTTACTTCTGCTTGACCGGGCCCAGATATATCCAGACCGTGTACCATTCTTTCTTTTGAATTTCAATTAAGAATGAAAAGCAATAAAATGGGAAAACAGTTTGACACTAAAACAGAATAATGAAATAACAAACAAACAAAAAAATGACCTCTATTTCCAATATTTATTAAGTTTATTTTAAATAACACCAACCAAAAAAAATAATCAGTCTCTGTGCCTATTTTAATTTAGTTGTTTTTATTCTCGCTGGTTTATTTGCTCCGGAAGTTTTGCTGCTAGAAGGACTAACCTGAAAAATCGTTGCAATTTTGTGTACAAACATGTAGTCTTCCTTTATTGCAACACTTTTACATTCCAGTCATAGAAAGTAATTGTTGAACTCCAGGACGAGAAACAGAAAGCGGCAATAAACTCTCCTTTGTTCAGCTGACACCGTAGAGCTATAATAAAATCATTAATTTTTTTTATTATAGATCCATGGTTGACACTGCAGCAGAACTTCCGTGGCAAATAAACCAAAGTGAATAAAATATCAAAATTAAAATAGTTTTTTTTGGTGTTATAGGAAATCAACTTTAAATTAAATATTGGAAATAGAGGTAAAAGTCTGTTTTTTTGTTTGACACTAAAACGGAAAAATTAAATAAACAGTTTTCCCATTTTACGGTTTTCGTTCATAATTGAAATTCAAAAGAACAAATGGTACACAGACCATATCCTTCTGTTGTTTTGTTTTTCTCTTGTTATTAAGACCTCTACAAATGTGTTTTCAAATGCATGGGAGTTTTAGATAATAATATCAGTTCATATTTCTGTATTCCCAATCTTTTTTTTTTTTAAACAAATATCGCAAATATGATCGAAACTGTATTCTTTTAATCCAATTAGTTTGACTGAATCCAGCGTCTACTAAGGTGCTGCACAGAAATAATTAAAAACAAATCAGAAAAAAAACAACAGTATGGCGTGTTCCCTTGAGTCTTGGTTGTGTAGAAGTGAGCGGTCGTATCTCCTGGGGTATGTCGGTGAGTTCATTCAAGCCTGAGATAAGCTATATTTACCCGTACAGATATTAAGCACAAATCCAACAAGGCCTACAAGTGTGTCTGAGGTTATAGTCGTTGAGTTTACAAATGACCTTTCCACTTCAAATAATAACAACATGTATTTATCTGGGATATAAAACCATTGTGTGAATCATTTAGTAATTACACAGCCACATTCTGAGCCTAATTGCCGTTGTATTTCCATGTGGACTCAAAAAGACAAACTGGAAATGACGTGGACACACAGACTAACGCAACTTTAAGAGAAATGTTGTCGTATTTCTTCAGTTATCTGCTAAATTAACATTATCATTACCAGAAAATGGTCCAATATTAGATCGCCTATTCCTTGTTTTCCTAGTCTTATTCACCAGCCGGTTTCACTTCGTGGAAACCGTCTGACCTCACAGTGTTAGAATTCGTTCTCTTGACTGTAGGCGGGTACTTTTTTTATTTAACCAGTCGCTGCTATTTGGTCGTGACGTATGTAATGCGCCACTAACACTTACGAATTGACTCAATGCAATAGTTTTGGTTCTTTTTCTATTCTTCTAGTTAGTTTAGTTAGTTTGGTTAGGGAAGGAAGGTCGGTGAGTAAGTGAGTAAGTAAGGACGTAAGTATTAAGCAAGGAAGCAAGGACAGAAGGAAGGTAAGTAAGTTCGGTCGGTGAGTAAGGAAGGAAGGAAGGAAATAAGTAAAGAAGTAAGGAAGTTCGGTCGGTGAGTAAGGAAGGAAGGAAGGAAGGAAGGAAGTATGGTTGGTCGGTCGGTAAGTAAGTGAGGAAGTAAGTAAGTAAAGGAGAAAGTAAGAAAGTAAAGAAGTAAGTAAAGAAGTAAGAAAAGGAGTAAGTAAAGGAGTAAATGAGTGAGTAAGTAAGTAAGTAAAGGAGTAAATGAGTGAGTAAGTAAGTAAGTAAAGGAGTAAATGAGTAAGTAAGTAAGTAAAGGAGTAAATGAGTGAGTAAGTAAGTAAAGTAAGTAAAGGAGTAAGTAAGTAAGTAAAGGAGTAAATGAGTAAGTAAGTAAGTAAAGGAGTAAATGAGTAGTAAGTAAGTAAGTAAAGGAGTAAGTGAGGAGTAAGTGAGTAAGTAAGTAAGGAAGGAACGAAGGAAGGTCAGTGAGTAAGTAAGTAAGTGAGTAAATTTTTATTTATATAGCGCTTTTCACAGAGCAATGACGTCTTTCCCCTCGATAGAATTCGCCAAGCATTCTCTTTGTTCCGGCTTTAAATCCTCGATCTCGAGAATCGATGCCAACACAGAATGTATGTCTCTTCGCTGATTGGCAGGTGCCCAGACTCGCACTTCCAGGGTTCTTTGCAAACCGTCTAGTGTATTCCAATTCCTGACCTAGTCACTGGCGAGAAATGAAATTGAAGGGAGGCAGTAGGTAGCTCCAGCCTGGTTATTGTTCTTCAGTTATTTTAGGAAAGTGATGAATTGTTTTATGAATTAACTCAATGAAATAGTTTTGTTTCTTTTTGGGTCGTTCTAGTTTTCAGTTTTGATCACGCCGCATTTAGGAATTAAACTGAAAGCCAGACGTTTCAATTACATTCAGCGGCGGTGTCTACAGCGGCATCAAAGACAGTTTACCCATCCAAAGGTTTCGTGAACAAAATCGAGTCTGCGTGATGGAAACCTAAAAGCTTTACTATGAAACACATTTCCAGGATGTGCCATAAATGCTTCTTTGAAAAAGCCTCCTCTGCCGTTTCCAATACACGACTGGAAAATGCCATTAAGCCGAGGGCAATGAGCGTTCTGACTGGAACATCAGCGCACACGCCTGTTGTTACAAACGGTCAGATATTGGACACAGCTCCGCCACAAACATAAGTGGGTGTAATTTCGTTTACAATAGGACATGTAAAACTCCAGCACACAAAAGAGCTGGTTAACATGACACTGCTAATGATCTTGTTACTGGGGACAGATGAAACAGTAAGTCAACATGATCTGAACAAAACTAAAGTGTCTAGTTTTCTTTTTTCATGATATCAAATCGTCAAAAGTCTCACAATAATATCGTGGGCCATCACAATATATCGAATTACAAGTCTCGAGTTATGGTGCAGCGATATAGCTAAAAAAAACAAACAAAAACTACGTATACCATGATCCTTTGCTCCGTTTCAGCGCCGATTACTAGTACATGAAGAAATAACCACTTGTTTTTAACCACTTTAAAGCTTAATTCTTTAGATGATAACAGAACCGAAGGCTTGTCAAGGCATTTTAAAAAGGAAAAAGCAGCATATTCATAATTTTCTTAGCCTCCACAAAATATCGCAATAAATATCGTACCGTGAGGTGTCTACCGTGAAAGTATCGTACCGAGAAATGCGGATATCGTTACATCTAGGGCTGGGCGATATGGATCAAAAAATATATCTCGATATATTTTGCTATATCTCGATATACGACATATATCTCGATATATGTTCAAGAAAAAATAACCCCCTAAAACTGAAAACTTGCAAAAACAAATCTGCCAAATTCCACAAGGTCCTTTTTTTTAAATTGAAGTGTAAGAGGAACATTTAAGATTACAGAAAACCCTCATTACATAAATAATAATTTAACTGTAAAATAAAAGAAATAATACACATTTCCTTCTTTTCATTCATAAATAAAACAACTCAACACAAGCTCATCTTTGTATTAACTCTGTTATCCAAACCAGAACCATAACCATGAGCTCATTTAGCAGAAGAAGCTCAGGATGCTCCTCATTTCAATAGATCCATGTTATTATCCAGCAGTGAGGAGCTCTGAGGTTTCCCACAATCCACTGCAGATCAAACCCAACGTTTCCAAACACTATTGTACAAGTGACACTGCAGCAGATTATTAATTAAAATATTCTGCATAAATAAACTTTACATTGCTAAACTTTACAATATATAAAGCACAACGACTCTAGAGCCACATCAGCCCGTTTGCGATAATAATGTGTTTAATGCAGTTTTGCGCACGTGTGTTTACGTTTTACAGAAACGAAACTTAAGCGCATGGCTCATTTGCATAAACAGCACTTCTCATGCAGCTCAGCTCGTTTAGCTTCTTTCGGGCTAAAGGACGCGACTCGGTGGAACATGAGGATGTGCTGCTGATGGTTTTGTCTGTAAATGGTGGAAAATGTTCGTGGTGCTTGAAGCTTTTCACTGGCACCAACTTTCGGCGTTCACGGTGATAGTGAGGAGTGAAGGAGACACGAGCGAACAAAATCAGGGAGGCGGGGCGCGGGCGACGAGAGAGAAGGTAAACAAGCGAAGCGGCAAAATCAGAATTGAATATAAGCATTATATCGATATATACGATATGTCAGAATTCATATCGAGTTTAAAAACTATCTCGATATATTTAAAATATCGATATATCGCCCACCTCTAGTTACATCCCTAGTGTATATAGTAGTATATCAGCGAGAAAGACAAATATGGTCTTTAACCTACTTAAGTTCAGCGGTATAGACTTTAATATGCATTTTCACATTTATTTTTAGCATATAGTTCGGGAAAGCAGACAGAATGAGCATCTCTACAAATATTGAATGAGAGTTACAGACACTAGATACTAGGGGTTAGAGCTGGGTATCATTAAGAAGTTGCCGATACGATACATATCTCAACATAGTGCACTTTCTGTTCGATACGATACATTTCAACTCGAGTCGATACAGTTCAATAAAAAATAAAGGCTAAATTGTGGCTGTGACACTAAAAGTCTTCGTTAAACCACTTCTTGTGCAAAGCTTATATGAAACACAAACATTTTAATTATGAAAACAGTGAAAATTTTGCTTTCTTTTAATAAATTCAAAAATAAATTCAGTTTCAAATGTCAAATGTGTTTCCTTCCACTAAACAAACAACAAAAGTGTAGCGCTGTAACAAAATAATTTAGTAAAATATACCAAAAAAATACCCTGACGCAATATATCGATACAGCAGCCAACAATATCGATACTGTATCATCACATTAAACGATTTGATATATCGATATTTTGATATTTCTGCACAGCTCTACTAGGGGTCTGCAAAAATATCAAAATTGATGAAATTTAAGACCTTTGTGAAAAAAAAATAAGACTTTGACACCTAACCCTAACCATAATTTAAGACTTTTTAAGGAATTTGTTTAGGAACATGAAATTTAAGACCTTTTTAAGACTTTTAAGACCCCGCAGCTACTCTGTTTTAGTATCACAGCCACGATTTAGCCTTTATTTTTTTTACTGAACCCTATCAAATCGATTTGAAATACACCGTATTGAATTGAAAAAGCATTGTATTGTATATGTGGCCTATGTGTCGAGGTTTGTATCGTATCGTCAACTTCTTAATGATACCCAGCCCTACTTGATACTACTACTTGCATAAAAAGATAACGTATTGGTCCAATCAGAGTACTGTGTTCTACAAAGGAAAAATGCAAGTCACGCAATGTTTTCCTTTCACTTTAGGAAACTAAGTGTATTCAGAATAATAACGCTAAAGTGTACTGTGAATAGTTTTTTGCGATGACTTTTAAAATTTGCAATAGGAAAACAAAATCAAATATTCTTTTTTTTTTTCCAAACTCTCCTGTCCTGAGCTCACGGTGACCTCCAAAAATCCTCTCTGGGCTCCACGTGAACAAAATAAAGACGATCAAATGAAAGAGTAACTGTAGTTTAGCATTAACATTCTGATTATGCAGTTTTGGTAAATGTATTCACTTAATTCCAAACACTCCTGACAGATGCTCAACTGTGTTTGTCTCTCCAACAGTCTAATCTGACACGCTGACTAAGAAAATGTCTAGTTTCGTTTTGTCATTTGAAGCATCACAATCATTACAAGCAAAAGGAAAGGAGACTCAGATAATAACTTACACAATAATCCTTCTGTTGAGAAACCAGTACTTCCTCTGGTGCCGGTCGTACCCGATGGGCTCCTGTCTGATGTAAGGCTTGTTCTTCTGCACCTCCATGACGCAGTCGCTGACCCCGGGCACCTGGTGGGCCGCGCACACCTCGCACTGCCACTCGTCCTCGGGCACGGCCTCCAGGGGGGGCTTCACGCACTCCAGGTGGTACACGGCCGAGCACGTCTCGCAGCACAGCAGGTCCCCCAGCCTGTGGCACACCCGGCAGTGGTCGTCGTACTGCATCACGCCGTCGGACATCAGCTCATCACGCGCGAGGTTTGTGGTGAGGAACAGGTCCACCAAGAACTGCAATACTCGTACTTTACTCTCGAGGGGACCGTACGGGTACTCGTCTGTCTCTAGGTAAGGAAGAACATGGTGATATTCTTTGTCGCTCTCACAGTACGAGCGCAGCACTTCAGGCCAAGTCATGCCGTCTATGAAGAACAAAGTGGAGTTCACACTGTCTTTGAGGTCGGTAGGGCCGAAGGTAGTATTGGAGGTGTCCTCTTCTCGTAGTATAACCTTCAGTAGAGCTATGTGCGTCTCCGAGATTAAAGTACTTTGCTCTTGGCCCAAAAGAGCAGCACAGAAGTCCTCAAAGCGGAAAGGCGAGAGGCGCAGCACAGAGCTGAAGTTGCGCAGCACTTCGTAGATGGAGACTGTACTGAGAAGCTCCTCGTTAGGCACCAGGAGGTCCTCAGAGGAGTCTGGAAGCACCAGAGGGGGGATCTCTTTCTCCTCCAGGATGGGTGTGCGGGGCCGTGGAGCTCGTCCCCGTCTTTTACCTGAAACATACAAATGGAATGTTAGATTATAAAAGGTTATGGTTGTCATCTGTCTATGTGTAGTGTTAATGTAGTTATGGTACTGTTGCGTTTGGGCTAGGGATGGGCATTCGATGAAATTTTCTTAATCGATTGTCGGAAGAATTAACGATCGATTATCAATTAATCATTAACGTTTTTATATTAAAATGATCATCATTATTATTACTATCTGCACTACTAATCTGCATAAATAAATTCAACTTTACGACATATAAACCGTAACGACTCTAGAGCCACATCAGCCTGTTTTAGATTATAATGTGTTTAATTCAGTTTTGCGCAACTCTCACAGAAACGAAACTTAAAACCACATGGCTAATTTGCATAAACTAAGCGAAGATAAAAAAATAAAAAAAACAGCTCTTGTGCGCTGATGCCGTCAATTTCTCTCAGATTAAAAGACATGATTCAGTGGAATACAGGTTAGTGTGACCATATTTGCGTTTGTCAAAACCAGGACACCGTACGGGGGGAGGGAGGTGGGGACTCGTCATCGACATTGAGCAACTCTCACCTGGTAAAGCTTTTTCCCACTGGACACAGAAACATATGTTCCTGCTTTGTACACTGTGCACATGGACTCACACTTGTCCCGAACGCAACGGAAAGCGTAGAATTTTTTGTACAAGTCATCGTTAAATACACATTTGTGCTTCGGTACGTTGCAGACTGACCGAATGTTTCTGTTTGCTCGCTCCTTCTGAGTGCAGAGAGACACATGTACAGACCCGTTTGGTCACACTACGCACAGCAACCTGCATTCGGTTTGTCGATTAAAATTAACGTAATCGATGAAATTCTTAATGATCAATTATCCATTAATCGATTAATCATGCCCATCCCTAGTTTGGGCACCTTTTGTTTTCCAATGTTTTTTATTGTTTATATTCTTTGGAGCATTTTCCCCTAGTTTTGTTTTTCTAAGTTAGTTATGTTTTTGTAGTATTTTTTTACTCATTTCCAGCAGTCACAATAAAGCGATTTAAAATGGTCTTGTGTTCTAGACCAGTGTTTCCCAAATGTTTTTTCTGGGGACCAATATTTTAAAAGCCACAAACCTTTGCGGCCCAAGTCAAAAGACATTATTCATAAATCATAAAATAAACGTGGATACTGAGGATAATGTATTGTTGACGGAGTGATCGTGTCTCTCTGAACAATTATCATTACTTAAGTTTTAAACAATGAAAAACAGTAATTGAACCAGTAATAAAAGGTCCATAAGTCGCCTGTTTGGACATTAAATGTGGCCCATTTCTTTTTCTTTTCCAATTGAATCAGCGATATTGGAACAAAAAGTCAATAAAATAATTCAAAAAGATTAGAAATTATTCAAAACATGTCTTAACATTTCAACCTGCATGCAGATCATGACAAGGTGACCTAAAAAAAAATCTCTTGCGACCCCGTCTTTGGGAAACAATGCTCTAGATCAGACATGTCCAAACTATGGCCCGTGGACCAAATGCGGGCATCAGACAATTTTTCTTGGTCTTCAGGCTTCCAGGTGATAAAAAGGTTTTGAAAATCTACCTTGATTAAGCTAATATTTAAAAATTTGTGTTGGGGTTTTACAGAAATCAGCATGAATAGACTGAGACCGATGGCTCGTTCTAACGTGTTAAACATGCACATATTTCCATTATTCACTGTATTGGGCACCGATCTACGGCCCTCGATCGGCCTTCTGCTTCGTCTGTGTTTAGATCTGTGGCCCTTGATGAAAAAAGTTTGGACACCCCTGCTCTAGATTATTGAATTGTAGGTTCTAATGTGTCATTTATTTAGTACCAATTTAAGATGATTAATTTGCATAATATTGTTTGTGAAACTTCAGATCAGATAATTTTGCTCATTATAATACTTTGCATTTAAATTTACACATTTGTATAGAAAAGCTTGTGTCAGTCACTTCGTAATGTGTGTAAATAAACTCATGCACATGTCTCTGAGCTGCACTTGTTGCTGTAGGACGGGGGTGTCCAAACTTTTTTCATCAAGGGCCACGTATCTAAAGACAGACGAAGCAGAGGGCCGTAGATCGGTGCGCAATACAGTGAATAATTAAAATATGTGCAGGTTTAACACGTTAGAATGAATAAAGATTGATGGCTCATTCTAAGATCCTTAAAAAAACACACTAAATATTAAATATGAGCTTTCTCAAGGTAGATTTTCAATAAACTTGCAGTAAAAAGTAAAATTTTAATTGATGCAAGGTCATTTGGGCCAATTCACCTAGAAGTCTGAGGGCCGCATTTGGTCCACGGGCCATAGTTTGGACATGCTTGCTGTTGGAGATGCACGAGCTCACTTGCCGGTTAGCCCCATAATTAACTTAATTTCCTTCCCTGATAATTAACAGTGTTTTATAACTAATAGTTAATTCATCTTTCAGTTTCGGGGCACGCGTGTCAGTGCAAATACGACAAATATAAACACCCGAGGTCTAGATCAGGCATGTCCAAACTCTGGCCCGTGGACCAAATGCCGCCCTCAGACAATTTTTTCTTAGCCCAAATTACCTCGCATCAATTAAAAATTAACTTTTAACGGCACATTTTTAAAAATTCTACCTTGATAAAAATAAAAATTAAATATTAGTGTGTAGCTTTAAGGACCTTAGCGTGAATAAAGACTGATGGCTCATTCTAACGTGTTAAAACATGCACATATTTCAATTATTCACCGTAATGAGCACGTCACACATTTGTATACAAAAGCTTGTGTCGGTCATTTCATAATGACTAAATAACTAAACTCGTGCACATGTCTCTGTTCAGTTGCTGGTCAGCCCCTTAATGAACTCTATTTCCTTCCCTGATTATTCACTGTATTGAGCACTGATCTACGGCCCTCGATCGGCCCTCTGCTTCGTCTGTGTTTAGATCTGTGGCCCTTGATGAAAAAAGTTTGGACACCACTGACCTAGATTATTGAAATGCAGGTTCTAATGTGCTCTGACGTTTATTTAATACCAATTTAAGATGAATAACTTGCATAATATTGTTTGTATTCAGCTCATTATAATACTTTGGTATACAAATGTGTGAATATAAATGCAAAGCTTGGGTCTGTCACGTTATAATGTGTGTAAATAAACTCGTGCACATGTCTCTGAGCTGCACTTGTTGCTGTTGGAGATGCACGAGCTCACTTTGCCGGTTAGCCCCTTAATGAACTCTATTTCCTTCCCTGATAATTAACAGTTTTTTTATCACTAATACTTAATTCGTGTTTCAGTTTCGGGGCACGCGTGTCAGTGCAAAAACGACAAATATAAACACCCGAGGTCTAGATCAGGCATGTCCAAACTATGGCCCGTGGACCTCAGACAATTTTTTCTTGGCCCAAATTACCTCGCATCAATTAAAAATTTACTTTTAACGGCACGTTTTTTAAAAATCTACCTTGATAAAGCTAAATACTAAATATTATTGTGCAGTTTTAAGGATCTGAGCGTGAATAAAGACTGATGGCTCATTCTAACGTGTTAAACATGCACATATTTCAATTATTCACCGTAATGAGCACGTCACACATTTGTATACAAAAGCTTGTGTCAGTCACTTGATAATGTGTGTAACTAAACTCGTGCACATGTCTCTGAGCTGCACTTGTTGCTGTAGGAGATGCACGAGCTCACTTGCCGGTTAGCCCCTTAATGAACTCTATTTCCTTCCTTGATTATTCACTGTACTGACCACCGATCTACGGCCCTCGATCGGCCCTCTGCTTTGTCTGTGTTTAGATCTGTGGCCCTTGATGAAAAAAGTTTGGACACCACTGCTCTAGATTATTGAAATGCAGGTTCTAATGTGCTCTGATGTTTACTTAATACCAATTTAAGATGATTAATTTGCATAATATTGTTTGTATTCAGCTCATTATAATACTTTGCATTTATATTCACACATTTGTATACCAAAGCTTGGGTCTGTCACGTTATAATGTGTGTAAATAAACGCCCCTGCTCTAGATTATTGAAATGCAGGTTCTAATGTGCACTGATGTTTATTTAATACCAATTTAAGATTATTTATTCACATAATATTGTTTGTATTGCTTGTATTCAGCTCATTATAATACTTTGCATTTATAGTCACACAACAGCTTCGTAATGTGTGTAAATAAAGTCGTGCACATGTCTCCGAGCTGCACTTGTTGCTGTTGGAAGATGCACGAGCTCAGTTTGCCGGTTAGCCCCTTAATTAACTCCATTTCCTTCCCTGCTAATTAACAGGTTTTTTTTAATCACTAATACTTAATTCTTGTTTCAGTTTTAGGGCACGCGTGTCAGTGCAAAAACGACAAACATAAACCCCCGATTTAGCCCAAAACTGACGCGGGCGCACGGTTTGTTTTGACAGGAGACAACGTGAGCTAATGTGGCGCGCTAACGTTAGCATGCTAGGCGGCTAAGAAGCTGTCAAATGTGAGTGTAAACAAAAGCCCGGGCGTTTATAAATCCACGCCCGCGTGCTCCGGAGTGTCCGTGTGCAGGGAGCGGACACGATGCAAGCTCACACCGGGGGCACAGTGACACCTGCCCCCCCGCGCACGGAGCCCCCAGACACCGCGGCCTGGTCCGTGTTCCATTCTCCATTTTGAACAATACCGCGCTCCGCTTCCTGCTCTCTCCCCGGGATAAGAAGCTCTGAACCGGGGTGTTGGAGCTCCGTGGACGCGGGTGGGTGTCTGCGCGGTCGTACCCGGGGTGCTGGCGTGCGTGCTCTGGCTCCTGAAGCTGCTCTCGGTGCAGTAGCTCGCGTCATCCTCCTCCTCCTCCTCCAGCTCGTCCAGCGGCTCCTCATCCTCCAGGCAGTCCGAGTCCGCTTTGAGGCCCTCTTCCTCCTCGGACTGCGGCTCTTCCTCCGCGAACTCCTCTTCCTCGTCGGACCGCAGGCTCACGGCGTCCTCCTCCTCCTCCTCGTCGCTCTCGTGGTCGTCGTACACCACGGTCTTGGAGCATTTGCCCCTCCTGCCTCCGCGGGCGCCTCTGCCTCCTCTGCCCGCTCCTCCGCCGCCGCCGCCGCCGCTGCTACCACCTCTGCTGCCGCGCGCCTTCCCCCGGCCGGACGCGCTGCCGGAGCCCCGTTTCCTCTTCGCTTTCACCGGCTTGGGGCTCTCCCTCGTCGGGCTCTCCAGGTCCTCGTCCCCGCTGTCCCTCGCCCTGGGTTTGATGTTCCTCCGGGGTCGCAGGCCGCGGGTGGGCGCCGGGGCTGGCTCCTCGCTGGGTGCGGGTTTGGACGGCCTGCCCCTGCCTCTGCCTCTCATCATGGGCCGGAGTCTTTTCTCTTGGCGAGCCCCGGTCCGTGCGCGTCCTTGGCCAACGCGGACGCCTGCGAAAGCGCGACCTCCGCAAAGCTTAGCCGGCGGGGGCCCGAACGGTGCAGTCGCCCAGTGAAGCCCCCGTGCCTTTTCGGGTGTGAAAGCTCAAAATGTTAGCCCGGCGTCCCATTTGGATTCGCCTCGAGCCGCCATTTTTCTTCTCCTCCGCCGCTGCCTCTGAACAACAGGGCCCTGCGCGGTCACGTGGTGTCGCTCACAGAAAGCACATTTCCATTCTTTCTCTGCACAATAATATAACATTTTTTAAAATAATATTGTCTACATAACACTCATGAAGGCATATTTCATCATCGATTTAAATTATGCATAAATAATCCACTTAAATCGAATCATTATGTCACCTAAGATTTCACACGCACATGCTCAAATTTTACTCCTTTATTTGAGACATAAACATGATTTAATTAATAATAATATTCTATGCTCAAAACGCGTCATAAATATAGCAAAAGAAAAGCGTTATACACAAAAAGGCGCGTTGATAAACAGTGTGAGAGCGCCCTCTACCCCCGTGCGCAGGCGTTGTTTTAACACAATGGTGCAATTGTAATTAATTTAAATAATGTACTTGGATTATAGACAAGTAAATTACTCAAAAGCTCTTATGAGTGGGTGGATAGTAGATGGATAATTTGATTGTTTATATAAACGTTTCTCTTTGTCATGCAGAGTTTTGACCAGTAGGTGGCAGCGATCACCCACTGATGATCACAGAGAAGCTCCTGAACTGATTATGTTTGATTTTACCAGAGACTGTACAGAGTTTATTAGATTCTCCTCAGGGCCGTGAATGTAAACAGCAGCTATAGAACAGGATATAGTTTGAGTACAAATATCTACAGCAGGACAAACATCAGAAAACATCAAAAAACATATTTGGTGTGTTTCTGTCAGAGCCTCTGTGGGGAGACATTATAAACAAACAAAAATAAGCAGTTAGTGTGTTTGTCTTACCTCTCTCAAGCAGAAGTAAACAGCAAGGCCAAAAATTCAAGTTAATGCATCTGATATAAAAATGTATTGAACAGATACATATGTACTCTAGTTTATGAAACTGTTTACCTTTTTTCTGTACCATTTTTGGTTCTAAAGTTCCATACGTTTTAAACAGACCATGTATGAAACATGGAACAAAAATTATTTCCCAAATTTCAAAGACCTGAAAATCATGTAAATAAATGGATGTATTTCATCATATCTTGTGTTATTCCATCTTTGAACTGTTGATGACGGTACATGATTAAAAAAAAAAAAAAAGTATTTAAAATGATAAAAATTTGCTTGGAAGGACTGACATATTTTATAGAAATAGTTTCCTTTCATTTTGAAGTAATATTAAAGTATTCAGAAAAAAAAAGATGACAAATTATGCAAAATCATGCACCTTCTACTTGTTTGCACAATTTTCCCTCTGTTACTTTTCCCTCCGTTACCATGACCTTTCTTAATAAAAAATCAAATTAGTCAAAAAGTAAGAGGTTTTTCAACCTAATCTTGTACCATATGGTAGAAAACTATATGAAGCAAATATTCAAACCAGTTTGTTAAGGATATGTAAGTGAGAACCAAGAGTTATCACTGTTTGGATTTATTGCCCAAAAAGTGCTGCATATTTCATTCCCTCCGTTACCGACATGAGTTTTTAAATTTTTTGTCAACAACTTGAAAGAATATCACAGGTTTAACTTTACCCTGTTGGAGTGTAACTCTTTCCTACATTCTGATACTTTACTTATTTCAATAGTCCCTCTAGTTTCTGAATAAGAGACATTTGAATGTCAAAAATCTGCCCCTGTTTCCCTCTGTTACCGTTGGACCGGACCCATCTGACTAATTCATGCTGCTGTTGTGTCCTTGGGTGAGACACTTTGCCCCAGGGCAGGTGTGGCTACATGTGAACTGCTGTTGTTGTGCTTTAAGAAGCTTGTCAAAATGTTAAACACTGGTCACATTTTTATATACACCTTTTAATTTACACATTTTACATTTTATTTACACCTTTAAAGCACTCAAAGCACTTTACATCAAGGAACCACCTACACATTCACACACACATTCATACGCACACTGGCGAGGTGGGTTAAGTGTCTTGCCCAAGGACACAACGACAGCGTTCATCTGTGGGAGCTGGAATCACACCAGCTCAACCTGTATTGTTTATGTTGAGAGCTGGATTTGAACTGCCAACTCTAACAACGCTCTACCAGGACTAAACCAGATCTAAACCAGAACTGAACCAGGATTAAACCAGGTCTAAACCAGGACTGAACCAGGACTGAACCAGGACTGAACCAGGATTAAACCAGGTCTAAACCAGGACTGAACCAGGATTAAACCAGGTCTAAACCAGGACTAAACCAGGTCTAAACCAGGATTAAACCAGGTCTAAACCAGGTCTAAACCAGGACTGAACCAGGATTAAACCAGGTCTAAACCAGGACTGAACTAGGACTAAACCAGGTCTAAACCAGGATTAAACCAGGTCTAAACCAGAACTAAGCCAGGTCTAAACCAGGAGTGTCGGGACAAGCCCAGAGGTGCGCTGAGACCGGGACTGAGATCGGGACCAGACCGGGACAGAAACAGGACTGATCCCAGGACTGATCCCAAGACAAAAACAGGACTGCAATAGGTCTAAACCAGGACTAAACCAGGTCTAAACCAGGACTGAACCAGGACTTAAACCAGGTCTAAACCAGGAGTGTCAGGACAAGCCCAGAGGTGCGCTGAAACCGGGACTGAGACCGGGACTGATACCGGGACCAGACCGGGACTGATACCTGGACCAGGACTAGGACTGAACCAGGACTGATCCCAGGACTGAACCAGGTCTAAACCAGATCCCAGTGTCAGTCCCGGTCTCAGTCCTAGTTCAGTCCTGGTTCAGTCCTGGTTTAGACCCGGTTCAGTCCGACATCACCGTTTAAGTCACGAAAAACGGAATTCGAACCGAACCATTATCCGTTTTTTCTTTTCCATTCTTCATTTAAACACAAAATCTGAAAAAATGAACCATTATCCATTTTTTTCATTTTGGTTTTGGAGACAAATAACGTCGCAAATAGTCGTTTTCTTTCGTTTTCTTATTTTTGATTTTATTTTGAAAAAACGAACGAACCAACGACACACGGATCATCCCACTGTGCATCTTCACAAACAACAACAAACGTGAATAAAACTCAAACTCGAACTCGAATTCCGCTCGTTCCTTTTCACCAAAACCTCCGCTCACACAAAAGACCGAAGTCCGTCCTTTTGTAAACCTCGTCCTTTTCACTTTTAGACCCAGAGTAAAGTGTGTGGATAAAGGAGTCAGTGATGCGACGTGATGTAAAAGTGCAGCTGATGTAAGCGAGAGGGAGCAGACGGAGCAGCAGACCGGACGTAATCATGACCTCGTGAGAATACTGCAGCTGGGGACGGGTCATTACAGTACTGCAGTATTGGGTACTGTATATTTCCTGGTGTCTGATGTCGGTTTCATGAGGAAATGTCTCGTTATTGAAACCGAGAAGTCAATTTGTGACGTAATGAGTTTGATTATTGGATTTTCATAAAAGGGAAATTAAAGAATCATTGATGAAGATATCAAAAATATTCTACTACTAATACTGCTTGTACTGCTACTACTAATACTACTACTACTACTGATAGTACTACTACTACTAATACTACTACTACTGCTGCTAGTACTGCTTGTACTGCTATTACTAATACTACTACCACTACTGCTACTACTGCTAGTATTAATACTACATTAATATTCTATTACTACTACTACTACTACTACTACTACTACTACTACTACAACTACTACTACAACTGCTAGTACTGCTACTACTACTACTAGTACTACTACTACTACTACTACTACTACTGTTACTATCACTACTGCTACTACTACACCTATTAGTATTTTATTACTATTACTACTACTACTACTACTACTACTGGAGGAAAGTGGGGATGGAGAACAGGACTGATCCAGGTCTGGGACCAGAGCAAGACCGAGACCGAGACTGAGACCAACACCAGACGCGGACCAGACCGAGACTGAGACCAGACCAAAACTGAGACCGGGACCAGACCGGGACCAGACTGGAGGCTCAGAGCCCCTGCAGGACCGGAGCTTGAAGCTGAGGCTCGAACCCCGCGGAGGCTCAGAGTCAAAGCTCAGAGTCCTAGTCTGGTCCCCGCTCTGGTCCCGGACCTGGATCAGTCCTGGTTCAGTCTGTATGTGGTGCAGAAGTCCGGCATCGCAGTCACAGAAGTCACGTAAACGGGAAATGGATGTTATCTGTTTTTTCCATTTTTCATTTAAACACAAAATCAAAAACTGAAAAGAACAAATCATTATCAGTTTTTCATTTTGGTTTTGGAGACAAATAATGAAGAAAACTGTTTTTTTTCCATTTTCTTATTTTTGGTTTTATATTGAAAAACGAATGAACGAATGATACATGGATTTCGTGAGTTTGGTAAATTTATGTTCTGTTGTTTATGCTATAGTTATCAGAAAAACTGTTAATGTGACACTGAGTGCGTTTACATGTACATCAATAACCCGGTTATGATCGGGTTTTTTGAGTATCCCGGTTTCTTGATGGTGCATGTAAACGCAGTAACCCGGTTATGGCAGTATCCTGGTTATTAGAAACTGGGTTACTGTAGCTGGTTTATTCCGATAGTAACCGGGATACTTGTGGCATGTATACGCAGTACCCCGGTTACTGCAACATAAAGTTGAGTGCGCATGCGTCCAAAAGACACTTTCCAGCCTTTCACCACAACAGTAGTGACATAAATAAATTGACCAACATAAATAAAGTGACCAAACGAGTGAAATGACTGTAAAATTAAGAGCTGCGCTAAACCTGCACACGTACAATCTGCACTCGTACGACCTGCACTCGTGTGACGCTGAAAAGCTAAAACATGAACTATCTCCTATACTCTATACGCACGGAACACACTTACCATCATTAGCACCTCTTCTGTCACAGAAATAACACACATAATCCACAGAGTCGTGTCATTTAGTCCAAAAGAAATTGATCACATCAGCGACACAAGGAGCGAGTTGTTTTTATCGCCGCTAACAGTTTATGCTAATTAGCCAAACGGTCTTAAGTTTCGTTTCTGTAA